ACGTACAGTGCACCATCGCTGGCCCGGCACAGTTTTGCGGACGCTGACTGGGCGAGCGAACGATGTGCGGCACGTGACGCACGGCATTGACGGCGGCCGCGCGGCGTTCACCGGCTGCTCGCCCACTGCCAGCCGAGAGCTACCCCTAGCTACTAGATGCCGAGGAAAAGGTCGAAGAAGACGTGCATATGCCACTAACCATTCCATGCGCCGGTGCTCGTGGACTCGACGTGTGCACTGGCCACCGAGGCACCGATCGGTTGAACCAAGTGCAGCCTAGAAGAGATCGAAGACGCGTCTCAAGAAGGCATACCACAAGATGGGTCCCATGGACTATATTGACTACAGTGCGCAAGGTGTGGGCATCGGTCCCACGTTGGAGGAGAACAGCTGGACATCAAGCAAGAGCCCTCAATTGCTAAAGGCCAGATTATTCCGGCTACCCTCCAACAGTGCCGGATTTAACGAGCCAACTGTCCGTGGAAACTTGTGCCTCTGCGTAATTTCTCGTGTCCCCTACAAGTCCACAAAATGAGAGCGCGCGGCTCAAATGCCACAAACTATCTACTTTCGCTTTTCGAGCTCATGTACTAGTGATGCAAATATAGTTGCGAGAAAGCAACACCGCGGCGCGCGTCGACGGAATCAGGGAAAAATGGTGCGGTAGGTGTACGAGAGACGGGGAGGTGTTTGAGCACTGTACAAGGACCTGTGACTTGTTAGACCTGGGATCGAGTCCTCACACATGGCAAGATGCAACGTGTCCATATATACACCTATAGTCGCACACCGAGACGTATCATGCTTGGCGTGGAAAACAAATTATACGGCAAACTCGATCCTTTATGTCGTGAAAAATGAAGAAAAAGATGATGGATGATACGAGTAACGCTTTTCTTTTTCCATTCTTATTTTTTTGAGAGACAAAGGAATGTCTACAGCTATAGCTATGGGGTGACGGACTGATGGGGAGGAGGCATGCCCCCTCCCGGGCCATCACGTGCACCAGCTGTCCAGCAAAGACCAACCGTAGCCGGACACCTACGCGCGGGCAGCCGAGACGTACGCGCGACACGGTGCATGCACGGGCCCGTAGCGTACAGGTGCCCTGATCCCGTGCATGATGTGCTACTAGTATTATCTAGAGATGGCAACGGGCCCCGCGACCCGAAAACCGTTGGGTTTTTACTCTTTTAGGATGTATAAACGTTCCAAACATCATACCCATGAGTACGTTAACGGGCAAAACCTTCACACATCGGGTACGCGGGTGTGGGTACGTTCTCCTGTCACCCGAACCCATTAACCGTGGGTTGAAAATACCCGTAGGCCTAGCCCAATATGCAGATGGCCTAAGGCCCACAACCATCAAAACCCTAGGTATAAATCCTCTTTTCCTCACTCCTCTAAACCCTATTCCCCTTCTCCTCCTATCCTCTCCCTCATGTCTCCGTTTCTCCGCCGCCCCCCATCCCCCAAGTGCCCAAGCCACGGCCGCACCGCACGGGCGCACGCCACACGCCGGCACGCCACCGCGCAGGCGCGCACGGCCGCAGCACCAGCCGCCAGCCGGTCTCGGTCGCGCCGATGGAGTAGGGCGCCGCCGTGCGGGCAGCCACCAGCGTGGGGGCGGACATCCACCGTGTCAGTTGCTGCCTGGGGCAAGGTCCAGGGAGCCAGGGACGCCGCTTCCTGGGGGCGGGATAGCCACCGCGTCGGTCGCTGCTTGGGGGCAGGGACGCAGCGCGCCGGTCAGAGCGCTGCCACAGGTGCAATGAGGTAGGTCACTGGATCTGGCTGGGGCCGTGACCATGAGTAGAGATGGCTTGCTGTTGATTTTGCAATGTGACAGGCTGTATGTATCATGTATGGTTTGTTTAAGCCTTAGTTTTTTAATTTTGTCTGCAGCCTATAACCTTATTGAGTTATTGTTGTGCATAATTGAAATTGTTGCAACGGGTGTGGGTATCAAATGGGTACCCATCACCCGTGCGGGTGCGGGTGCGGGTAGGAGGGAATTTCTCATCCGCGAGCGGGTGTGGGTTTTTAGTGGGCAGATTTAGTTTTAACGGGTGTGGGTACGGGGAGTGAAAACTTGTTGGTTCCATACCCGTTGCCATCTCTAGTATTATCCTTTCCTTCCCGCGGCGAGGTGGCCGTGGACCTCCACTGGACCATCCTCCTCATCCCAACCCAAAGCTGGCTACCAAGCCATTTGCCGGAGTCCAGTTCTCTTATCCACTTGCATTGCAGATATTTCTTCGCAATTTCTGCGGAAAAAGAAAGAAAGAGCCCATCGCTGCCATGCGTGCAGGGCAGGCAGTTCGTTCCCGGCTTTATTCCTCTTTTTTTCTTCGTCCCCTTCGGCTGCACCGCCTCAGCTGAGCTCCGCGAATCGAGTCTGGTCAATCTGGTCGGGTGTACTTCAGGTCTGGTTGATGCTGCGATGAACAGTGCTTTACATACTGGACTATAGACACAGCTACCCACTTGTTGTACATCAAACAACGGGAGAAAATCCTGTGTATTTCAACCAACGGCGCCGTGTGTACTAATGTGATCAAACAGGGCAGGACAGAACTTGGCGTATCGATCGGTGAGCATCCTGTTCTTGCACATGTTCATTCCCAGCATGCAAAGCATGGAACCACCAAAAAGCAAGGGCTTAGCTTTAGCCGTTGCATAAGCCGTAAGGCAACGGAAAGTTACAATGCATGCTCGCCTGCCTGCCTCTGCTTGGTCGATATCTCGCATGCCTTCGCCTGCGGGTGTTTTGTCGCTGGGATGACCTGACCGTCCGCCTGCGTTGCCTGCGCGCACAAGCGCAGCAGCAGCAGCAGCAGCAGCTTGTGTGTGAAAGAAACAACGGTAGGAGTCGTGCGCTTGTGATCACTGCCGGATTGACGGTGAGTGGGCTGCCGCTGCACGTGAAGCCCGTACGCGCGCCGATTTGGCTTTCTCGACAGGTCTGTAAAATTAAAGACCGAGCGGTGAACAGATAAAATAATAGGAGGAGTTCCGCCCAACCGTTGATGAAAACATCGACAACGTCCTTTTACAGGTGAAGAATAGGCGTGCGCCATGCATGTTCAGGTAACGTAACGTCAAGCCTTCTTGAACCCAACACAGCTAGCCACGAGCCCACGACACAAGAGTTTAAAAAAAGAACGACACAGTTTACTCTGATGTGTTAATATGACGCTCACTGACGGGACCTTTTTTATTTATAGAAAAAATAGAAATATTTAGAGAATTTCAATAAAGATTTAAAATGATAGAATTATATCCTATCATTTAAAGTTCTTACATAACGAACAATCATATATGGATTTTGAATAAATTTAGTAAGAGTTTCAACCTCTTGAAATTTTTTAGTTTATCACTCTCATCTAATTCATTTGTTTTTTTCCTATGTTCCAAAGAAACGGTTATTTCTATGTTATTTATGTATTTTGTAATCATCTATTTTGCACTTGCATTCCGTCAGAGTTATTAGTTTGTTCATGTTTTTTCGTTTTTCCACTCCAACGATTAAGTGGGGGCCCTGAAAACGAAAACACAACACCGACTCATGTGGTAATGTCCCTTGGTCCTACTTGTCATCCTCACAGATCCTTTTCTAATTTCAATAAGTTTGTTGGTGGTTAGGGTTTTGCGTGGACATTGGCGAGCTAAGTGTGTGGAACTTAGGCCATTTAAGTCTCCACCCCAATACAGACATGCACTATCACCTACTAATAAACATGAAGCCAAGGGAGTAGAGATTTTCATGATTTTATTTCAAGATTGGTGACTAATAAAAGAACAACTTGTTAAAAGCATTTCACACGCTCATCAAAGAATATTGTGTTAAACATGACCTCCACCCTAGTTTCATGTACATGTATGGTCAAATCTTTAACTCCATATCTGATCCAAATATGTCCCATAAATATCATAAACCGTGGCATAGCGATCGGCACGGTAGGTTCTATCTTAAGATAACATAGAGTTTGAAATCATCAATCTACATAATGCTTATGTCCCCGTTGAAAATCGGCCTTATCTGAATCGTTGGATGATTCATTGACTCACCTTATATCAATCCTTGCAGGGAATCCTATGCTAACGAAATATGACACCGATGGGTTGTATGTTGATGGTGACAAGAAACACAACTTAGGGTGTGTTTGAGGAGGAGATTGGAGAGGTTGGGAAGATACGTAAAACGAGGTGAGCCATTAGCGCATGATTAATTGAGTATTAAATATTTTAAATTTCAAAAATGGATTAATATGACTTTTTAAAGTAATTTTCTTATAGAATATTTTTTAAAAAAACACACCGTTTACTAGTTTGGGAAGCGTGCGCGCGGAAAACGAGGTGCTTTCTCACCCTATATCACACAAACGAACGCAACCTTAGGCTCTATATCGTCGACTTAGGGGATGATGCTAAGTGCACCATCGAAAACTTATACATAGGTGTACATTATGTGATGTGTCTTTGATTCAGTAATTTTTTTGTTTGATTTTCTTCTCATTTTTTTTAATAAAATCTTAAACCGCCGGCTGTTAAAAAGCTAACAAGACATGTAATGTATTACTCCGCAATGATCAATACAACTCTCTATGTTGTAAGAAAAAAAAACAAATATGTGGTGTATATTAATATATGCATAGTAATCAAAGTTTAATTTATCTTTTTGCGACAACATGTAGAAGTCATATTTAGACTTCTATCATATTTAGACTTCTATCTTTCTAGAGTACTTTATCTTATTAAAAATATTAAAATTTTTAACAACTATTCAGATGAGATATAAGATACTAGAGGACATTCTTAAGTGTTTATAATCCACTCCCACAAAACCGAATACTGAAAGCGAGCAGCACGCGAACCCAAAGGTAAGAAACCGATCAAGACGCAGGTGCTTGTCCCTTAGCTGGAACCCTCCCGTGTCGGCCTCCTCGCCCACCCCCGCGCACCGCTCCTAGCTACCCGGCCGGCTATATAGCCCCATCGTTATTCGTCCCCGTCTCCCCCCCTCCTCCCTCCCTTCATCAGGCAGAGCCGGCCTGCAGCCTCGCTCGCATCAGCTTGCACACAGCCCACGGCGCCACCACCAGCGAGGCGGGACAGAGGGAAGGAGACACAGACCAGCCAAGTAAAAGGCAAAAGCACAGCACATTAAAAGAGAGAGGGCGCAAGCAAGCGGCAGAGAGGAGAGAGAGAGAGAGAGAGGCGCACAGAGAGAGTGTGTGTGTGTGTGAGGGAGAGAGAGATAGCGGCAGCATATATGGCGATGCCCTTTGCCTCCCTGTCGCCGGCAGCCGACCACCGGCCCTCCTTCATCTTCCCCTTCTGCCGCTCCTCCCCTCTCTCCGCGTAAGCCTTCGCTCTCGCCTTCGCTCTCTCTTCGTTCTTGCTGCCGTGGTGGTGGACTAATGTGGGTGGTGGCGTCATGCGGTTGCAGGGTCGGGGAGGAGGCGCAGCAGCACATGATGGGCGCGAGGTGGGCGGCGGCGGTGGCCAGGCCGCCGCCCTTCACGGCGGCGCAGTACGAGGAGCTGGAGCAGCAGGCGCTCATATACAAGTACCTCGTCGCCGGCGTGCCCGTCCCGGCGGATCTCCTCCTCCCCATCCGCCGTGGCCTCGACTCACTCGCCTCGCGCTTCTACCACCACCCTGTCCGTACGTGCCCCGCCGCCCTTCGCCTCCGTCTCACTCTCCTCTAGTAGTAGTACTACTCATGCATCCACATGATTGTCTCGCTTGTTTATTCGGATCGAGGGATTCAGGTGTACTTGGCCCCGGTTTGTTAATTTGGTCTGGTCATTTGTTAATCCTCTGCTGGATTTAGCCCCCTAAAAGCTTGCGTTTTTATATTCCAGATTAGCTAACTTGTGCTCAAGTTCAAGATTTGCTCCTAGGAATAGAGATAGCTTAGCCTCCTGTGTTAGTGCAGTTTTTTTTATTCGAGTCCGGTTGATTGGATGCACACAGGACTTGACCCCAGGCAAAAGAGGTGGTTAGTTTATTGGTCCTTTTCGTAGGGGTTATTCCTGTCTGGTTGTTGGGAGCCTTACCCACGCATTCATTACTGCTGCGATTAAGCAAGCTGTACTGCATCAAATGGACCCCAAGATTAAACAACCAAAAGAAACGAGTACTAAGTCCCTATCTTTTCCTAGTTTTTTTTAATCGCAGTGTACATTGTTGCGGGCGTGAATGATTGAGTAGAGTAGATCTACGGAGCACGGCGGCGGCCGCCATCCGGTCCGGCCGCCGCGCCGCCAGATTGATTTCAATGAACAGACGCCTAGCATCGCATCGCCATTCGATTCTTGCATCTGGCTGTAAAGCGTTCCATTCCAGGATTGCTCCCTCCAATCCAAATGCGCACCGACACATGCGTTCGTTGGTGGATTTGGATGCCTTCGAGATGCGCACGTCACATCATTGACTTGTGATTTTTTTTCTTCTTCTTTTTTGCGTGCTTGGTTGGTCTGCAGTTGGATACGGTTCCTACTTCGGCAAGAAGCTGGACCCGGAGCCCGGACGGTGCCGGCGTACGGACGGCAAGAAGTGGCGGTGCTCCAAGGAGGCCGCGCCGGACTCCAAGTACTGTGAGCGACACATGCACCGCGGCCGCAACCGTTCAAGAAAGCCTGTGGAAGCGCAGCTCGTCGCCCCCCACTCGCAGCCCCCCGCCACGGCGCCGGCCGCCGCCGTCACCTCCACCGCCTTCCAGAACCACTCGCTGTACCCGGCGATTGCTAATGGCGGCGGCGCCAACGGAGGCGGTGGTGGTGGTGGCGGTGGCGGCAGCGCGCCTGGCTCGTTCGCCTTGGGGTCTAATACTCAGCTGCACATGGACAATGCTGCGTCTTACTCGACTGTTGCTGCTGGTGCCGGAAACAAAGATTTCAGGTACAGGGTGCAATTAAAATTTCTGCAAACTTTCTTTACTGTTTATTGTTGTCTACTGCATGATGGATGTCAGATGGATGGATGCAGCAGAGCTGGATGCCTCCTAATAGTGTTTGAAGTTTTCTCATTATTGTGCTTGATTGCATCTGCAGACACTAGTGGTAAATCTGAATACTACTAGTGCAGCATCACTACTAGCACTTCAAGTGCTCGTCTGAAAATGTGCATGGGGCGCTGTTTACTTCAAATGTTTGTCGTCAGCTCTGGCACAAGAACTGCTGTTAACTGTGTTTAGGCTCCTCCTTTTCTCTGGGCTCTGGCGATGCTTTCTGGGACCAGATTTTTGCCTGATAAAAATCTGAACGTAGCATTAGTTCCTGGAAATGGCGTTGGTGCTCTGGTGGAATCATACAAGGGTAGAGCAGGAGAGCAGGCTGTGTTCTTGTGTGATTGCAAACATAGGAGTACAACTAAAAGTTGCAACTTGTCTGGGTTCTATGCTCAGAGCTAGTGTCTGGTGCTCTCTGCACCTGCTCGATCTCAGACCTGGCATTTATTCTGCTTCTTTTATTCTTCTGCTGACTGCTGTTGGTCTTCTTGTGCTTCTCGTTTCAGGCTGAATTGCTGAACTAGAAACACGGGTAGTTCTGCACCTGTAAAACTTCTCCTGACTTTCTGACCAAAAACGCTTCGTCCCTATGCCTGAAACCATCTGAAAAAGGCTAACATGATACCGGAAGCCCATCTCCTTTTGCCCACCTAATCTGAATCTTTTTCCCTCAGTACTCCTACTACTTTGCGAGTTTGCAATTCCACTTTAGTGAAGCTCTGTCACTGTAGGGTTACCTGCGGGGCAGTTGGCACATGATTGGTGCTGCTGCCAATCATGTTTGCTTAGATGGTTAGTTTCCCATTTTGTTTTGTTTTTCACTTTTGTCACGAAGCAATGTGATGCAACAATTTTCGTCTCCCTTGACTTGTTATTCTCAGTCAAAGAGTCGCGTGTCATGCTTTAAGTAAAGGCATGAGGCCTAATGCATGCCCTATGTGATTATTCACAAGTAGGGGTTGTTACAATTATATTATCATGTATCGATGTGGAACCGATCTGTTGTTTCTCTGAGTTTGACAAAGAAACGTTTGCAATTGATTTTTTTTTTATCCTTTTTCAGTTGTTACTTGTGAACTATGTTCCCGGACTGCTCATGTGTATATATAGGTTGCACTCAGAACTTGTTTTAAGTTCTTGCTAATTTGCTTATACATTTTTGCACATCATATTTTGCACAAACTGTTCTTCTACATTGCTGTTTTAGCATCTTCAAATGACAGTTGTAAATGCTTGGTTGTTGGTGGAACATATTGGTCTGTGGATTACTGATATACTGATTTCTGCCTTTCCAATATTCAGGTATTCTGCTTATGGAGTGAGACCATTGGCAGATGAGCACAGCCCACTCATCACTGGAGCTATGGATACCTCTATTGACAATTCGTGGTGCTTGCTGCCTTCTCAGACCTCCACATTTTCAGTTTCGAGCTACCCTATGCTTGGAAATCTGAGTGAGCTGGACCAGAACACCATCTGCTCGCTGCCGAAGGTGGAGAGGGAGCCATTGTCATTCTTCGGGAGCGACTATGTGACCGTCGACTCCGGGAAGCAGGAGAACCAGACGCTGCGCCCCTTTTTCGACGAGTGGCCAAAGGCAAGGGACTCCTGGCCTGATCTAGCTGATGACAACAGCCTTGCCACCTTCTCTGCCACTCAGCTCTCGATCTCCATTCCAATGGCAACCTCTGACTTCTCGACCACCAGCTCACGATCACACAACGGTATATACTCCCGGTAAATGCGCGTGAAAATTTTCCATTTTGATTCATCAATTCTGAAGAACAGTTTTATTCTGAACATCTTCAAATCGTTGCAGATGAGTGAATATCATCTGGATCCCTACGTGTCAATGAAGCGCTGACCACCGTTTGCTGAATTGTACGGAGTCCTGGACTGCGCCTAGTTTTCCCAAAGCAAGAACAATACCGCATTAATATGTTTATGTAATTTTCGAGCAATGCTCTTCTATGTTTTTGTTATGTTTTATCCTATTGGGGAATTGTATGAAGTCCAAGTCGATCAGAATCCCCTGTACTTGATGTCGAAACCTCATTTTGAGTATCAAATCAATCCGTGTCTCGCTCATTTTCACTGTTAACCCAAGTTGACAAAGATTCAAAGAACCACCTGTACTTGATTTTCGGACTTCTACATTTTCCCTATCAATCGTACAATTGATTGCCTTACGACGACACGCAAATGCGATGTTCATCACATGGCTGGAACAGTATTACAGTAGTGATCCCTTGCTTTGTCGAGGCGGCAAAGCCCCCCTGATCCGCGAGCTAACTCGCAAAACAGCTTCCCGTGCAATCCTTCGAACTACTAACAAATTCACAAACGCGGCATGGCGAAATTGACATCTTTTGCCCCGCGCGCGCGCTCACCATTTCTCCATGTCCGGTCTCCATGCCTCTTTATGATTTGCTTTGGCGTGTTGAGACCGAAGGGGACACGATAGGAAGCCTCACGGGCGAGCACTGATGATGAGATCGAACACGAAGAAGACGGGAGAGGTTTTGTTTAGACTTTTGGAGGGAGAGGGAGAGGGAGGAAGGAAAAGCGCGCAATAATGCTGCGATGGATCTGCCGCAAAGCCTCCGGAGTTGGTGGAGCAACAGGCTGTAACTCTGTGTACGTGGGGCCGTAGCAAAGTGCGTATGCACTCGCTGGCTTTGGCTTTGTTGCCCGTCTCGGAAGCAGGCGTAGTCGGGGGTACGCTTTGCACGGAGCACACACGGCAGCATCTCGTCTTTGTGTGTGCCCCGTGCTGTGCTATGCTATGCTATTCCGTTAGCGTTAGGCTTTTGGAGATGGCTCGCGTGGTCTCGCATCTCCCGGCAGAAGCAAGCGGGGCATGTGCGGCCGTCCGGCCGGGATCGCGCCGCGCGGGCCAAGCAAGTTTAGCGTCGCGCGCGCTCGTGACGAGTCGTGGACCAGTTGTTAGGTCGTCGGACGTACGGGGGTTCGGTTGGTGGTGAATAGATAGATAGTGCGCGCTTCGGCCGGTCCCCGACTCCCCCCGAGTGAGGCGTGTTATAGCTATCCATGTACTGTATATGTGCCTATCTAGAATGCTTCTAGCTGGCGCGTCGTGCTGCGTGCGTTCCTGCCGACCACCGGATCGGAAGAAGGGAAGCTACAGGAGAAAGGCATGTTGCGTTTCGTGGCACCGGCACAGATTGTAACTCTCCATCCGTTTGTGCGTTCTGGACTTTGCGTGTGGTCTGGTGGCTGGTCCCGATGAACCAGGCGATTAGTCGTGCACGTGAAACGCGATAGCCCCAGACCTGACGGAGAGCGACTCTGCAGATAGGCCGAACCACAACGCCGCAGCCCGCACGTTCGCCGCAATCCAGTTCCTGGCCCAACTAAAACGGCCCACACATAAACCACAATCCCGTGACGGCCCGAATAAAACGGGCCGCACGTCCGCCCTAACAGCCATTTGAGCCCAACTGTAATGGGCTGCACGACGAGGCTATCCAGCCCGGCCTACGAGGCTGCGCGTCACCGCGGCAGAGGAGTCGGCGGTGCGGGGGAGACGGCACGGCAGATTCACGCGAAGGGGCGACCTCCTCGCGTACGGTTTTTCCCCTTGCGAGATCCATCTCCGGCTCCGGCGCCGGCGCGCGCGCGAGGCGTGGAGGTGGGGTGGGGGAGGGGGGAATGGGTTGGGGCGCGGTGGTGTACGGTGGCGGCGTGGTGGGGGCGTCGCTGGTGGGGCTCGGCTGGGCGGGGCTGTGGTTCCTCAACCGGCGGCTGTACAAGGAGTACGAGGAGCGGCGGGCGCTGGTGCAGATCCTCTTCGGCCTCGTCTTCGCCTTCTCCTGCAACCTCTTCCAGCTCGTCCTCTTCGAGATCCTCCCCGTCCTCTCCAAGCACGCCCGCTTCCTCAACTGGCACCTCGACCTCTTCTGCCTCATCCTCCTCCTCGTCTTCGTCCTCCCCTACTACCACTGCTACCTGCTGCTGCGCAACTCAGGTGCCCGCCTGCCCATCCCGAATCCCCTGTCTCCTCAATTGGCTCATCGGTTTTTTTTTTTGCGTTCCGTGGTTGGTCTGATCGGCTGATCGTTTTGGGGGGCTTCGCAGGGGTGCGGAGGGAGCGGGCTCTGCTCGTCGCGGCGCTGTTCCTGCTGGTCTTCCTCTATGGCTTCTGGCGCATGGGGATTCATTTCCCCATGCCTTCTCCGGAAAAAGGTATGGTGTTGCAATCATGGCGACGGTTGCTACTCTCAATACTAGCGGATTGAGCTTAGCCGCAGTAACTTACGATATTGGCCTCAGAGGCCCTCATTGACTTCACGACTGGACTACCTTGTGATTGGGTTCGATTGGCTTGCGCATTTTGTAGGGTTTTTCACGATGCCCCAGTTGGTTAGTAGGATTGGCGTGATTGGAGTAAGTGTCATGGCTGTTCTTTCTGGTTTTGGTGCCGTCAATCTGCCTTACAGCTATCTGTCACTGTTTATCAGGTTTGAACTTTGATATACCTATAAGCTGATCTCTCTCAAAAGTTGTATTTCCACACAGTGTGCTTTGATTTCAGTTTAATTCTATGCTATGCGTGCCAATCCTGGCTTACAGGGAAATTGATGAAAAGGACATCAAAACATTGGAAAGGCAGCTCATGCAATCCATGGAGACATGCATCGCTAAGAAAAAGAAAATTGTTCTGTCCAAAATGGAGATGGAGAGGATTCAAGGATCAGAAGAGGTGTGCTTACTATTCAAATGGATGTGAATTAAAATAACTGTTGGATTGCAAGCATGGAAGTTTGCTCTCATTGCAAAATGTACAGATATTTAGCTATGCAGTCATATTTTGTTGCCTGTACTTGCATCTAGTAGGATTGAATAGATAAGACACTGTTCAATTAATAAGAAGTACTAAATGCATATGATTGTACTATGCAGAATTGTCTGCATGTGGCGAGATTGATGGGATAGGGATCTGTTCTATCAATAAGCAATGCAAAATATACTATCACATTAACTCAACAAAATGTCATCTTGGAAGTAGAATGGTCTATTATTATGTTGATGTTTACCCTTTGTGGCTTGACTGAATACAAAATTTAATACTTGCAGAAGCTAAAAGCCAGATCATTTCTAAAGCGTATCGTTGGGACAGTTGTTCGATCTGTGCAAGAAGATCAAACTGAGCAGGGTATGTTGTATTTATTTTCTTTCTGTTTTTGTTTGGTACACCATTTCACTTGTCAGTCATATGCATGAAGCCCTATTTGTTTCTTGGAAGATATCAAAAGCTTGGATGCAGAGGTCCAGGCACTAGAAGAACTTTCCAAACAACTATTTCTTGAGATATATGAACTCCGTCAAGCAAAGGTATACTTTTTGCACCTTTCATCACAATGTTAAGATTGAAAACGAAAACGATTGGCAGGACATACCCCTCTACTTTCTTAACCTTGTGCTGTTTAGTTCTATGATTGTGATGGGGTTGCCATCATTGCTTTATTGTGGTGTTGGCTACTTAACATTGATTTGGTTAGATAGTAAGAGAACTGTTACTCTATCCCAACAAATCGGATCAGCCGCATAAATGTTACACCACTTGCTAAAGTTCATTGGTTATTGTACCTTACAATTGAATATTGTGAATATTTCTCCCTATAGATTAGCATAACTTCCTTCCATTATGGTGATTTCTGATGTATTGGCTGATGTTTTCATTTCATTTTCGCATTAAGGCACTGACATATATCTGAGAACTTATAATTTCTGGGAGAATCATTCAATAAGATTGCATTTCTTTTTGGTTACATACATTTTAATTATGCGGACTCTTATATCCTGTACATCATTTTACTGCAGTAATGGGTCTCCTTTTTTTCTTTCTTTAGAGTTTTCTATATGCACAATTTCTCGATGCTTCTTTGAATATATGAGCTAAACTTTTCTACACCGTTCTTTTCATTTTTCCAGATAGCTGCTGCGTTTTCTCGAACTTGGAGAGGCCATGCTCAGAATCTACTAGGATATGCTTTGTCAGTGTATTGTGTTTATAAGATGCTCAAGGTATTACTAAATGTGGCATATTTTTTTGGTCCATGCATTTCACCAATTCCACATACCTATATGTAGCCCTGACAAGACCACAAAGCTAGAACTACAGAAATAGTTGATTAATCAATTCATTCGTCATGTCATTAAAAAGATTGTGTGGCTTCCATATGCTGGTTGCCAAGTGTTACAGTTTTGTTTTGTGAGATTGTGTTCTATTCTTTACTCAATTGTAATCAACCTTGTGGACAGTATCTTACATTTCTTTTTCTTGATTTTGCTTCAGTCCTTGCAGAGTGTTGTCTTTAAAGAGGTAAAATCACTTCTTTCCTTCGTCAAACTCAAACCAATTGCTTGTTTCTTTTTTCCTAATTCTGGAAATTTCCATTGTTAACCTACATACTATTTCCCCCCTTTCCAGGCAGGTTCTGTTGATCCAGTAACCATGACAATTACCATCTTCTTGAGGCATTTTGACATTGGTATTGATGTCACTCTTTTATCACAGGTACACATGCTAAAATTAAAAGGTGAACAATTCCAGAATCGAGAATAAATTCATTATTACTCTGAACTGCAGTTCTCTGTACATTTGATGTTAATTGGAACCGCTATGTAAGTTGTAAGCAATTTTCAAAATTCCCATAAAATAGGTATACAGATATTTTTTGGCATGTCCTTTGCGTTTTGGCTCTTTCCATAAAGTACCATATGTAGATTAAACATTAATTTTGAGGTGCTTTGAATTGGCTTGGTTTGACTTTCATGCAACCTGGTTACCTCCTTTCCTTTTTGCTTCTTTGTTCATGTTCTATAGCTTACATGTGTCCTGCCTGTTCACTTTTTGTTGCAGTATATATCTCTCATATTTATCGGGATGTTGGTTGTCATATCTGTTCGAGGTTTCTTGGCAAATGTTATGAAGGTGAGTTATTTCTTTCAGTTATCTATACATACAGCTGTTAGTTGTTACTGTACCCTTGTTAATAGAGCATTAGAACGCAATTCTATGGTGTCTCACTTTCTATGCAGTTCTTCTTTGCTGTTTCTAGAGTTGGGAGTGGTTCAACAACCAATGTTGTCCTTTTTCTATCTGAGATCATGGGAATGTACTTCATATCATCTATTCTTCTCATAAGGAAAAGCCTGGCAAATGAGTATAGGTATATCTCTATTGCTTGAGGGTGTCTTTCCCTATATCCAAACTGATGTTCGTTCATATAAATGGTTTTTATTCTCCATTTGCGTTTATATGATCCTAAAGTTGCTGAGGTATACACAAAGTTATGGAACATAACTCCTTTGTTTAGAATCTGCCTCTGTTGGGAATTGGAAAACACAAATATTTATGTGAAGGTTTTGAAGATAACAATGAATAGTGACTGTTGACTGAAAATGGAGCTATGCAACTTAATCTTCTGTGCATTGTGTTTGGTAGTACTTGTAATTTATATCACAAAAGCATTCTATTGTCGACATTGATGTTTTAAATGCCTGTTTGCACAGGGTGATCATTACAGATGTTTTGGGTGGTGATATCCAGTTTGACTTTTACCACCGCTGGTTTGATGCTATATTTGTGGCTAGTGCATTTCTGTCCTTGCTTCTGATTTCTGCCCAATACACCTCCCGGCAAACAGACAAGCACCCAATTGATTGATGCTTTTGTACCATTTGTGCATAGTGTTCTTTTAACCACTTTGTCCAAGGTATGTGCCTCTCCTTTTTCCTGCACTAATTGAATGATCCGACTTTGGCTGATATATTTGTGTTTGTTTGTTCAGGTTGACCCATTCATTCTACCAGTTTCCAAAGGTTGTCGTTTCTCCATGGACTTCCATATACAGTTACAGAACATAATACATCAGTTAACTTGAAGGTGTCTCCTTGTTTTGGAGTATGTTTCCTGACGTTGAATCATGGTGAAACAGTTTCTCCATATGCAAGTCATTAGGAATGCTTTGCATCGTGATGATGCAGAACTGCAAATGGGGCCGGTTGTAATGTTGTGTCCACATGATAATTGTTTTTTGAAGACAAGAGGATGTCCTTTCTTAGGAATGAAGTATTGACTATGTAAAATAGCTTGAGAATAGCGTTGCTAGCATGATATGAAGTCGGTGTATCTCCCACAATTCTTTTTTGGCTATTACTACTACATGTGTAGTGTAACATTTGCCCAACTTCAAAAGGTAGATATTATTCATGTGACAGCAATCTCTTCGTTAGTACTCTCTCCATCAAAAAAAAAAAAGTACTCTCTCTATCATAAAAAAAAAACTAGTACAATGAATCTGGATAATCTTTTGTCCAAATCGTTATACTAGGAGGGGTCACATGTTAGTTTTTTTTGGGACAGTTTGTTTCTTCTGCAGTACTTTGAAGTGATTTCTTGGATAATTTTGTTATACTGATGATGTCTTATTCATCATAATCCCTTGCCTCAATAATCATACTTCTAGACTGAAATGCAGATGGACTGTCGTTTGTGGGAGTTTGTCCCTGCTTGCTACCACTGGAGTCCTCCTGCTTCCTGCTGCTAGCCAAAAGTCACGAAAACAAAGACCGGTTCTCCCAATGCATACAAGTGCTATCGATTGGTTGTTTCTTATTGTGAAAAATACCGCCCAAAAAGACGGGAGCACTTGAATTTGTTCTCTTACGGCCATCTCTTTTGCACGTAATGGATTCTGCCACGATTCAAAGATGGGGCGTCTCCAGTTTCCACTTATAGACCCGTCAAACCGCGGCGAGACGATCAAGCAAGTACCAGTGTACGGTGTACCAGAGGCGCATGACAACCGAAGCATTCCATCGCTGCGCACCAACTGCGGCATGCCTGGCAGAGCGTACGTACAAACACGCCGCCAAAGCCCGTGCCGGGCACCGCGCGCGTAGCACAGTACTCGGACTCAGGACGGAGTACGTGGTGGCTCTGGACCGCACTAGCGCCTGTCTCCCCGCGCTGCGCCGCTGCCCGTGCCGCGGCAGTGCCGACCGGCCGATGCGCTCAGCTTTGCCACACATGAGACACGCCCGGGGCCGCCGGCATCGCGAGCCGCAGAGACAAACCTGAACATTGCTCCCATCGATCGCGAGTACGTCCGTACACGCCCAAGCTGCGCACGCAGCATGCTGCGGGCTGTGTGGCTGCTGCACGGTCGCGTGCATGCATGCATGCATGCAACACGTACGTGTCCTTTGGTACGTGCGACGGTGTGAGTCTTTGGCCGCTCGCTTTGACGCACGCGTGTGTGTACGCACGTACTTCGCTTTGCCAGCGAGATGGCAAAAGCACGCAGCGCAGGCGATGGAGTGATGAGAGACGCAGGGTGCGCACAACGCCTTTGGTTGCTGCTGCTGCAGCGCTGCTGGGGCCGTGCGCCTCGCTTGCCTGACACGGTCAATGCTGCGCAAATCGCTCTCGCTATCTCTGGCTGTGTTTAGTTGGGGAAAAGAAAATTTTTGGGTGTCACATCAGACGTTTGACCGGATGTCGGAAGGAGTTTTTGGACACGAATGAAAAAACTAATTTCAGAACTCGCCTGGAAACCGCGAGACGAATCTTTTGAGTCTACTTAAGCCGTCATTAGCACATGTGGGTTACTGTAGCACTTATGGCTAATCATGGCCTAATTAGGCTCAAAAGATTCGTCTCGCGATTTATAGCTAAACTGTGCAATTGGTTTTTCTTTTTGTCTACATTTAATGCTCCATGCATGTGTCCAAAGATTCGATGTGATAGGTGAAGGGGAAAATTTTTGGGAACTAAACTAGCCCTCTATCTCGATATCGATCGATTGATCGTCCCTTCATGCCGGAGCCCCTCAAAATGGCGCGACACCGATGTGACGCGCACTGGCGCCGCGAGCTCGCGTACGGCGAAGCTAGAGAGAAAGGAGGGTATAGACACGAAACGTTCGAGGAGGGCGCGACGACGAGACGTCGGCGAATCGCGATCCCTTTCACGCGCCCGCGTGTCGTGCGTCGAGGAGTTCGTGTGGCTCCGACGGGGCGGGCCGTGCCACGGGGAGTACCAGGTCGCGCGCTCGGTGGACTCGAATCAGTCACTCTCGTCGTCGCATGGGTTTTGGGTGGACTCGAGTGGCCTTTTCCGAAAGGCTGCTCGTTCGGCAACGCGAAACCACATGACCCGTCCCTCCTCCAGGCCAGGCTTGGTGCGTTGCTGCTGGCTGGCTCCTCGCCTTTACCTCCTTTCCTGATCAAAGATTTGCTCGCTCGCTGGCTAGCCAGCTGCTAGCTTTACCCACCCCAAAAAACCTCGATTTGTCCGCTCCACAAACACGCATCTCTATCGGTCGTCTAGTCATTTTCCACCCCTTCCGCCTCTCTTTGGCCAAGCATCCAGCGCGAAAACAGAGAACAAAAACCAGTGGCCTAGCTAGTACGACACCACAGTACCCGTCCTGTACAACGGCAAACTCTACACGTGTGGACGCTGGATGACTCTCTGGTTTAGGCTTTTGTCTCGAGCTCGAACGCGTGGCTTCCACAGTAATGATCTCTAGGTTTCTCGCAAACTGCCCCAAAAAACTCCCAGTTAGTACTAAAAAATTTGAATTAACGTTTGGGGCCGAGGGGGACAAACGAGCCACAGTCGCGGGCACAGTGAGCTAGCGATAGGCCCCTAAGCCATGAAAAGTTGCGACCTTGCGCATGCACGCATGCAGCGGCGCAGCAGGTGGATCACTGGCTCGATCCCGACTGGATCATCGTCGTAGTCTTACTCCTATGCGTTCTGCGAACCTGGCCGGGCGGCCGGCTGGCTGGCTGGCTTCGCTCGCCCGACACGATCCATGCCAAATTGCCAAAGTCGCCTTGCCCGTCGTCGTCGTCGTCGCAGGCGAGATCGATCGAGAAAACGCGAAAGAATCAGAGAACTCGACGGGAACAAAAAAAAGGCCTCCCCGATCCGCCCGAGGCTGGCTGGCCGGGCTGATCAGTCTAAGGCTGCGCGCCCCGTACCGGCACTGACGTGCCTGATTTGCCACTTTGACCGCGACGCCACCGCGCTGACGCCGGGACGCGCGCCGCTGGTGGGTGCCCGGCCGGCAAGCCAGCAATGCGCGCGGCATCAAAATGCGGGACGGGCAAATGCGCGTTGCTTCCGTTCCGTCTCGCGGCGCGGGGAGAACGAGAGAGTTGCACTCGTCCTCGTCGACGACGTTCTGGCGGTGGAATCTGCTTTCGCCTGCGCCGCTGCGCGATGTGATGCTCATTGGGATCACAAAACCACATTGCCAGATGTGCGTGGTTGGGGCTTTTGGGGGGGGGGGGGAGGGGGGGCTCTCGCCCTCGCCATCGATCTTGCACTCCGCACGCTTTCCGTCGCGACGCTTGGCGAACCGAAAGAGAGGGCAACTTCAGATGAGTTGTACTACGAGTCTCAAAATCAATCCACACACTAATGTAAACTCCTTTAATTTAGTTCGTTTGCCATCGATCTCAAGAAATTAAGTACCGATCGATCACTCGATCACGTTGCCGCTTTTTCCTCTTTCGCTTTCGCTCTGTCATAACGTTAGCAACTATGCTGCTAGCTAGCTTTCCGTATTCATGCTTTCTCAAGAAACTATGCAGATCGTCAGATCGAGATAAGATTAGAATCAGAACGAGCCGCAAATCAATCGGTAGAAACGCCACCGTTTTCTCCCCGTCTCCTGTTTGAACTTTGAACGGGAAAAAGGCAGAAACGCCATTTTTGGAGTATTTTATGATTTCATTTCGATATCCTTTGATCTCTCTTTTGGTTCGGTCAAGCACACTAGCCGGTGCGCTTGGCTGCTGTGCACAGCCATGTATGATTGCAGGGTGGTCTGTGCCGCCGTACGTACAGAAGCTGAGAAAAGAAGCATCCAAATACTATAGTATTTGCCTCGTGAAGCAGTGAACAGCGGAGGCTGGTTTAAAAATTGTTCAGAAGAAGCGCATGTGTAGGTACAGGACGGTAGATAGATGGAATAGGCTCATGCATTTAACCGGGAATCTGAGTAACTGTTTTCATCAGATGCACAATGGTTTCGAACGGAGATAGGACTAGTCGGCTGCGCGCCTGCGCATAGCTCGGATGCGTGCCAGTGCTAGTACTCCTACTAAAAGATTACAGAACCTGATCGTATAGTACTCGTATGATATACTACTATACTGTTTTTTAATATAGAAATTCTCATATCCTTTTCACGTCGCCATGTTTTTGTACAACTATAGTCTATGAATCTGCATAATAAATATTTGCAAATGATATTTACAGGAGCTAATAAAATTCAAACTGAACTTATCTAAAAATGTACAAGTCTGAATCTCAAAATTTATCCACACATGACACATGTCCGTGACTGTCTCCAGCAAAAATTGACTGCTCCAACCTCCCACCTACCTATACATTTCGTGATGTTGATTTGTATATTTCCTCTCGGACGGCGATGTTTTTGCTCTCCTATTAATCGTCGTTGGCTTTCCACCACCGCAATTAATCGAAGAATCCGTCATTTGAGAGGTTCATTTTAGACGCTCGTGATCTTAATCCCTATAGTAATTTGTACGGTTTATTAATTGATGTGAACCTAATACTAATAGCCTATGGCATTGTCTACTTGTCGCTCTGATTGTCTCTCTCATCGTCGCTGTCGGTGACATGGGACCGGGAGTATCATGACTAGAGGCTTGAGGCAGACACAATCGCCCACGTGACCTGGCACCGTCAGGGGGCGTCGGGCCCGAGGGTGATGTGTTCGCCCTCCTCTTTACCGGGAGTATCATGACTTAGAGACTTGAGGCAGACACGATCACCCACGTGGCCTAACTCCCTCGGGGGGGGGGGGGGGTCGGGCCCGAGGGTGATACGGCTGCCCTTCTCTTTGTCTCCCCAAGGGGTCGGGCCGCTCCCGTCTCGGCCCCGAGGGCCGAAGCGCCCCGACCCCTTGTGGGTTTTGCGCCACGTATATGGGGTAGGTGAGCATGGCGGGGCTCACCTAACCACATTTATTGCAGTTTTGACGAGCGCGTCACGCCGCCTGTATCGCAGTACAGCACGCTCGTTTATCCGGTCTGTGACCAGTCACAGACCGGTCAGATCATGGGTTAGGTGGCGACAGGCGGTCTGACGCACGCCTCGCCCCATCCCGTCAGGACGAGAGCCTCCAAGCACTCGTCCCTAGCTGGAGCCGGCGTGTTAGCTCCTGGAGATGGCACGTTGGTTCCGGTCAGATATATGCCAGGCTTCATCCTAACCATTACAGGCAAGATATTGTATGAAGAAGGGCGAACATGCAGATTGTTAAACTGACACGTGGTGGACAAGAATGACCGATTTGTGACCGGTCTGACAATGGTCAAGTCATCAGCAGACAGCCATCTTCCCACGTCGCGCCTGCCTCCGGCGGAAGTGGAGGTAGGTATGGGCCGTCCCATCAGAAGGTCATTCGGACGGCGGCGATGCAAATCTCCGTCTGTTAATGAAGAGAAGTCAAATTGGAAGAAAGAGAGGGGGAGATGGTGCATGTGGTATCCCCTTAAGATATAAAAGGAGGACCTTGCCCACTTAGAGGGGGGATGATTGGACTTTTCCAGATTGGGAACCCAGAACAAGAGAGAGGCTGGCTCATACTTTGTAGCTCCTTCATACACAGATCCTCCAAAACACAGGAGTAGGGTATTACGCTTCTCAGCGGCCCGAACCTGTATACATCGCCGGCGTCTTGTGTGTTTCCTGTCTCGCGAACCTTCCACAAATTGGGAGCTTAGAGTCTCACCCAGGGTCCCCGGCCGAACCGGCAAAAGGGGACCAGCGCGGTCTCCCGGTGAGGAGCCCCACGCTCCGTCAGTCGCTATGGGCTACTCGCCTATTGGGCTTGCAAGCACACGCTGACGTACTTTGCGCCATCAAGATCGGACGGTCCTCGATCATGACAAAGCCCCGTCAGCATATGCATCACATCGCACGGTCCTGATCGCGCCACGGCAGCACGTTCGTCATCGCCACGGTCCGTGCCGGGGCCCGGGCCTTCGCGGGCCCCGCAGCGAATCACCGTAGGTGGGGCCCAGCCCAGGACCAGGGAGATGACCACACGCCGCGCAGGATCGGACGGCCGCGATCTCGCGGGGACCGCCGCGTGTCCCGTGGGGGAGGGACTATATATGGGCCGGAAACGAGACGGCTTGCACTGCCTGTGCACTCGGCGCCCTCTCGTCGTATATGGGGGAAGGATCCGACGGCCCAGCGCGACGCCCGCAGTGTTCTCTCCCTCCCCACCTCGATCTCTCTCTCTCGCTTCGTGGCTCTTCTCTCCTGCGACTGCGAGAGGAATCTCCCACTCAGTCCCAGATTGTTTCTGTGCGGCGACAGCGTCGCTGCGTAGCTTCTGATATCTTTGCCGCCGCTGTGTTTGGCGCCATTGACGCAGCCGCATCCACTCCTCGACCAGACAAGGGAGGCCTTTCTCTCTGTGCTATCTCCAAAGGCTTCTGAGTCGATTCAGAGGCAGAGCTCGAAACCGAAAGGGCGGCGAAGGTGAAGCCGACCGGCGGGCTGCAAATTGCGCTCGTTCGCTCACCGGCGACGTGGAGGAGAAGGTAATGGTGGTGACGGCGACGCACGCAACCAGCTTGCTTGATGCTTCGTCTTATCTTTGCTTTGCTTTTTTTTTGTGTGTGTGTGTGTTGAGTTACACTTTTTCTATGTTTTGTTTTCTCGTCTTGCATGCCGTTTCTTACCCTGTTCTGTTCACCAGAAAGTCAAAGTCCGTTTATCTTGGTGTCAAAAATAAAAGGCCGTTTCTCCTTGCATCCCGCTCTCGCTTCTAGGCGTATACATATTTATTTTGGCACATTTTTGTCTGCATCATTTCAGGCGCCGGAGAGAGAGGAAGAGGAGGCGGAGCAACCCGGTCAGCGCGCGCGTAGGTGGTTTGGGTACGCACACTGTTTACACGGCGAGCAAACTCGGAGGAGAGAGAGAGCTGTGGCTAACGTAGCTATCTGGGGGCCGTCAGTTACCTGTAAGCATCATCTCATCACTCTCACTGTGCCTCTCATTTCTCTCTCCCTCTACAGCAACATTAATTAATTACTAGCTGATACTACTACTGTACAAAAGAAATTACTACCACCGGCCAAAAGAAAACACACACAATACCGTGTTTAAGGTTATCACGTCGTGTTTCTATTAAAAAAGCGCAAAAGATAATCAGCAAAAACCCTACCGGGCTCCACAATGCAGTCACTCGATAGCCGGTCGCTTTAGCCGGGGCCCATATTTTTCTCGGTAGGGATGGAGCAGGAGGAAAAAAAAAATAAAGTCCAGGCAGTACGTTGATCTGGGGGAGGGCGTGGGGCCCCAGCTGCAGTGACTGTAGCTGATACACATCTGAGCGGCTCCCTGCCTCGTCCACCGAGCTACTGCTGTTGGTGTCGTTTGGAGTCTTCCCCATACGCCCCTGCCTACCTCGCGTGGGTAGCTGCGCCTCATCTGCATGAACACTGTGCACAACACATACACAAACGGGCGGAGCTAGCTAGCCATAGCACACTGGTGGTTAATAAATTTCCATGTGCGCGTAAACATCAGAAGCTTCCCTGCCGCAATGTAGCTGACCGTATTTTACTACTACAACCTGCTTTTCAGTTTTGATTTACTAGTAGTATATGTGTGTGTGTCATGTGGCATGGCGATTAAAGAATCTCTGTGCCTGTGCCCGTCGATCGATCTGCTTTGCCCCGCGTAGCGTTTCTTCCACTGTGTTAGAGCAGCCTGCGAATGCATGCCATGCATGCAGGAGTAGCTGTGAACGACTGTGATGCTGCCATTGGCATGGGTCTTGCTTGCTTTGTTATGCTGGTGCTATACTTTTTTGTCGCTGCAGGCTCCAGTGCTCCACTGCACCAGCTAGCCAGCCAGCTTGCCCCGTTTTGACGCCGGTGGCGAATTGAAGCTCCAGAGACCAGAGTCCCTAGCTATAGCTATCTCTCGTACATACGCATGCTTGCATTGCTCTCTGTTGCTCAACGAGCCGGAAGGACAGCTCCTCCGACGCACACGCATGCGCACGTGTGCGTGGTCACGGACCGGCCGGATAGCTCTGTGCTCGCATAGTGTACCGGATGTCGTGTTCGCGTGCTTACATGTGAGATGCAAGGATGGCATGGCACGTCTGGTCCAAATGGTGTGTGGTACTAGAATGGCGTCACACACCGGCTTGGAAACCGCTTTACGTTATTACAGTACATTGTAGATTGTGGCTATGGCTAGAGGATACTAGACTGATAGTGTCACTGTTGATACTTGATAGGAGTACGTACTTTCGGCGTGTATTTATTTTGGTCGTACATACGTGTGCGTGGATACACGAAATCTCGCACTCGTTTAATTATCATGGAAATGTGTACTATACATGTACTAAGTGTACTATTGCCATGCGAACAACGACAAAGTTTGACCATCTCATGGATAGACATTCTATCACATGCATGCATGCAACTGTAGCCGTGGGCTGTAGTGTCTACATGACGGCATGTCTGATCAAACTTGATCTTTCGTTACAGCGGCTTCAATTCTGATAGATAGCCGTACTGTGGTAGTACTATATATGTAACGCTAATGCACACACTTTTGCAGTTCGATACACAAGGTGAGATTGTGGGGGGAGCGATTGACTACTGATTGATCCGTCTCGTCGTCGTCGATCGAGGAGAGGGAGGCAGATAGGGAGAGGGGGTCAGAGAAGATGCTGGCATGCATCGCGTGCTCCTCCAAGGAAGGCGGGGAGGACGGGTCCCGTGGCGCGGCCACGCCTCACGGCAGAGATGCCGTCAAGTCCCTCACCTCACAGGTACCCGTCTGTCCCTTCTTCTTCTTCGTCTTGATCTAAACTTCTTCTCGTACATGCTACTCCTGGATCGAATTTACACCTGCTACTTTGCCATCAGTACTGCAGTATATAGAGTGTACTACTACATGCTACTAGCTCTGTCTGTATGAGGAAGAGATAGTAGTAGCAGCAGTTAATAGACGAGGGGGAGACCAGGGGTGGCAGCCAAGATGGACGACCACTGAGACTGTACAGTAGTATACCACTAGTGCTCTGTCTCTGCTTACCCATGTCACAAAAAAGAGAGAGAGAGAGAGAGAGAGAGTACAGTACTCTACTTACCAGCAATGCCCAGGAATTGCCCAAGCATGGCCGATCTGGGACCGTATGCGCTGTGTTGCAACCTTGCAACTGAATTGAATTCGTTCGTCCGATTGGTTAGGTCACCCGCAGATCGATCAGCCGGTGTACGTTGGCAAAGAGTCCAAAGTCACGGTGGTTGAAAACTGACGAAGTAATGTGCGTGTGATAGAGACAAACTACTAGCAAAGCGTCCGTCGCCATTTCCTGGTACGGTGGCCGTGTACGTACTAGGTACTATTAAACGAGCAAGTTTCTGTAGCCATGACTGCCATTTATTTTGGCCCTTAGCCCCTTTACGGAATCATAGGATTACTAGTTCCGCCGCCCCACGCAATGCAGACACAGACGCAATCAATTGAGTACCTATACTCAGGTCATCTAACTCTCGATCGTCCTATGCAAACATACTCCAAAATGCTTTTAATTTCTAGCCGTACCTTCTCACAAGTTACAATGGATTGATATTGTTCATTTCTGCATATACAAGTATGCAACTTTATGACATTTTACGTTTTAAGAAAAGCCATTTTTAGTACTGATCATAGGCAATTAAACTAGTTTGGTATGTTGTCAGAGGTAGTACAAATCAACGAGCAGAGATCAGCATGATGTCCCTAGCTAAGACTATGTGTTTTCTCTGAAAAACCTATACCTACGTCGTCCAACTTTACAACAGTGATACAACTGCTGACTACAGTAGCTAGGAAATGTTGATGTTGAGCCATGCCCAAAAGTACGATGTGAATGACAGTGGTTCAATCGCCTCCCTTTAGCACTCAACGTCGATAAATTCTGGCGACATTCCTCGACAAAGCTGGTCAAGGGAGGATGAGTAGATGTGGTGGGAGAAAGAATTAAGGCCACTTTAATGTCTTTGCTGCTTGGATCCCCATCCCAGCCGGCCGGCCGGGCGCCACCACTCCTAAACTTTGGACAGTTTGCCACTTTGCCAACCACATCGTGGCTTGATTTTGTTCCCATGCTATGCACACACATTCCCCTTCTTTTCTCATTCGTTCATTCCCTTTGCCCTAAAGAGATGCCCATAAGGTAGATACAAAGTGCCCCTGTGGCTGCCTGCCTGATGGTTGGCTGGTGTCCACCCTTTTTCCCTTGTAGAAAGGCATGCTTTGGTGGTGTTTCTAAGGGGGTGTTTGGTTGAATACATGTCTTGGGTTGGCACGTCTCAAGGCCTATTCAGATTGTAATCAAATAAATCTTACTACCTCTGTTTTTTAATAGATGACGCCGTTGATTTTTTCTCACATGTTTGACTATTCGTCTTATTCAAAAATTTTATGCAAATATATAAGATATAAATCAAATTTAAAGTAATATGAGTGATAAAACAACTCATAACAAAATAAATTATAATTACGTAATTTTTTTGAATAAGACGAATGGTCAAACATGTAAGAAAAAGTTAATGGCGTCATCTATTAAAAAACGGAGGTGGTACTAAATTTTAGCATCGCTAAAATTTTAGCAAGTTGACAATATTGCCTTTGGCAAGATTTCTTATTTATTTATCAGAGTTTAGTAAGAAACTAAATGGATATATATATTTGACAGCTTTATAGAAAAAAGATACGATTTGAAATGGCATCAATATGAAACAAGCCCTTAAGCATGCCGTTGTTTCTTACAGAGAAGGAGCCAAGAATTTTAACCAATATAACTGTTCGATCTTCAAAATTCTCATGATATTTGAATGGATTTACAAAGGATTAATAAGGAGACAAAAACCAAAGGTTCAGGCCGTAATTGTCCTAGATTTATCTCCGCCCTAGTTTCTTAGGTGGTCTTTGGTTCGTTCGTTGTGTCAGATTATATTTCCAACCGCATAGTCCAACATCAAAATATTTGATTCCTTATCTACCTTGGTCATTGGTGTCGTCAGTATTCTGTTGACCATATGCCTTACCTAAGGTTAGGAATATGCCAAAGTTAGCCACGAACAAAACACAAAGTCTAAAACTAGGATCTGCCTTGCTTGCTGCAATGGAGATGGAATAAAGCCGGATACGAATCGGGCCACGGTGCATTGGCACGCGACGCGAGCTATACACTCACGGATTAATTAGGCCCAGCCTGGGCCCCTGCACCTGCCGGCCGCCGGCCGCGGGCCACGCAAACGCGCGCGCGGCTCGTCTCGCGTATGGCTCGCGTCTTGCATCTGCGGGCTCGCGTCTCGTGTCTTTTTAAGCGAGCGCGCACGGCGCACGCAACGCATCATGCGTGCATGCATGCCATCCATGCGGTGGAGGGGTCATGCTGCATGTGCTGCGATCGAGCGAGCCAGCGAGCGGCCGGGCCGCGCGCGCCTTTGCGCGCGACGAGCTGTCATTATCGCCCGCACCGGTTACTATGTTGCTTTGAGCTTAGGCTGCGATAGATATGCAGCCATGAGGCATGCATGCCACGGTTCCTTGATTCAGACAAAAGGGTAAAGATTTCCCTCCTGTGTCGTGTGCAGTGTCACTAGCCAGTTAGTGTGGTCCTTAATTTGTACCAAGTATATTTGTGTGTTACTACTAGTTTTTTTTTTTTTGTGACCTAGCTAGCAGCCAGTGGCCACTTTTGATTTAAACCTGTTTGTCATATGAGGTCATCGGTCAGCAGGCATCATTCTCGGTACTCTTCCCTAATTTAAAGGTCACACATATGGATACACATGTTTATGGATGTTCATGATTAAAAAACTATTTACTTTTGATCCAAGCAAGCTAAGTATTGACACATGTAAATGTATCACAGATATTATACGATGTGATAGCTACTTATGCCAGTAATTCCAGTGAGAGCTGATGCACATAACACTCGCGAAGTGACTCTCGCGTGACTGAGTGGTAGCTAACTAGGCTCCTACGATGCAATGTGTTGTCTCCAGCTCAAGGACATGGTGCTCAAGTTCTCCGGCTCCAACAAGCATCAGCACTACAAGGCGGCGACGGCCGGTAGCCCTTCGTTCAGGAGCAGGAGCTACCGCCGTCCGTACCCGGGCTTCATCGATGACTCCGCGTTCATGACGACGACCAGGCCTGGAGGTGAGGCCTACATGTACACGAGAGCGGCGCCGCCGCCGCCCGTCCGGGCCGCGTCGACGTCGATGGCGACATGGGACATGACCAGGAGCAAGAGCAACCGAGGGTGGCAGCAGGATGCCGGCAGGAGCCCCGGCGGCACGACGTGGATACAGAGCATCGAGGAGGAGGCCGGCGCCGACGACGTCACCGTCGTGGAGGATGCCGTGCCGAGGGAGTGGACGGCGCAGGTGGAGCCCGGCGTCCAGATCACCTTCGTCACGCTCCCCGGCGGTGGCAACGACCTCAAGCGCATCCGGTTCAGGTTCTGACACTGATCATATCTGCTCCATTTCCACGGTTGATTGTATTCTCTGCACGTATTGTGTGCGAGCGATTTGTCCAGAGTTAACTCTCACGCACGTGCGTATTGGTGTGTGTAGCCGAGAGATTTTTAACAAGTGGGAGGCGCAGCGTTGGTGGGGCGAGAACTACGACCGCATCGTCGAGCTGTACAACGTGCAGACGTTCAGCGGCCGGCAGCAAGGCGTGTCCACTCCCACGTCCTCCGTCGACGACTCTATTCTGGTCGGTACTACGCCCTTCAAAGATTTCACGGGCATTCTATGCTACTTCGAAATCATCACGTTGTTTTCATCTGCATGATCAATAATGCAACTCACTGAAAAATCTGGACCGTGCATGAATGCAGAGAGAATCATCGTTCTGCTCCAGGGGCGGATCGACCCGGGAGAGTCCGGTCGTGACGCCGGCGACGTCGTCGTCGCTGGCCAAAGAGCCGATCGCAAGGAGCATGTCGTGCAAGGCGATGGCGGCTTCGGCGTCTAATTACGCCGCGGCGGCGGCTTCCACAAGAGCGGCGTGCTACCCATCGGTGGCAGTGCCCGACCCGTCCGACCACGTGTGGGCGCACCACTTCAACATGCTCAACTCCGCTGCGGCCGGCCCGTCCGCGGCGGGCGGCGGCGTCCCATCGTTGTACGACCCGTCGCGGGGGACCACCTCGTCCCGCGACGAGGCCTCCGTGTCCATCAGCAACGCGAGCGACATGGAGGCGACCGAGTGGATCGAGCAGGACGAGCCGGGCGTCTGCCTCACTATCCGCGAGCTCGGCGACGGCACCCGCGAGCTCCGCCGCATCCGGTTCAGGTATACACTAATCACGCACGGATAGCCAAAACATCTTAGGTTTACCATGTCACCAACACAAATCTTTCAAATCTAACCAGAATTTCATGTATATACTCGCCTAGGGACTACTTTCTGATTGATCCATGCTTAATCGTACTCAATTGATTCTCTGCTTCTGCAGCCGCGAGAGGTTTGGTGAGGACAGGGCGAAGGTTTGGTGGGAGCACAACAGAGACAGAATACAAGCACAGTATCTGTAACAAGGCATGCATCTATGCATGAGTCGAGCAGATCAAGAGAAAAAGGGAGATAGATTAGGGAGAGGTGATACCGCTGTTAGTTGCTGATCGGTTATCCTTGTTACAGTGCAAGGTAAAACAAAATAGTGAAAGTTGGTAGGGATAGGAGTGAAATGTATCTTTGATGCTGTGTCCCTCTTTGTGTAGACAACATATATAACGTGGTGATGTGTTCTCACCTGGTTGCTGCATTAAATTTTTCTTGTAACGCAAATCTTCATATTCGTTGGTTCAATTTATTCGTAAGCTTGTCAAATCCTTTACCGGATTTCTCCCTCCGTTCCTTTATACTCAGCTATGAAATCTGAGAGGAATTCTCTTTTACGTTGTCTAAACAAATGTCATAATGTCAGTCATTCGTTTTCATTTAAATCTGATCTTCATTTGGACTCCTTATCATTTTCCACTACATCTACCAACAAAATAGCGGGATTAAAAATCAAATTTTCATATTAAATCTCACTAACAATTCTCTCCTATAACCTCCCGATCTCCTTAGTCCAAGTTGCCAAACAAGCTGTACAATCCTCCACACAAAAATAAATTCCTGTGGGCCGTACATGGGCCACACTAATAAACGCCACGTCGGTAAAATTTGTACTAGTTTACTGCGCTGAAGGTCTCTACACGGCCACACGAGCGGCCCAAATTGTCTTAGCCCAAGAAAAACCACAACCGCTTGCGCCCAATTCCACCCACCCACCCTCCGAGTCCGACCCGACTCCACGTGCACTACCTTCCCCATCGCCGGAGTCCGGCGACCCCGCCGCTTGCCGGCCCCTCGACCGATGGATCGGCCGTCCACGTGATGGATCCCTCGCAGGAAGAGCCCGCGCCACAGGTCGCCGCGGCCGAAGGGGCGGAGCCGAGACGGCGGCGGCCGGGGGCCGCGGTCCGCGGCGCCCTCGGGGTGGCCGCCCCCTTCGCGGCGTCATTCCTCTTCTCCTTCGTCGTCGGGCTCGCGGGTCTCGTCCTTGGTGGTCTCTCCTCCACCGCGTCCGTCTCCATGCCTTCCACCTGCCGGATCCTTTCCACCGGTCAGTGGCCGTTCCTGTCTCTTCAGTCCTTTCCTGATTTAGTTCTATCGTTACAGTTCTAGAGCTAACTGATTTGTGCACGGACAGCACAGTTCTTGAATTATGACGAGGATAAGCTATCTAGGCTGTATGAGAGAAGAGTTTAATGCGAATCTAAGCTCCATTCCGTTCTGTGATGTACATTTTAGCATGCTTCTTACAAATGTAATAGTTATTGTGACATGTTGCTGACTTACTATTCTAGAAACTTAGTTGTACTATTGTAGAGTGTTCATTGGCTATTGGTTTCTAGTATACTGGAGTTAGTGTTCTTGAATACTAATGTTTATGGATTATCTTTTTTTCTGTCTAGACCAACTTGAGTTGAATATGTGTGGACTGATCTAGCTTTGATGTGATTGTCGGCACATTTCAGGTGTTGATCTTAGGTCATCAAAAGTTTGTGAGCTCGGACTGTTGAACTATAGAGCTAAGCATGTATTTTACCCCTCGAGTAATAGAAAATTTCGATGCCATGATGACTACTATTGGGCTTCAGTCTTTGAGGTGAGAAATTGTGGTGTTATTTTTTTTAAAAAAATATAATTTACTTTGTCATTGGCATATCTATAAGCACTTGATTGATGAAATGTTTCATTTGCCTGCTGCTTTTCTGCCACTCTGCTTGCACAACAATGCTTTAGAGTCTAACGTTAACTGTTACTAGTATGACTAATGAGGCTGATATCATGTTCAATGCCTCTAGATTTAACTTTATATGTTTTTAACTGATGCTTACAAATTATAGGTAATAGCTCAACTCCCAGTTATTGACAAACAGTTATAGCTTTTTTCTAGTTCTTAGTAGTTTATGCATAAATTAATTTGCAAAGACAACTTCCTTAGATTTGCATCGACTTGCAGCGTTGCACAGCCTGCTTATTACTGTCTGTCCATCGTTTAGCTTAGTATCAATATTTTTTTATCACCTTTCTCCATTATTTCACTTACATATTTTAATAGATATTTTTATTTATTCAATTTGTTCTGCTTTTATGTTGCTGTAGGTTGAATACACAGAATATTTTTCTGGTCAGACATCTTATGCGGTGGCAGAGGCCCCAAAGGAGGCTCTTCCGCTGAATTGCCGGCCTGACTTTGGTGTTGCATGGTCAACAACATTGAAGTTCAAGGTAGTGTACTACTTAGCATCTTGTTCTCTGCTAGATGTAATATTTACCGATGCTTTTGTAGTTAAAATTTCCTCGTGGTTTTGGGGATCTTTAGGAATATTCATGCCTTTTACTCATTTCATGTTTAGTTGGAGGCACTAGTTCCTTTTCGACATTTCCTTTTCATCACCATTTTTTCATGTAGGTAAATGAATCGTATAGTTGCAGATACACATTGGGAAGTAGCAAGGCTGATATTTATTCAGATAGGCTGTTCAATTGCACCAGCGAAGAACCTTCAACAATTGAGATGCTCAAGAGGATATTTGTATTGTACGTATATTCGCTTCATTCCCATATATGGACTGCATCAACATTGCATGTTGTTTTATCAACATTAGCTCCATCAGATGATGATAACCCAGATCTGCTTAATCTGCAGACTGCAGAATGGTGAATACTTGGAAGTTGGAACTAAATATCTTCCTTTTCAGACACATAATTTGCTTGCATATCTGCATTATTTATTTACAATGTTTTTGTTCTTCTGATGCTCATTGTATCTCCAATATGTCGGATTATGAAGGTTATCGAAGTCCTATATGTTGGAGGATTTCAATTCCATTGGAATGCTTGGATACGTAATGGCAGGGGTTGTGGCTGGTATTTTGAGTGCCTTACTCATCACTATCTTACTCAGAAGTCTCCGAGGACTAGTCCTTGCAGTTGTTGGGTCCAGTGTAAGCAAGCATAGCATCAGAGTGTTTGCCTGTCGGCTTAAGCGTGCCTGCCTTCTTGTAGCATATGTATCCGTTGTTGGCTGGATTACTTTGCAGTACAGCAAAATGATTGGATTGAAAGAACTTCTGTTAGATTATGAAATCATGGAGAGATTCTTGTAAACTATAGACGCTTGCGGCACTGTATATGATATCAGCCGATTCTGGTCCTTGAGGGAAGAAAATTTTCTTTATTTACATGTGTGCAGCCAGAAATGCTGCTGCCTTAACCATGCCGCGTGTTGCGGAGTATGAGGTCCCTTTTTGGGCTTAAAACTTAAAAGTCCTTTGAGCCGTCGAATCCTTTTTGTGGAGAAGCAATGGCTAGTAAGTTGTAACCTCTATCCAGTTCATATACTGGTAGTTTACAAGCGGGATTGATTGTTCCACTTAGATATTTTTTTCAGCTAATATTCTAAAAACTTTCCACACTTTACTGGGTTAATCATCATCATGTAATCCTGAGTTTAAATGGAACAATTATCTGCATTGAAATTAGTTAGAGCAGGTACAATAGCAGGCTATAAGCCAGCTGTAAACATATTTTAAGGAGATAAATAAGGAGAGAAGAGCAGCGGGCTACATATTTGTAGTCAGCTGTAGTACGGACTCTAAGACGCAGTGTGTATATGACAGGTGGGACCATGTATTAATAGTATAGTATGTAACTATTGTATAAATGAGTTATTAGATTGACTATAGATGAATTGGAGCTAGTAGTTGGCTATACTATTAATCTTGCTCTTATCGATGCACAGGTAATAGTTGAACTAACTGCACCTATAATACCTTGTTCTTCTAGACTTGCTCGAAATTTAGGACTATCTTCAATTAAAAGTATGGTGTAACACCTTTTATGCAATAGTACTCCGTCGACCGAAAAAATATGGAAGAATACAATTTTTAGCTAAAATTTATCATAGTTTAATACGCCGAATTGACGGCCTAGTAAATCTATATCCCTTTAAAAGAAAAGAAATTAGAAATAAAGTAGTGATGGTAATAGTGAATTTGCTACTTCACCTACTGCATTGAAATTTTTGCAAGTTAACTCCTGAACTTTTTAATATTAAAAAGATCGAATCTAAATGGGTAGCTCCTAAAAAAAATAAAAGTAGGATGAATATTCTCTATAGCAAAAAGTGAAAGTACATTAATACATTATTTTATCTGTAGCGAGCATGGACATTTAGATGGTTTCTAAAAATTATATAGTATTTTGTGTTTATCATGATTTTTTCTTAGGAAAACAACGCTTACTACACGTACTATTTTCAGAATGGGCTTTCTTTATAGAAGAAAAATAATCCATCCTTTCGGAGGATCGGTTGTGGTCGTTAGCAGGCATTGCTTCCTTTAGGGATTTGTTGAAAGTGTAGCGTGGCTTTGCCCTCTCCCGCTGATTGGAGTAGCGTTACCTGTCGTACGAGTTATATTTTTCTTCCTTGGTTGTTTTTTTTCTCTCCTTGGTATAAGTTGGTCTAGCTAATTACATTGAGTAATATATTGACGTATAATCTTTTTCGCGTTCATGAAAAAATTATAGAAAAATAATTTTGGAGCGGAAACTAGTCTCCGCAGGAACTCTTTGATTTCTGACGGACTCAACGCCTGCGGGCTGCAGCTTCTCCCTGCTATCCTCCTTCCCTTTTGATATCGGGTCGAACTTTCCAGGACCGGTGCTGCGCATGCAAGTGATCTTCTGGTTTACTAGATGTTCACATTTTCTCCTTTCCAGCCACGGCGAAATGTCAGTCCATCTTCGCCGGTTGACTAGCACCGGTCGCCAAACTTCAAGGAAACCGACGTGCAGGATTCTTTCGTTGCCATGTTGTCACTCACCCGTGCCACCATCGCGCAGCAGAATCCTTCAGCGGCAAACCAAGAAACGACATCCCGTTGAAAGGTCAGGTCAACCGTAATCCTCATCACGGCATCAGTGCATCACCTGAGGCCGACCTGCTCTCCCGATCCCTCGCGAACTCCCCGGGAAGACGACGAAGACCAGTTACTTCTACAACGCAAATCGAACTATAGCCGCCCTGCTCTGTCCAGGAAGCAACGCGCCGGCGCGGGATGCTCCACTATAAAACGCACCCGCTAATCACATCGACCCGCCACACCACCTATCACAGCAACACAAGCCAACCACAAAGAATTCTCATTTCCGGTAACTTTTCTCAAGCCTTTTTGGCGCTCTGAGAATCATCACACGGAAGTCAAGCCTTTGTTGTTGTCGTGATTAGTTTAGTTTAGTCACCGAGATGAGCTCCCGAATGGCCGGAGCGACGCTGCTGCGCCACCTGGGCCCCCGCCTGTTCGCCGCCGAGCCTGTGTACTCCGGGCTCGCCGCGAGCGCCAGGGGCGTCATGCCCGCCGCCGCGAGGATTTTCCCCGCGCGGATGGCCAGCACCAGCAGCGCCGGCGCGGACGTCAAAGAAGGCGCAGCCGAGAAGCTGCCGGAGCCGGCGGCAACGGCGGCGGCGGCGGCGACCGACCCGCAGAACAAGAAGGCCGTCGTGAGCTACTGGGGCATCCAGCCGCCGAAGCTCGTGAAGGAGGACGGCACGGAATGGAAGTGGCTCAGTTTTAGGGTAAGCGCTCATCAACCATTGATGTGTGCGCTTCTTTTTTTGTTTTTTTGCACGGTGAATTCTCGATTTGATCGTGTTCATGATGTGTGTTTCTTTTGCATTGTGACACAGCCATGGGACACGTACACGTCGGACACGTCGATCGACGTGACGAAGCACCACGAGCCGAAGGGCCTCCCGGACAAGCTGGCGTACTGGACGGTGAGGTCGCTGGCGGTGCCCAGGGACCTCTTCTTCCAGCGGCGGCACGCGAGCCACGCGCTGCTGCTGGAGACGGTGGCCGGGGTGCCCGGGATGGTGGGCGGCATGCTGCTCCACCTGCGCTCCCTCCGCCGCTTCGAGCAGAGCGGCGGCTGGATCCGCGCGCTGCTGGAGGAGGCCGAGAACGAGCGGATGCACCTGATGACCTTCCTGGAGGTGATGCAGCCACGGTGGTGGGAGCGCGCCCTCGTGCTCGCCGCGCAGGGCGTCTTCTTCAACGCCTACTTCGTCGGCTACCTCGTCTCCCCCAAGTTCGCGCACCGCTTCGTCGGCTACCTCGAGGAGGAGGCCGTGAGCTCGTACACCGAGTACCTCAAGGACCTCGAGGCCGGCAAGATCGAGAACACGCCGGCGCCGGCCATCGCCATCGACTACTGGCGCCTCCCCGCCGACGCCACGCTCAAGGACGTCGTCACCGTCATCCGCGCCGACGAGGCGCACCACCGCGACCTCAACCATTTCGCATCGGTACGCATATGCCAGCCTGAAAACAACCAATCTCGCCTGCTTAATTTTTGTGTGAACGGGTTTGAGCTAACCGATCGCGTTTCTCGTGTTGGTACATCACTTGTGCAGGACATCCAGCAACAGGGGATGAAGCTGAAGGATACGCCTGCGCCTATCGGGTATCACTGATCATCATTCATCAACGGGCGATGCCTGCTCAGTTCATCACCATCACTGCTACTACATGCGTATTTTACATCCTATTTGGGATAAACTTTGTTCTGTGTATATATGTAAATAAGCTATTGTCACTCCGTTTTATGCCTGTACCTATATGCATGCTGAGATTATGCAAATTGTGAATAACAATATAGTAAGATTTTTTTTGGAGTAGAAGTATCCACGTGTTCAGAATTGCAGCAGGTAACACTTGTCAAGATGCTCTGCTGCTAACAAAGGAAGCATGGCCGTTGGCTGACCCGTGCACACAACCAAGACCAAACATCCAGTCCAAATGTGTAAAGGCAAATGGAATCTCTTTTAGACAAGTTCAAATACCATTCACACTAAACTTTTTTCTTTTTCTGGACTCTTGATTTCAATATGCCCTCAGAAAAAAATCACCAAAGAAGCACAAACACAATGGCTCACCTGCAATTCACCATCTGTCTTAGAAAAATCAACTCCTAACTTGAAAAATCAGTCAGGATTTTTTTTATGGAAGTAAGTGTAGAAAAATAATTTCTTTAAGCCATTTTACATTTTTTAATTAAGGAGGTGCCATAAGTTGATATAATTTTAAATGTCGATTATTTTTTATTCATCCCAATATTCCCTCTCCACTTCAGTAATAAAAAGTTGGTGTGTTACATTTAATCCCTTTTCTTTTAGTATTCATTATTATTGGCAGACGAAGACTGGACCGGTATATACCATATAGATACCATATAGGCACCTCGCTGTGAAATGTTATCACCTATCACTGAAAAATAAATTTGAGCTCCCGTGTTAAACTTAGAACTTAAACCGACGAGGGGATGTCCCCTTAGAATCCACGCCCACGCTACGCTTGATATTTCCTTTTGTGTCCATTATGCGCATACAAGCACTGGATTGTTATTTCCCTTGTGTGCGTTATATATTACGGGCGTATAAACACTTACTGAGTTGTCATGAGCGATAACACCATTGACACGTTTGCTTATTCAGATTGTGGTTCATGTGGCAAGCACGTACGTACACCGCCATGGAGGCACTTTCCAAAAGCAACATCCCAGATGTTTCTAGCTGCGTATACTAGTCGCAATTAGCAATAGAGCTGTTTAGTCACGTTCTGGAATTGTCAGTGGTTAGATTAAGGATCTAATAATAGAAGTTGCCTAATTTGACTGCCATCCTGGATGGTTGGAGTCTTTCTTGGTCCACAAGACAAGCAACAGAATCAGGATTCGTTTCCAGTTTGGCTTTGGCTTTGTTGTACGTTCCGTTTTCCTTGTACTACCGGGCACTTGCAAATTGCTTGCGCATTACTATCCTTGGTGTGAAATGGTTCTAAACGGAATATTCTACTTGTAGTACGTACACTTGTACTCCACCTGTACAAGTGACGCATTTTTTTACATTGACTTTGTGCACTTTGTTATATTAGCCTCTTTTGATATTAGGCAGTAGTACCATCCTAAGAAAAAAAAAACTCAATCAACATGTGATGCGTGTACCAACGACACATCACATACTTTAATTTGGCGATAAAACACATGTGAACCTTTTATTATTAGTCACAGGCAGTTTGAAAAAAAAAATCACAAGAATTAGTAGTACTGCTACAGTACTACTAACCGATCAACTTGGAGAAGAAGAAAAGATTTCCTCAGAGTCGGGAAAGCCCGAGGAAAGCCCATCTCCCCCGTCACTGACGGTGTGGCCCCACCACCGGTTCCTCTCCTTTCGCTCTTCCTCCCTATATAAAACCCTCCCAAAAAAACCCTCTCCATTTGCAAATCGCAACCATCTCGTCAACAAAAAGGCGCCTCTAAGAATTCCTCCCAAACTTTTTGGTGTTGTCAAGCCGTGCGTTTCGGGGTACATCAACGGCGGCGATGAGCTCCCGGATGGCCGGATCGGCGATCCTCCGTCACGTCGGCGGCGTCCGCCTCTTCACCGCGTCGGCGACCTCTCCGGCGGCGGCGGCGGCGGCGGCGGCGAGGCCGTTCCTTGCAGGCGGAGAAGCCGTCCCCGGGGTGTGGGGGTTGCGGCTGATGTCCACGTCGTCCGTGGCGTCGACGGAGGCGGCGGCCAAGGCGGAGGCCAAGAAGGCGGACGCGGAGAAGGAGGTGGTGGTCAACAGCTACTGGGGCATCGAGCAGTCGAAGAAGCTGGTGCGGGAGGACGGCACGGAGTGGAAGTGGTCTTGCTTTAGGGTACTTGCGCTTCGCTTTGCTCCTGATCGGTTTCCTGTTTCGATTCTGTTTGTCCCGTAGATTGATCGCCAGATCGATGTATCCATACTCCGAGATAGTAGGCTCGGTCCTTAACTTGTCGCGCCGCCGTGTGTAATTTTGGTTTGATTTTCTCCGCAGCCATGGGAGACCTACACCGCGGACACTTCGATCGATCTGACGAAGCACCACGTGCCCAAGACGCTGCTCGACAAGATCGCCTACTGGACCGTCAAGTCGCTGCGCTTCCCCACTGATATCTTCTTCCAGGTATAATTGTGCTTACTCGATCACCATGCACCGCCCGACGGCCGTTTGATTCTCCGGGTGATTAGCGCTGTGTGTTTAGTTCAACGTTTTTTTCGAAGGGAAAAACTGAGAGGCCGCGTGACTCTTGGCGTGTCATAAGAGGCAAAGTAGCATTGCAACCAGGGCACTTGAGAATTTTGGTTTCCTTGCTTCCGGGAAGATGCCATTTGTATTTAGGACGCCTGGGTTCTACCTGATCCACCTGTGTGATTGATTTTATTTTCGGAAAGTATTTTCTACACCTAGGTAACATGGCACCTATGTGTATGCATGCAATTTAAACCGTTATAAAAAAATTTACAAACATTATACAAACATGTAAGTCTAAATTCGATCAACATATGAAGAAACAAAAATAATAAATTTTATATGCGCTCTTCGGGTACTATTCACTGTCTGATTTTATTATTTTTGTTTCTCTAGTTATAGATCAAATTTAGTCATGCATGTTTGTGTATAGACTTATATCATCACAATCGATGTTACTAATTTTTTTTTCAATTTTTTCTATAACTATTTGAGTCGCATGCAAATGATGGGTGTCATAGCACTTAGGTGTAGAAAATCCCTGTCCTTTTATTTTCCGCTATACTATCTGATAACAACGGCTAAGAAAAGGACACGCATTGTGAGAAGGACTCAACTTTGATTTGTTAATCTCTTGCCCATTAAATCAATCATAGGCTTATTACTGTTTGCACTACAATGACTGGTGATCCAATTGTTTCCTAGTGCAAATTAATCTATATATGATTCTAATGTCTTATGACTAATTTGGAAGAACAATTATATTACATGATATCCATTTCTAGTAGTATGTGGAAATGATCTCTAGTCGGTCGCTAATTGCTGTAACTGTCAATGGTTAACACTGCAAATTGGGTTGGGTGCAGAGGAGGTATGGCTGCCGCGCGATGATGCTGGAGACGGTGGCGGCGGTGCCGGGGATGGTGGGCGGCATGCTGCTCCACCTCCGGTCCCTCCGGCGCTTCGAGCAGAGCGGCGGCTGGATCCGCACGCTGCTGGAAGAGGCCGAGAACGAGCGCATGCACCTGATGACCTTCATGGAGGTGGCGAACCCAAAGTGGTACGAGCGCGCCCTCGTCATCACCGTCCAGGGCGTCTTCTTCAACGCCTACTTCCTGGGTTACCTCCTCTCCCCCAAGTTCGCGCACCGCGTCGTCGGCTACCTCGAGGAGGAGGCCATCCACTCGTACACCGAGTTCCTCAAGGACCTCGAGGCCGGCAAGATCGACAACGTCCCTGCCCCGGCCATCGCCATCGACTACTGGCGCCTCCCCGCCAACGCCACGCTCAAGGACGTCGTCACCGTCGTGCGCGCCGACGAGGCTCACCACCGCGACGTCAATCACTTCGCATCGGTACGCATGCATGATCAGCGATCTTGCTCTTTGATCTCGCCTTTTGGGGATGTATGTTGAATTGGTTCTGACGTGTGATCTGGTCTGGCTTGTGATGTGCAGGACATCCATTACCAGGGCATGGAGCTGAAGCAGACCCCTGCGCCGATCGGATATCACTGAGGATGTTTGTCTACTGCCGAGGATTTGCATCACTAATAATCAAATCAAATGAGTATACTTCGTTTTTCAGGGAAAGCAAATGAGAGCTCTTTAGCTGTATCGGATTTGGTAATTGCTACTAGTAACTACTAAGTACTGAAAAATAAGGAGTCTCCTTGTTTGAAGTACAAATCTAGGAGATTTTTTGAACCAACTCTATCTGAATTGGGCCTGTTTTTCGTACGCCGCACTGCTTCATGTACATATATTCCATCCCCTATCTTATGTGTGGCAAGTGTCTTTCTAAATTCTTGGATGTAATGACACCTGAATTTCTTTCGTTGAACTATTGGCAGCTGAGTTATATATACTACATACCATTCTTTTGTTAAAGCAGGTCAGAGCATAGTTTTGTCCATTTGATGTCTGTCACAATTCTGGTGGTAATGTTCCAACTTCGAGAAAATTGCATATCTACCATCCCATAAGAATGGCTTCGCTAGAATACCATTATGAAAACGGGCTTCGCTGGAATACCTTCCTCAACCAGAGTGTCTTCGCCAAAATGCCATCCCGGACAGAAATGCCCCTGGCTCTTCTTCTTCCTCCATCTCGCGCGTGAAGAGCTCGCCGGCGGCCATGGCTAGCTCCCTCCCTGCCATGGCTAGCTCGCCACGGGCTCCGGCGGAGGGCTGCGCGGTGGCGGCAGGCGCGGTCGACGGCGGCGGCCACGGGCTCCGGCGGAGGGCGGCGTGGTGGCGGCTAGCGCGGTCGACGGCGGAAGACGCGGGCTCCGGCGTAGGGCGGCGCGGTGGCGGCTGGCACGGTCGACGTCGTCGGCCGTGTGCTCCGTCGGAGGGTGGTTCGGTGGCGACTGGCTCGGTCGACGGCGGCTGGCTACGTGGTGGCAACGAGGAGGCGGCGATGGCCAGGAGCTGCGCCACCGGCTCACGCGCGTCGGCGGGATCCACGCGTCGTCTCCGGAGTCCTTCCGCGACGACCTCAGCTGCACAGGCGCAGGTGGGGATGGCAGGGGAGGGCAGCGCCCCAATCGCCGTCGGCAAGGCAGCATCGGCGCGGCGGTGGAGATGGCCATGGCCGCCGGCGAGCTCTTCACGCGCGGGATGGAGGAAGAAGAAGAGCCAGGGGCATTTCCGTCCAGGATGGCATTTTGGCGAAGACACTCTGGTTGAGGATGGTATTCCAGCGAAGCCCGTTTTCATAATGGTATTCTAGCGAAGCCATTCTTATGGGATGGTAGATATGCAATTTTCTCTCCAACTTCCCATTTCAGCTTGCCTAGATGCTGGATGCTATCTTGTTTGTCTTCTTCCAAATTGCCTGTTGTGACGCGGACGGCGTACAGAGATGGAGTCGATCGATCTCACCGGTCCCAATCCGCCGCCTTCTCCTTCGCCGACATGTACACCCTACACCTGCAGCGTCCCGCGGTCACCCTCTACCCGCTCGGAAACCCAGCGCCGCCGCCGCCGCGCCGCTGGTGCCGCTCACCACTGTGCCCGCTCCCCGTGAGCGCGGCCACCGCAGGGAGCAGGCTCGCTTATATCCCCCGCGCCTCCGCCGCCGCAAACCCGCATCCCGACCCTCAGGTGTCTCTCACCGTCTCATCACTTACCCAACCACATCTGAACTCTGAACTCTGAACTCTGTGAGGTTCTGAATGACTGGGATCCCATCCTTACCTAAGCTCTCGTCAAATTTCTGCTCGATTTGCAGGATGAGCCGGAGCCGCAGCCGAAGGGCGGGTTCTGGACCAGGTGGATGGTGAGTTTGTACCCGTCGAATCAATGGGATTGAGCGTTATTTGGTTGATTTTGATGGACTTCTTTTTTGGCTGCGTGGATGCGTGTAGGCGGAGAGCGCGGAGATGAGGGCCAAGGTGGCCAAGCTCGGCCTGGCCGCCGTGCTGGCCTACGGGCTGTTCGACGCCGTCACCTACACGACGTTCTTCGTGCTGGCCTTCCTCGGCTACGAGAAGAGCACCGGCAAGAACCCGGCGGCCAATCTCAAGGCCTTGCTGGGGGTATGGATTCCATGGCTTTGCTTTAAATTTACCCCAAAAAAAAATGATTGCTCATCTGCACATTGCTCGCAGTTCTTTAGAGTGCTGCAACTTTGTTGCAAGGCAAAATTGCGAGAAAATTCTAAAACAAAATGCAAAACTGCCAGGCTCCTCAGACTGACCTTCATCTGTTTTCTGATGTGGCAGATAGTTATCCTAATGTGGACCGGTAACAATGTTACTAGGCCATTCCGAGTTGCTGGTGCAGCTGCTTTGGCACCGGCGATCGACAAAGGGTTGAAGGGTATTCAAGAGAAACTTAACCTTCCAAGCCAGATGTATGCTTTTGCACTCGTGGTTGGCTCCGTGGCTGCGGTATGCTTCACAATTTTTGGATGCTTGATCCTCTCGAAATGGGGAAAGTGATTTGTTGGAATCCTGGCCATCAAGCATGATTGGTATGAATATTGGATCCAACTAGGTTAGTCTAGTTTTATTAGAATCTTCTGTTTCCCATGCTCTTTAAGATGATGTTAGTTTTCTAAACATTATTCAGTTGGTTAATTGACAAGATATAAAAGTTACTTGTCCCATTTATGCAGTTGGGTAACAATAGTTTTGTTTTGTTTCTAGTTAGTTTTGCGAAAGCAGCTTATCAGTATTTTTTTGTGGTGTTGCTAAGGCTGAATATAAAGTTCTGGTCAAGCTACATGAGGGATATGCTAAGGATCTGATTTGTGTTCTGAACTAAAAAAAAAATAGCGTTAGTATGCTAACCCGGTACTGCACATATTGCAATAATTAATAGTTGAATAGATAAGGTGTGGCCAAAGGTTTGATCACAGAAAAAAAAGGTCAAAGTTCAATAAGTCAATACACCTATGGATGGCATGTTTGACCAGTTAATAATGCTTGCTTTGATAAGAACAAAAACAAAACATCAGTTTATAGGATAATAAGAACAAAAGTAAAACATCAATTTATAGGATACTTGGATAGAATATACACATCTGTGTTGGATGTTCCCTCATTTTGCACACTTCACTCGTATATACAATTGAAGCTTCAAATAACTAAATAATACCATATTTATTCAGAAGTTCCTTTCAGGAAATTTAACATTAGCAGACAGAAAAAACAAACTTGTGAACACAAGCATGCTCAACACTGGCACATGGAAAAAGAATAAACTAATAGCGAACGGTCAACTTTCCAAAACTGTTAGGTTTGTGAAACAACTCTCTATCTTCTCTGCTGGTTGATCTTCAGATCCAACTCACACCCTTGCATTCCTCTAGAAGAGAGTTCATATCCTCCTTGAATATTCAAGTCTAGTAGAAGCAACTCTTCAGTTTTTGGAGTGCACTTAACATCCTTACTCTCCTGACTTCCTAAATGGTAGAGCTGAAAGCCCAAATTATTAACTTTTAGGTTGTCATCAGATATAGGTTTCATCAGTTCATTGTTTTCCTCCTGAACTTGTGTTGCATTGTCCATGAAACCTGAAAGAGCTAGGTTGATGTCTGTAATCTGTGATCTGGTTGATGAGAGGTTAGCAGACCCATTTGCATCCAGGGAAATGTTTTTCTGAGCTTTCTCTAGTATTTCCTTTAAATACCTCCCTTGGGCTTCTATTCGCATCTGCAGCTTCTTTTGAACCTGAGTGTAGACAAGCACTTTTAGCAATAATGGAAGAAAACATTGGCAAGTAGAAGCTCATGGATTGATGCAAAAGCTGTCGATGGTCTAACCTCAAGTTGTTCTTGCAGTTTTCTTTGGACTTCGACTTGATACTTTAGCGCATCTGCAAGCGGTATTTCTCTGCTTCACAAGAGAAATGTTCTAAAGATGGTTAGTCAGACACTCATAGAACTTCCACTGAAGGAAATTAAAAATCCCCAAAGATCACATAACAAAAGGCATTCAGTAGGATTTACATCCCATTACAAATATACCATTGTAGCTGTAATAGACTATGATGATTCTATTGTAGTGCATTATGAGGACAAGCAGAAGGGCAATTGCTAGTTACCCCGTGTTGTTTCCTCCGGCAGGATTCCTTGGAGGCGCTCCGATAGAAAAACTGATGCCTTCCGCTGTAAATTCTGATAAAATAAAGGTAGGAAGTGTGGACAAATCTTAGCTTTAAGGCATGATACTTTTGATTCTGCTCATGAGTCATGACAGTAATATTTCAAGGTAGGCACATACCACCACTATCTGCTACTGCTAGCTCCAGGCCTGCTGATTTCTTGCTTTGCCTTCCCAGTCTATATTTCTAGTTACAATACAAGTAGCACTGTGTTAATATAACTGAGCGAAAAAAAACAGAAAATAAAAGAGCAGCTATATGGAATGTTTTATCTATGAAAATGAGTTCAAACCTGGAGGTGGCTTTTTAGATGGTACAGGGTGAGGCCTTTCATGCCCATTAATCTGAGCACCGACTTGGGTGTTGCTTCTGTTGCAGGAAGCACGATCAGAATGGAGACAATCAATTATTCTATGATAAAGGATAAAGGAAGCAGGTTCAAACTGGATTATGCGTGATATTTTTATTTAGCATGACAAATGATGTTTGCGTACTATTCTTCGAATGAAATTCTTGACACTGAAATTGAAAACCAGTTTGCATGCCCAAAATTAACCATGCAGCTCTACATAGTTATGTGCCAAGCTGCAGAGTCACGCAGAGGAAAAGGATTTGGATGAACAATGCAATAAACATTGCAGTTTAGAGAAATCAGCAGACTATTTGCCTTTGCCAAGTGCCAACCGAAACAGAGCTAGAGGACTACGAAGTTGTCGTCACCGTGCCGCGAAGAGAAAATTAAGCAGGAAACGAACTGACTGATGGGCAAAGAGGACTCACTGTCCGGGCCGCCGAGCCTGGTGACGGCGTCGACGAAGCGCTCGTGGAGGTCCGGCGTCCACCGCAGCCGCGGCTTCGGGTCCCGCGCCGCCGCCGCCGCCGCCGACCCGACTCCGCCGTAGCACCCCTCAAACATCTCCGTCGATCGCCTCGCCGGCAAAAACGTAAACACGCTAGCAACTATAGCTAGCTCCCTCCCTCCTCCAACCCCACTGGCTGGTCAAAGATCGAGCAACACGAAGCAGCTATCGGCGACGGATTACTACTAGTAATATACAACAACCAGCTTGGTGGCCAGAGAAAGAGATAAAAGAGCAGTGCAAGTCTACTCTCTGCGTGAGGACAAGAGGACGCGAGGGAAGCGGAGACGGTGGCGCGGAGGAAGGAGAAAGCATCCATGTGTGCGCGCGCGGAATCTAGGGAGGCTTGAGCTGGGGTGCAATGCAACGGCGCAAGAAACAAAAAAAAGGAAAAGAACCCAACAAACCAACCAGAGAGCATCTCTCGGCTAAACGCCCGCGCCAACCGCGCGGGGCCACGTACGTGCGTGGCCGCCGCGCGCTCGCCACCAACACGGCGGCGCCGGCACGTACACGAGATGGATAAAAATGCTCCCCCAATTGGCACGAGCACGGCGCACAAACCGTGTTGATTTCTACGTGCTTTGTTTAGACGACTAGACTAGATACTTTTACTACAGCTTACTGATGCGTAGCACGAGCGCTGCGTTGCAATTGGCACGAGCATCATCGTTAGTCCAACTATGCCGACAAAAAAAAGGTACAGTAGCTCAAAGTGAAAAGATCGCTTGCGATGATCCAAACCGAAAAGAAAATTCGAATCTTTGTGGAAGAAGATAAAGTGCTAAATCTAATGACGCGGAGCGATGTGGGGCCATGTAAACGCAACAGTTCGGGCGGAAGGAATATTCGGGTGCCAGGTGGCAGGGCGGAGAGGGTAGCGGTGGAGCCGATGGGTAGCGAGAGAGACGGGGAAGATGTTGGCGTTGATGTCGCGCGAATATTCGCGCCAGCTTTGCTTCTTGACTTCTCGCTCCTGTGACTGGCGGCTGGCCGATTTCGCCGGGAAATTTAACTATTTGCGACTCTTGTGACATGGCAATTAACGATTTGCCACACCCTGTCAATGACATGTGGGCCCTCATGTGTCTATGACATGTGGGCCTAGTGGCAAATCGTTAAGCAACATCCGTAAGAGTGGCAAATAGTTAAAAGCCCCGATTTCGCCTGCTCCGTATTTCACTAATCTTTATCTGCCCATTTTCCTTTCCTTAGGCTATTTTCAACGCTCCACGCTGGAGAGTGGTCTCACTGCTCCCGAGGGGAATATTCACGCCACGTCGATCGGGACCGCACCCTCACCTAGCGCTGCGACCCTCTGCAGAGCGTCGAGTGGTTTCGGTAGCTTTTCGGCGAGGAACAGGCGAGGAGCCGCGTTGGGGGAGAGACGTTGCCCCCAAACCGTTGCTGCTCCCACGCCGGGAAGAAGATGGAGAGGGGGTAGACTGGAGAGAAGGGAAGAAGATGCGTCGATCCCGGCCGCCGCTGCGTCGATCCGTGGCCGCGGCGTCAATCCGTGCCGCCCCGCCTCGATCCGCCCCCGCCGCCGCTCGATCTGCCGCCTCCGCCTCCATCTGGCGCCTCCGCGCCTCGATCCGCCACCACCGCGGCTTCATCCGCACTAGGGATGGCAATCGGGCGCGACGGGCACGGGTAGTGCCTACCCATACCCATGCCGGTGAGATTATTTGTGCCCGCGGGTATACCCATTACTACATGACGGGTAAGGATGGTTGCCCATGCCCATTGCCCGCGGGCACCTTATGCCCGCGGGCGTGCCCGTTTACCCGCCACAACAAAAGCAGTGGAACAAAAAGTCTACAAGCTACTAAGTTCGAATCGAACTTAAAACATCAAATATTCTCCGCCTCGGTGTTGTGTCTCTCCTCTGGCGGCAATAGAGTAAGAGGAGAGAAATAATAAGGGAAATAAAAGGGAAACCGTAGAAAACAAAGAACGTGGCTTATGTATTCTAGTGGATTTTGCTCCTAACCTACATGTAAGTTAGATTTTGCGGGTAAACGGGCAAAGCGGGCATGGGTAGTGATTACCCATACCCATGCCCATTTACCCATCGGGCATAGCTTTTGACCCAATAAGATACCCATGGGTATAAAATGGAGAACAAACCCAACCCTAATAGGGTTTTTACCCGCGGGTAAACGGGCAAACGGGCACAATTGCCATCCCTAATCCGCACCCGTCGCCGCTCGATCCGCCGCCTCCGGCTCCATCCGTTGCCGCCGCGCCTCTATCCGGCGCCACCGCCGCTCGATCCGCCTCCTCCGCCGCTCGATCCGCCACCTCCGCCTCGATCTAGCGGCGGGAAGAGAGGCGGCGGCGCCGGGGAGGGGAGCGCCGGGGAGAGATGGCCAGGGAGGGGAGAGGCGGCGCCGGCGAAGAGAGAGTCGGAGAGGGAGGAGACGCGGGGAGAGATTGGGAGGGGAGATGGTGATGAGAGGATTGAGGAGGGGTTGATGTATATATATCTTTGTGATTTTTAGGGGGTATACTGCAAATATTGGATGTATATGCAAATAATAATAATCCAAGGGTTTAAATGCAAAATGTGACAGACTGACAGGTGCTGAAACATAAAAATTCCATAGGAGTATAGCTTGCACTGTGTGAGGCATATCTCTAGCTAGGTGCTTGGTCACTTTTGCTCGTGTGGATGGTGGGGTGCATCCTGCATTGGGCATGCCCTTAGTACTCACTATATAAGAAAAGGACTTTTAGTTATAAGCTTGGATGTAGCATATGTCTAAATTCGTAGCTAAAAACTTTTTTACATCAAAAGAGAGTAATTAGTAAAATCAGGATCGTACAGTGGCATGTGCAAAGTGTACAATTGTTTAGGGCCCCTAAAGTTAGGGGACTCAAATTTTAATTATATGAAGTACTAAGTATACTTAGTTAGCGATATAATAACTAGAATGATAAAGCCAGAACCAGAATGTCAGAACTAAGATCTAAGATTCAGAACTAAAAGTAAAAGGCCACAACATGCCTAATACCTAAAGTTAAATCGACTAGAACTAGATATAATCACGTTCTACAAGTCATATCACATTGATTATGATAACAGGATCATGGGATTTGGCTATCAAATTTTAGGGTCCAAATACATTTCGCACCAGGTTCTCTACTTCTCTAATTTTTAGATACAATCCTGGGTAATATATGGACTTGTTTATCATAAGTAATGCTACAATATTTATCAGTGTTACGGATAAGACATACCTAATACTTTTGTGTTAGGCTTGATAGAGCCCATCATGTTCCAAGTCTTATACAAAATAAAATATTGTATACGGAAGGTGTTCTAGATAAGAAAAGTGAAGCAGAGCCTACTTGGGCACGATAAGGATTACTCATACTTGACTCCCCGCTGGCGGACTCTGACACATTCCTGACACCTTGGGCTCCAGGGACGCCGACCAAAGAGGAGAGGAGGGCTTTGGGGATCTACCCTCCTCCACCGCCGCCGCTAGATCTGGCCGCTCTAGTGGTTATCGTGATCCATGCTGTTGGATCTGATGGAGGAGGTGATTATGGCCGTGATGGATGGTGGAGGAGGAGGAGAAGGAGGTGGGCATGGTCAGGAAGGAGCTTGGCGAGGGGTGGAGGTTGGAGTTGAGCTGAAAGAGAGAGAGAGGGAGAGAGAGAGAGATGACAAAGGGGAGGAGATAAGGATGGAGAGGCGTAACTGTCGAGAGAAAGGATGGGTAGGCGTGGGTGCGCAGGTGGGTGGATAAGGACACCGGCTCGGCTCTTATTTTATGGGTACTGGCTCATTATAAAACTAGCACCTATAATATATTATAGATATCGGTTCTCTTAAAAAAACACTAATGATATTAGTATCGATTTCTATTAAAGACCAGCACCTATGTCGCCGCATAGGTGTCAGTTCTCAAAGATGGCGCCCGCCGGGTGCGCGCTCGGGCGGGAAAAACGTTATAAGTATTGGTTCTTGCATTTCTGACAACTATAGTGCCGTCCCTTTTGTGTTGTTTTCTAGTAGTGATTTTACGTCATGCCTCTAAAGATGACACGGTTATTACCTACATCATTGGTTCTAAAATATAGTAAGCTTATCTATGAATTTGAATAAACACATATTTAGATCCGCAGCTAAAAGCTATTACATTTTAGAATAAATGTAGTACCATTTTCACTATATCGGCCCCAAGAAAGTATTTCACACAAATACTAATGGGCCGGCCCCCAAGAAAGGCTCTTCCGAACAACCAGGGAGAAGCGGCTCTTGCGAACAACCAGTTTGGCTTCTCCCGTAAGTGCATTCCTGAATGGGAAAAGTACACCAAAGGTCCCTCAACTTGTCATCGAGTTACAAAATCGTTCCCCGGAGGTTCCTTCCGTTTCGCTTGAGGTACTCTGGTGGTTTTCTACCTAGTTTTGTCTGACGTGGTGCGTGAGTCAGCGTGGACCCCACGTAGATCCCACGTGTCAGGCTGCCACGTCATCTCTCCCTTCCTCCTCCTCTCTCTCTCTCACTCTTCTCTTCTCTGCGCGAGTGTGATGGTCGCGGCCTCCTCCTCCGTTGACGCCGACGCCGGTGACCGGTTGAAGGGGTCGGCCACGAGCGGCGTGATGGGGCTGAGGGCGGCGGCCGACGAGGCAGCGACGGCAGCTGTGACGCGTGAGCAGGCCGCCGCGCCGGGGTCGCAGCCAACGACCCCCGCGCCATCTCCACGCCGCCCTCGCCGTTCTCGAGCTGTCTCGGCAAGCCGGCTGGCGGGGCGAGGCGGGAGAGGAGGACGTCGGGCGGCCGGCGATGGGCGACGGGCGACGCAGCGGCAGCGACGACGTGGGAGTAGGAGGGCCGCCCCCCACGCCGCCACCGCAGCCGCCGACGGCGCGGGCGACAGATGTGTAGCCATGGCGGCGGCCTCCTCGCTCTCCCGTCACGCTCCCTATCGGCGCCGTCCGCCTCCGCCTCGTCCTCCTGCGCCCGCCCGCCCTCCCACTCCGCCGGTCTCCGTCGCCTCTCCACCCGCTGCCGTGGATGACGACGGCGGTCTCCTCGCTCTCCCCATCGCAGCTCCTGTTCCTCCGTGCTCTACGAGGACAGCGCCTCGGGCGCCAGCGACGAGGCCCCCGCCCCGCGTTGCTCGCTGCTGCCGTTCGATCTGAACCTGCCGGCCTCGTCCCCGAAGGAGCCGCCGCCGCACCAGAGGGGCGGCCAGAGCAAGCGGAGCGGCGGCGTCGGCGGGCAAGCGCGGTGGCCGAGAAGCGGCGGCGGATAGGGAGCGGCGGCGCCGACGACTCCACGCCAGTCGCCCTCATCGTCGGCGGCGGCTCCGGGCGCGGGCGGAGCAGAGAAGGCGTCCTCTCAAGCTGTGCTCCTCCCTCGTCGGCCGCCGACCGTCGCGCCGGCCCTCCTCTCCGCCGCGCTCCCTCCTGTCGGCCGCCGAACCGCGCCCGCCAACGCCGGCCCTCCTCACCTGATGGCCGCCGGACGCGCCCGCGGCGCCGGCCCTCCTCTCCTCGCCGTCGCCCCTCCGCCGCGGCGGGTCGAGAGGAGTCCGGGTCGAGGCGGGCGGCGCGGCGCAGAGGTGGCCGGCGTCGAGGTCGGCCTCGGCCAGGGAGAGGAGGCGCGAGAGTTCGTCGTCGTCGTCCGCAACGGCGGCGCGCGAGGGACTGCCGGGCATCGGCGGCGCGTGCTGGGTGGTTGCGGGTGTGGGGGCCGCCGACGCCCTCCTATCCTCGCCGTCGCCCCTTCGCCGCCTCGCCGCCGACGAGGTCTTCCCCACCGCCCTTGACTCGCTCCCCTCCCCTTCCCCCGCCGTTCTCATCCCCACCCCCGTCGCCGCCACCGCCCACCTCGCCGGCGCCCCCCGGTGGCCGCGCCCGCCCTGCAGCGAGTGAGAGGAGAGAAGAGAGAGAGAGAGATGTGGCAGAGAGAGAAGAGTGAGAGAGAGGGGGAGGGGGAGGGAGATGATGTGGCAGCCTCACACGTGGGGCCCACGCTGACTCACCCATCACGTCATACAAAACCGGGTCCAAAACAACCGGAGGATCTCAAGCGAACGGTTTTGTTAGTTGAAAAATCTCTAATATCTGGTTTTGCGGTTGGGGGACGATTTTGTAACTCGATGACAAGTTGAGGGATCTTCGGTGTACTTTTCCCTTCCTGAATGTCCGTAAAGTTGTACTGTAGTACTGAAACCTGAAAGTTGCAGGTCAGGTTGGACCTCTCTCTATCCCCCACTCTGACCCAAACATGCACAAGCATCAATTCATTTCAATGAGTTCAAGGAAGCGGCAGAAGGAACGATCCCATGTTGCTGTACCGAATCATAAATCGCAATATAGAGGTGAGCCATAGGATTAACACGATTGTGAAATAACAGTACAGTTAAATTGAATCAGGGTGTGATATAGGTAGGAGTCTCTCATCCGCAAATCCAATAAATACAATACAAGCGCGACAAGACGAACCAAGATCACGATCCTTGGAGGCGATTGTAAAGGAATGTAAGCATCAAAAGAGGGGAGAATAGAATCAACAAAAAATAAATAAGGCACAAGCCGACATTCCGACAATAACCGGCATATACTAGAAAGCCTCACATGAAAGCTCATTTAAAGCCAAACTGGTACTTGTTGTAGTTAGCTAAGCTCTCAATGCCACCACTTTGTGTAGATGAAGGAATTCCGGACATTCCTAGGCTGGAACCTCCTGCACCCATGGTCCATGAGGGCAGAGCTTTATCATCAGACCCGTCATCGAGGCCACCGACAATCCCAACGTCGGCTAAGTTCACCTTCTTTGCTGTAATTTGCGAAGAACAATGAGAAATCATTAATAATTCTGCCATCAAGATATGGCAAGGTGATATCCTTGTCAAAAGGGCAAGGAGAAAAGGAAGAACTTACGTCCAGTTATGTTCAGATCAATCAGTCCACGGCTCAATGAGTCAGCCCATATGCCAGACTTGACCTGAAAATTTTCTTTCTTGGTATCTGACTTGGGAGCCGCCAGAGGTGCTTGGTTTGTCCTTCCAGAGCTGGTACTCAAAGAAAGATCAAAAGGATCCTTGGCTACTTCCTCACTGTGCGATACAAAGGCACCAAAATCGGATGCATCAGCCTTTGGATCTGCCAAAGGTGTTTTCCCAAGATTGCTACTTGAAAAATCAAAGGGGTCCTTAGCTGCTGTTTCTACAGTGCTCGACACAAAGCCACCAAAGTCAGATGCTGCTTGAGGGTTCTGACTTGGTGTGCTGATATTTCCAACAGAACTCTGCGTGGGTGGTGGTATACTAGATGATCCAACATCGGAGTTGAAGGCACCAAATGGATCAGATCCATCAAAGCTGTTTATAGGAATAGCACCAAAAGGATCAAAAGGTTCAGGAGTTGTGTTCTTAGACGTGGAAGTATTTGCTTCAGATGTCCCAGAACTTGGTGGTGGAATAAACCCTGTCTGTGGTGGAAAGGCTGCTGTGAAGGCTGGCTGTTCCGCAAAAAGGTCTACATTGCCCTGCAGTATCATTTTGATATAACACCCTGTGTCATGATCAATGGATTGAAGAACTATATGATTTCTAAGATTAATGAAGCACAACTAAATATTTAAGGAGAAACACCCTCAATTGTTTTCAGCACATTTCATATCCCAGATTGGAGGACTAGGATAAACATTTTTCTCTATATTCATCAGGCCTGCAAAAAAAATGTATCAAGTATTCAAGTAGTCTCATGGATAAACAAACCTGGACATCTGAACCCGCAGCTGTTTCTGTACTTGGTATTGCTGATTGGAAATCTGCATCAGCAAACAGATCAACCTGAGCGTCTGCAGAGTCGTTTGTTTCATGAGTTGCTGCTGCAGGCACATCGATGAAATCATCCAATAAGTTTGGGGCAAAAAGATCCACGCCACTGGTGTTTGTATTAGCTGCACCTGTAGATAGAGATTGAAAGAATTAAGGATCACAACTACATCTACAATTGTATTATCTTCATGTTTGGAAAATGTATCATATAACACTGACTACTTTTCACGATAAAAGGAAAAAAAAAACCTGCATACTTGTTCACTTCAGCCAAATAGTTATAATAATCAGGATATATTTGTTTGATATTTCCAGCAAGAGGTCATTCACCTGGTGACCTTCCAATTATAGTTGGGCAGAAGATAATAATATAAGCGCAACATTTGCAAGATGTAAATGCAGAATTGAGGGGGTGAAATGCTTGAAAAAGTGACAGTTTTGAAATATTTTCATGCCAAGACTGGAACATGCATTCAGTAGTACAGTTAAAAACAAATATCCTGGCAAAGAAATAGCATAATAAAATACTTTACCATTTGAAGAAGATCCACGAGGATCAAAATCATCAAAATCGTCCTCATTGCCTTTTGCATTAGACTTCAAGGAGCTCGGTGAATCCTCATTCCTGGTAATTCAAACAGATACAACCTCAGGTGGGATGGAGAATAGGAAGAGTAATACAAAGTAAGCCTGATGCTAGGAGTCCAGGAATGTTACTGTTCATTTATCATCCTCCAAAAGGGCTCACAGTTCAGCACTACTACATAAATTGTAATATTGTAGTACCACAAAACCTTATTTTATTTCCACATTTGGGATAAAAGTGATGCAGCTATTATACCACCCACCAACATATTTACCAGCTACCATACAACCATCGTACTGGTTAGCCAATTTAATTTTTTAATGAGAGGCTAAACTATAAATATCAGCAGCTGCTATTATATGTATGGAAAATGTAAAGGAATCTTGAAGCACCTTCTATTCACATCCTTTTTTATCCTGCTGCCAGATTTCTGGCTGCCAGTATAACTTGGAGAGGATTTAACAGGTTCTTTATCCCTATAACTGTCACCGTATGAATCACCTTCCCTTGTACCACTAAAACTCCCATAACGTTCACCAGAACTATAGTTGCTACCAAATGAAGCAGAGCTTGACTTATATGTTATCCCTGTCGATGATAGCCCAACATACCTTCATCCACAACAAACATATGTTAATAATTGGAGTTGTACAGGATGAATAAACAGCCAGAAAAAAGATAGTATAACACAACTTATTCTTTTCCTTAAGAACTCACTTGTCACGATTACTGGCGGCTTTCTCTCTTACAGACTTTATTTTCTCCTTGTCATTTATGAGTCCCAATATAGTTTCGACTTTCTTTCTCACATTTATTCCAGCATCTTTTCCATTAGGTTCCACATATTCAAAACTTGAAAGAACCTTGACAAATATAGCACAGAGAACAAAGTTTTTAATGACATAAACTTCAAAAAAGAGAAAAGAAATACTATATATCAGAAACAAAAGCATAAACAAGACATACCGAGATCTTTGAATAGTGATCAAGAATGTCATCAACTGCCCGCTCAGAACCATTGGCTATTAAGTACTCAATAATTGTCAAAGCCTGGACATTAATAGTTATATGCCTTAGTTACATTGCTGATACAAAACCATGCATATACCAAGGTTTGCTGTTCACTTTGACCATTGGTATTGGCATAGTGACCAATGTAGAACTCATAGTACAAAGCCCCAGTACTTGACAAAGAAAATACAAAATGGTCAAGAGTTAAACCTTATACACGTGACGCCATTTCGAGCCTCGCTCAGACAGCCTAGTCCAGAGGACACTCATTACCATCTGACATTCAGCGCTACAAAATTTGAAAGCACCATTTCAGCATAAAAAACAAGGGGAAAATACATATCCTATCCTATCTTACTATAAAGTTACAACCCACTAAATCCTAAAGCTCAACATACAAAGATGTCACATCATCCACTAATAATTATTACATCTTAAACATCATGCAAGCATGCTATATTATCTATAATTCTATAATTTATTAATTTTTTGACTTTTAAAATGCAAATATGTTAAATCATCATCTCACATAATTCACATAATATTTAAATATACCTCTCCATCATTTTAAATACTATTTAAATTATCATAAACCATATCAAATTATGTAAGCTTATGTCGTCTAGCTATCTTACACATTATTTCTACTTATTGCTATCATACTAAAATCCCGCAGCAACGCGCGGGGTTTCACCTAGTTAATAAGAGATTGTAACTTACAACTTCTTGGTGGCATGTGATAGCTCTGAAAGAGTAGTACCATGAGGGCCCCAAGGTTCATCGCTTGTTGCATCAAGTACCTGAAATTTTAAAGGAAAGAAATATTGTTTACTACATAAGAAAAAGAATCGAAGGTAAAATTCAAAGCTAAGAACAAAAATATACATCTATATTTTTTTGCTGTGGAAGTTAATAAGAAATATACATATCTGTAATATACTCCCACAGTAGAATAACCAAACATGCACCATAAGGGTGAATGTACTATTACAGACGAAAACCCTTACAACCATGATCTACACCACGGACAAGATACATGATTGTCAAAGCAACATGACTATCAACTATCAAGGCGTGCTACAAAATGTACAATGAACTCAATATATCCACGCATCAGCTCCAGACAGTAGCCTTCAACGGCACAAATTTGGCAATACAGATACTTCAATTGAAAGCACTTGAGATCTCTGGTTTACCTCAAGTCCTAAATAGTAAACACATTGCAGACTTAATTTTGGTACTCCTGAAATTCATTTCCTTAAAGTACTACTATGACATGATTACATGAATTCTAACAGCGTGTAATGGGGTCAGACAACAAATATATCAAAAGCACATGATTATGCAAAACCCAAGCTCCCACACCCATCATACGAACCAATCCAGCTGTTACAACTCTATTGCAAAAATCACAGAGTTAAGATAAAGGTGATATCGCAATCGCACCTTCTGTTCGAGCTCTGGAACCTTGAGCACCTTCAAATTGACCTCCCTCTTTCTGCAAAGCAACACACACACAGAAAACGGATCAGGATCTCACGGATCCAACTCAGAACACGCCACATCCTCGAGAAATCGGAACAGCAATGGCGAGATCTCGGGCTCGGCCCACAACTTACATCTCCCGCACGGCCTGATCGAAAACCTTCACGAAATCCATCGCCGGAGAGGATCCTCCGGAACCAAGATCTGGGCTCCGGAGCGCCGAGTCGGGCGGTGGCAACTGACGAGAGCAGCACACTGTGGTGGGAGCGGAAAGCACCAGATGCCGGTGGTGACGCGGCCGAGGGAGGCTTCCCGGGATCCCTGCGAGCGCTAGAGGTTGAGCGGCCACCAGCTCGACGGCGAGGTCGTCGTCGGTCCGGCGGGGCGCTCGCCGCCCGCCGGAGCAAGCAGAGGATGGGGAGGCGGCTTAGGTGGGCAAAAGGCCACTCGCGGAGCAGAGAGGAGAGATGGTGCTCGTGGGCCGGTGGGCGATGGCCGGTTGGTGGAGGAGGCTAGGCTAGTATACCATGTACTACTAGTATGACATCGTTGGACGGCCAGGATCAAGCTGGCAGGATCTGATGGACAGTGTTGCGCCGAAAGACGGAAGCACTCTATCATGGGTTGGGACGTTGGGTTAATGCACTAAAGATAAAGACTACAAAAGTACAAATGACCATGATCAATCCAAATCCATCAACCTTTAAAACACAGCAGCAAAATGAATGGTAGGTAACCCGAAACTATCATCTAATTTTTTTGTGTGTGTGTGTGTAAATCTGGTTGCTTAGGTGAATATTATAAATAGTTTATGTAAACTGTAAAGGCATGCTATAATTAAAATGGGGGCAATTAAAATATACTGAATGGACTTGTTAAAACAGCCCAACAGCACCACAAATTTGCTGTTCCCCAGAAGCACAACAGTCATGCTGAAAAAGAAGCTTGTTAAACTAATAATGACATTAAGTAAAATATCATAGCAATCCAATGGAGTAAGAGGAAGACTCATCTCAGCAATTTCCTGGTTACCAGACATCTCAATTGGCTCGAGAGTAAAATCAATCAAATTACAAGTTACTACACAACGAGAGGAACTTACTACAAGAAAAGCCTGGCAAGTATATAAAAATGTATATTACTGGCAGAAAAGCAATTTTTTTACATTTTTTCTACGCCAATCAATACATCAAACCGGTCTTGATGTACATAAAATTGTTATCAACATAGCACAAAACCTTATATACAACATGTCAAAATCTAACTCTTCTGCTAATAATGTAAGATGATCTCTCCTGCAAATGACCCTTCACACCAAGTCTGCTTCTTTGTAAGTTATGACTGGATCACAGAACCAAGGGTATCTGCAAAGATGCATAGAGCAAAACAGCACAATGAGCTACTTGTAGTTAATAGATATGCATGCAGCTTTTGGACATCACATTGATACTGTGTAATGTGTAGAAGCGCTAGGGAAATACAGATGAAGGTAGTACTTACTGTGTTCCTCAACGGATGTGAATGTGGTTGGAATTGTTGAACATCCCAGTGTGGGAACCCTTGGTTGCAGTCTTGGGTGCTTCAGGAGCCCCAAATACGTTCCAGAATCTCAGGGTCTCATCTGCTGCAGCAGATGCTACTGTGAGACCATCAGGGCTCTGCAAGATTACCACAAGACAAGTAATCAGCAATCTGTTCAGAGCAATATTTGTCAATTTAAACGGCAGGTACAAGGAGCAAAAGATAACCTGAGCCGTGAAAAGGACACGAGAGGTATGGCCAGTGAGTTCAGCCATCTTAACCATTGACGGGTACTTCCACAAAGTGAGCTGATTCTGAGCGAATCCATGTGAGCTTAGCAGCTCTCTCTCATTCTTGTTCCAGACCAGCGAGCACACTTGTGACCCAGTGTCGATCGAGTTGAGGCATGCGCCGGTATGTGTGTTCCAGAACTTGATGCACCGGTCACTCCCACCACCACCAGATGCCAGCAGGTTGCTCTGGAATGGGCACCACGCGAGAGCCTTCACAGCAGCCAAGTGATCCTCAAGCCTGTGTAACCACTGGGTGCGGCCAGCAGACGGCATAGAGGATGCCATGGACACATCCCATATGTGCAGGAGGTTGTCATTGCCACCACTGGCAAGCTGCTGCCCTGATCCTGACCACTTGAGGCCACACACCTCCTGCTGATGCCCCTGGTATGTCTGCACAACATGGTTCCTGATCCTCACATCATTGTTCACAATCTTGCCATCCATTCCACCAGTTGTGAGGATGTTGTTGTTCCATGCCAGCGAACCGACCCTCGAATCGTGCACGCCTCGCATCGTCCTCAGCTGCAGAATCAATCACAATCAGGAACTAAGCACAACTGCACATGCAATGCTAATGAAAACATTCAAACACAGACCAAGAGGTACTAAGTACTAACCAGTCGGTTTGAGCTGGTGTCCCAGAGCTGGACATCGGAGGAGTTGAGACCAACGGCGATGTGCCGGCCATCAGGAGCCCAGCTTACGCTGGTGACAGGGCCATTGTCCTCATCGACGGTAACAAGCTCAGAAGTTGAACTGTTCGTGGCATCCCAGAGGTACACCGAGTTGCCCAGCGCAATGGATAGCACATTGCTGCTTCCCCAGTCCAGTAGGTTGAGGTAGTAATCATCAACAAGCTCTGGAGCATCCAGAGTCCTCTCGGCAGACTGCACAAGATTTTCAACCAGCGCACATCCAATCAGGCAATCAGCAACCAACCATAATCCAAAGGCACTAGACAGTTACAGCTAAATGGCAGCAATGAACACTAGACTAGAACCAGGTGTGCATACCTGAGGAATGTATCGGCGCTGCTTCGCCGGCTTGGCTTGGATGGAAGCCGCATCAGCACGGAGCTCCGTGAGGATGCTCTCGGGCTCTGGCGGCTTGTTGCGGAAGGAGAGAATCCTGGTGCGGTTGTTGAGGATCTTCTCGGCCAGCAGCTTCCGGTACGCCTCCTTGGCCGGGGACGCCGCCGCGTTCTCCTTGTCCTTCCTCGGCTCCGTCAGCAGGTAGTGCGCCATGTCCATGTCCATCGCCGACCTGTCCGGAATAAACCTGTCACCCTGCCAAACAAGGAGAATACCCGTTCAGTCATTTCGTCGAACAGCTTGTGTGCGTTCCTTGGCGACGCTTAGAACAGAGAACTCACGTAGCACTTGGCTGACGGGTTGCGGGACGCCGTGCTCAGCGATGGCATGTACGGTCTGGATCCGGCCTCCTGGAGTGGCTGTCGCGGCGCCACGTACCGGCTGCTCTTCTCCGATGAGATCGAGTGCGAACCTGCATCCATGGGTCAGAAGCAACAAGCAGAAACAAATAAACAGGGCACAGCGCAGCAACAAGAAGAGATACTGCTACCACGAATAAGATGGATCGTAGACGAAAAATTCGATCCCCAATCAACAAGCAACGATGAATCAGGAAAAAAAAATTCACGCCGACGAACAACTCCAATCGGAACGACGGAATCGATAAGAAACCAAAAGGCGATGATATTTCAACACCAAAGAAATTTCACCAAAAATCAAGAAATCTCAGGGGAAAAAAAGAATCCTTTTCACGCCAACGAACAACTCAAATCGGGAATCGACAAGAAACCAACAGGGGTGGAGACAATCCAACGCAAAGAAATTCCACCGAAGATCAAGAAACCACAACGAAATCAACGACGCGGACAAGCAATTCAAGCCAACAAACAGGTGATTCGACGCAGAGATTTCAGATCAGTAAACCGAAGAGGAGAGCGCGGGGATCTTGGAGAGCCTGGGTCGCGCGCCGGATTCGCTCGCGAGATCGCACGAAACTCACAGAGAGAGAGAGAGAGGTGCCTCGCGGAGTAGTATCCTTGTGGGGTTACTGGTAGATCCGTCAAAATATTTATACGGAACGGCGGCCGCAACGGCTAGCAGTGTGTCCGAGAAAAAAAATAGCCGTTGGGATGTGGCAGCTGCAACTTAGGGTTAGCAACTTTAGCACTAGTTCACACACAATCGCACTAGTATTAGCAGTAGCAAAATTAGCTGGGATCATCATCATCTAGTGCTACTAGATCAAAATTGTGATTGGGCTAATAGCAGATCATGAAACCGATTATCAATTTTAACCCTTATCTTATTGGGTAAGGTGATGTTCTTTCACTAATCAACCGTCAGCTCACTGTTTGCATCGGATCCGATGTTCATCGAAGCAAATCGATCTTCCGGCCAGAGCAATCTCGATAAGATAAACTTATGCTCGAGATTCAATCAAGAGGCAGAACCACGCATTCAGAAATTCAGACCATTGGGACATGAACTCTTGGTTTTCCCTTAAAAAAGTTTACTCTGTTGTCTGATTGTCCATGATACACAGGTATGATCCTGGCACAGATGAGGATACCACAAATAAACGTAAACCATGACCCACCACCCACGTATGACATGCAACACATTTAGATTGGCCTAATACGTTGGTGACAAACAGTAAGCATTTTATCAGCGAGCACAAGGCAAACATCTTGTACAGTTTGATATATGCATGGCTTCCCAGGACTCAATACGTGATCAGAGTGTTCACAGTAAGCAGCCTTTGAAGGCTTTTCGCAGTGCAGCTTCATCCAAATTCCTTCCAATAAATACTAATTTGTTGAATCTTTTCTCATCCGGCTCCCATGGTTTAGCTGGGCATCCCTCCAACATAGAGTGCACACCCTGTAAGTTTTAGATTTTAAGAAAGGGTTAGTAATGGAAGAAGACAGAATTAGAGTAGATTGAATTGCAAAAGCATTAAAACAAGAGCTCTCTGTACCAACAATGGATAAACAAAGGTAGTGATAGATCACACCAATGTTGGAATACAAAAGCTATTAGATCAGCTAACCTGGAATACGAAACGTCCAGTTGACTCATTTACGGAGATTACACCCTTCAATCTATAAAGATCCTCCCCTTTCTCTTCAACGAGTCTCTCAAGCCAGTCATTCACCTGATAAAGACAGTAGTGATAGATCAGTTGATTTGCTGAGTATACTTCTAGCAGCAAAGAACAAAAATCCCTGCTGAATAATCATATTTTAAACAGATGTTCCAAGTGCTTTGGTTTACCTCATCAAGATCAAGTACTCCCTCCGAAACAATGCTAACACTTGAGACAGCTGAATCATGGACATGTCCATGATGGTGCTGATGCCCTACAAATCAGTAGAGTACAAACTAAATAGTAATCTGACTGAATTGACAGTAGAAGCAGGTAAAAGAAAACATGGACACAGACTATCTGTGGTAAGGATCTGGCTGCTATCTCATTTTTTCAGGTATTACCGTCATTTCTTAATAAGAATGTTTTATTGCCATTAACTCTTGCATGGTGTCCTAGACTCCTAGGTATAATTCACATGATTCTAATATGATTGGGAACCATGGCATGGTGATCAAGGATATGAAAGCAAACTTTACCATGTTCTTCTCCAGCATGGCAATGACCTGTCTCTTTTCTTTCATGCAACTGGACTTCAGACTCAATCCTGTACATTACCTATCTCAAATTAGAGAAGCAAGATATATATCTAACTCAGGGTCAAAACCAATTTTTTTCTTCAATACCCTCCAAAAAATGTTCCCATGCATAACCAACCTATCAAGATCATAGCCCCCAATTCCTAGCACAAAATCCATGTCAACATCACCAAACTTTGTTTTTCTCATCTGTGCCATCCCATTTATGAGCTGCACAAAAAGGAATCAGCTTGTACAAAAATCCATCAGCTTATATTTTTGTTTCTTAAGGAATCCGCTCTATCAATTTACCTTAATTTTGTTAATTAACACCTCCAGTTCTGCATTATCAACCAAATCAGTCTGCAGAAATGTATGTTACGGAACATTAGTAAAACAAGAAACTTTTTGAGAAGTTTTTTTTTTAAGCCGGAAGAATGCAGAAAAGATAAAATTGTATTCCTTTTTTTAAGAACTTATAGTACTGACTACTGAGTCATGTATTAGTAGGCAGTAAATACCTTGTTCAATATAATCCTGTCTGCATAAGCAACTTGCTCTACAGCCTCATTTACAACCCACCTGGCCTTTACTTCATTCAAATGTTTCATGGCATGCTTACAATCAACCATAGTAACCACACCATCAAGCTTCACATATCTAGAGACCAGTTCATCAGAACAGAATGTCTCAATGACAGGACCAGGCTTTGCAAGACCTGGGTTAATGGCATTGACTCTGTCAGGCATTGAAAAATCATGGACCTTCAAGAAAAGGAGGCATTTCCAATTCCATACTTTAGCAATACAATCCAGTGAGGCCCACCTGTTGTTTCAATAACAATATGATCAAACTTGTCCCCCTTTTGCTTTACCAACTTCAGAAGCATCTTTACAAGATCCCCTCGGACAGTACAACACAAGCAACCATTGTTCACCATTACAATGTCCTCGGCAACTGATGAATGACTTGCAACGAGTGAGCTATCAATGTCCACCTCACCAAACTAAGAAATAACTGAGTCAGTATGTGGTCACTAGTCACCAAGCTAATTGAATGTAAATATGGATATATTGGAAAACAGAATATCAAGTAAACAATGGTCAGCCTGATCTGAAGATTCTGTTGCACATAACTGAACAATGCAATTTTGACAAGTCCGCAAGATATATGGCTGCTTAGAATTACCTCGTTCTCAATTACAGCGATTCTCTTCCCATGCTGTGAAGTTAAAATGTGATTCAGGAGGGTTGTCTGTAAAAGGTAAATTCGAAACAATTAGCCAACTATACCACACAAGCATAAGTTTCCTATAAACTGTATCATCATGTATGTTACTATTTAACACTCCGGAACCATGGAAGCAAGCCCCATATAGTGCAAAAATCCAGACTGGTTTTAATTTGATTTTTACAGATATATCAAGTTCTTGGATTCTAGTTCAAATTACCCCGTCAAGTTTGGATCGCCGCAAGCGCCTCTCAAGTACACTGTCTATATGGCTCCAGCGCTTTTTGGCTGTGTGCATTTTATGCAGAGGCCGGGGGTGACTCAGTTTGATTGTATCATCTTGATGTAATTAACTGAGTCTAAATAAAGCTTCCATTATCTAAAAAAAGCTAGCAAGACTGCACAAGGGGAAGGACAGCAGCGGTCACCTTGCCGGAGCCGAGGAAGCCGGTGATGACGGTGGCGGGTACGCGGGTGTCCAGCGCCTGCGCGTCGAAGGCCGTGTCGGAGAGGCCCCGGGGGAAGACGGTCGACGGCGCCGGAGCCGGCCGTAGGAGGGGCGACCGGAAGCTTGGGAAGCGTCCGGAGAAAGAATCCAGAGGACTGCGGAGAAGAGCGGAGGAGCAGGATGCCGCGGTTCTCGTCGCCCTCTCCAACAGCCGCGCCGCCGCAGCCGCCATCTCGGGCGGTTTCGGGGGAGAATTTACGGGGAGCCCACCGCGGGGGAGCAGCAGGGTCAGGGTGAGGGTTTTCGTGGGGTTTACTGGAGTATCTCACCGTCACCGGCCAGGCGGAGCCGCCTGCTTAGTAGTACAGCGGTACAGCCTCTTTAACTACTGGAGTAGTACAATGCTTCTTTTCAATTTTTTTATAAGTCAACCTCCTTTAACTTCTTTTCAAACTTTGATCAAGTTTGTATGAAAATATATCAATACTTTTAACATAAAACAAAAACTATCAAAACACATTCAATGATCGGTTTAATAAAACTAATTTAGTATTATAAATGTTGTTACACTTTTCTATAAACTTTATCAAACTTTTAACAAGTTCTAACTTTGAAAAAGAGACATAATAGGAAACGGAGCAGTTTTGAATTTCATAACTTGAATTAAGGATGAATTTTAGTTTGATTTTTTTAACTCTTCTTAGCAACATTGAATGGAGAACTGTGCAAAAAAAAGGGGGGGCAAAAGCCCCTAAAAATTAATTTTGAAATCAAACACAAAGACTGGGGGTGAGAAAGCATTCCCTTTTTTTCCACTAATGCACGGACAGTCACTGTATAAGCAAACAATTCTTATCAAGTACTCCCTCCGTACTCGTAAAGGAGATCGTTTAGGATAAGGTTAAGTCAAAACTTAGAAATATAAATTATAAATATCTCTCAACTTGAGATTGAAAATATAAAAATTATATAAATAGATTTGTCATGAAAAATAATTTTATAAAAGTATACATATATCACTTTTCAATAAATATTTTTATAGAAACAGGAAGTTAAAGTTGTGTTTTGGAGACCGTGTCGCTGTCAAAAACGATTTCAGTATGGAGGGAGTACATCCAGTTAAGCAAAGCTGGCCTTGCTGCTGGACTTACAACGGTGTAAGCAAAAAAGGCCATCCGACGCCTGGTCAGGCAGAAGAGCAAAACAAAACAGAGACTACTTCCTGCCGCTACGCTTGGACTTCTTAGATTTCTTCTTTTTCTGCGGCTTGTTTTTGGAGCTGGGGCCGGAGCTGGCAGCGGCTGGTGCTTCTTTGGTCGACTGCACCACATTACTTCCTCCCGTCTCTTGCTCGTCATCTGAGCATCCACTCCATTCGCTAGCTCTGTCAGGGTTAGATTGGCTTCCTTGCACGTCGACGATCTTCCCAATATTTTTTTCACCATCACCATGTTCCCGGTTTGAATGGAGATCCTTCACGGACAAAGCTCTCTTCTCCCTGTGATGGCAGAAAAATGGAGATGAAGTTTAAAGAACACACGAAATTAACCGACAAGAAAAGTACTGTGTTAAGCTGCTAGAACATGATGAGCTCAGGTGATCGTTTCCACATTTTATACACGTTGGCAAGCAGCACAAGGATGGTACGAGGTCACACAACTCAACCATATTTGCTTACCTAACATGCTGTTCTTCGACTTGCTTGCAAATGTGTCTCAACTCTAACATTTGCACAGGAGGAGCTCTTTGCTCTATCCAGGAAAGGGGACTTCTAAGAATTTGAGAAATTAAGCTTCCATTTTTCTGCAGAAAAACGCTGTCCGTAGTTAAACAATTGAACAAAAGGGAAGATGACCAAACGAATTTACCAAATTATCAACTCACCTTTTGAGGCATATTGACTTGAAACGCCTCAAACTTCTCCAACAAAGGATGATCCACATCACTCAAATTAAAATTACTTGTACTCTTCTGGCTACCTCCTACACTTGTCAAAGGGAAGTGACCAGAAGTAGCGTTGCAAATTTTGTTACAAACAGATTTGATCTCTGGCAGCTGAGGTTCCTGCTTTAAACTACTTGACTTCTCTGTTGAAAGAAGTGCCATTACCTTCTTAGCATCACTCAAATCCACACTGCTAATCATATCAGCATTCAAGTCTGGCTGGCATTTATGTGCCATTGCCTTCTTAATATCACCCATAACTACCATGCGAGTTCCTATTGCTGCAAGGGCATCAGCAAATACCCTCATGAAGTTCTTCACTGTGCGAGACTTCATCCTCAAAGCATTTCTAATCTTTTCAGAGAACTCAGGAGGTAAATCCGTAAAAACATGATTTTTCTCGAGGAAAGCTGTAACCTCATACAAATCTCCATCGTCTTGGTTTACAGTCACAAGATAAAGTGTGATAACTAATCTCAGAAGGATTGGAACATAAGAACTAGTTGGAGTAGAGGTGTTCTGAACCCACTCTACAATCATACGCTTGCTTCCCAAAAGATCCTTAACTGACAGGTATATGAAACACCGTGCTGAATGACCTGCATAGCCCAGATCGATATCTGTGCTAGGAGCCATACATGTCTCAAAGTAACCCTTGGTAGTGCGACACTTCATCATTTTGGCCAACAGAGATTTTGTGCAAAACATATAGTCATTCAGTACAAGATGCGTTGTAGCCAAAAAGCCAAGGCACTCAATGAGATCTACATAGCATATCGGGGATATGTAGTGTTCAGCCCTCCAGTTTGCCTTATAAGTGCAATCAAGAGCAAATTTGAAGTCCAAGAGTAAGATGTCTCTGCTAACACCATTGTCAAGATACTTCTTCAACGATAGAAAAAAAGTTGCCCACTCAGAACCTCTGTCTAGATATTCCACAAGCTGTGAAATCAACGAATCATCCAACCTTGCTGCATGGAGAAGAAGCATAGTTATTCTCCCAACTTGACTATGAGTCATTTTATTGTTTCTTGAACCAAGATATGAACAGATGGAATCAGAGAGCAGGTTATATGTAGTCGCTGAGTCAAGTATACACAAGAGGCTCTTTGGTGTTTCATCCCTCCAGACAAGGAAAACCAACTCGAAGAAGCGACGTTCACAAAGAATAGAGTAGTACTTTATGGTATTTTTTGGCATGCCAAACTCTGATTCCTTTAGAAACTTTGCAATTTCGTATATAACGAGTATAGTTCTACCCAGGGAGCATGATGATGTTGGCAAAATTTGGACAATAGATTCCAACTTCTTGAGTACACTCAAACCAACAGAATAAAGTTCATTGATCCAAAAATCCTTAGCACAAGAATGACAATGGAGAGTATCCAGCCAACATCTCCTGCCATCTTGCTGCAAATAATTTCTTCCTGTGTTAGACAGCCAGCTAGAGTCTGTGTTAAGTACCACATACCGGTCATAATCACCATCTTTTCTCCATCCAAAGTATTTAGCACAAAGATCTTCACAGATTGCTGCCAAATCATTTGATTCTGCGTCCTTAGGGTGATCAAGATGCCTGAGCACTTTGACTATAATTGAACTCCAGTAATTCCAATCGTATACTAGAGTTTCAAGTGATATCTGATTAAGAACTAGCATATCTTTGCAATGCCGTCCATCATGAGACCCTGGCTCTGATTCAAAACAGTATCCAGAGGCTTCAGCCTGAAGATGAACATCAAGAATCAAGCGAGAAGCTATAAGTTCGACTAACAAGTTTCCACATTTATTGCCCTCAATCAAGTTATAAGTTATGCTGGCAAGAGACTTATGTTCATCTGAAAGGGCATCTGCTTCTGAGCAAACAAGGCAGTAGAATGACTCCGATACATTCCTTGACATTTCTTTGGCTTTTGCAAGCAATTGCTCCTTCTCCGCAAACCTTTTTGGAGGCCATCCTGTACTGTGCGAAGCCCAGAGAGAATTCACAAATAATTGAAGGAGGATAAGTTGTGTAGCATTTTCAAGAAAACCTGCCTTTTCAAGCAGATCGGCCTCCAATAAGATGTTTCCTGTATGCTTTGCTATCCCAGCAGCTTCAACAAAATTACCCATATCCATCTCTACACTCAGCAGTTCATCCACAAGATTCTTAGAATTTAAGAATACACGAATGTGATCCATAGAGCTGAAAGACTTAACAAATGGCATCATGTGCTTTATGTCTCCACACTCAAAATAGTGTAGCGCACAATCTTCTAGAAATGTGTTTCTAATAGCAGCCACCTTGACGAGGCTGGAATTTTCAAGCAAATGTTCCTCCAACTGTTGCAAGAGAAGTAGGCCCTTTTGGAACAGTTTTCCTTTAGAACACATGGACAAACACTTGGCGTAACATTTAGCTCTAAAGTATGCGTCAGCTGCCAGTGACCAGCAGGCACTCAGTTCAAAACAGTCCCCAGCATCCTTTAGCCTGGAATTACCACATTTTTCCATATAAACCATTCCTGATAGAAGTTAAAGCCACATTAGATGTTTTGAAAATGTTATGAAAGTTATGTGGTAATACTTGTGTGAAAACCCAATATAGGCAAATACTCCCTCCATTCCAAATTGATCTACATTTAGTTTTTTTGAGGTTATTCCTAAATGATCATCATATTTGTATTCATTTATTAAGTCTATTCGTTATTTGTGCATTGGAGTAAATGGACATTGATGCATGCATCCATGCACACAAGTATTTATAACCCACATGCAATATCTTGATTTGCTATTGGCTAGGAAATAGTGGGGATGGAACATGCATCGAGTTTGTTGCTATAGTAAATATAGTATGAGAGAGTTATTAGCTTTTCTTGGTCTTGGTGTACCTATGAAATATGTAGATCAATTTGGAATGGAGGGAGTATGATACTACCAGGAAAAAAATGTTACAAAAAAAATCTGGAAGCAGAAATTCGCTGAGGAAGAATCATTTACTTTTGGGGAAAACCTTTCTGAGAAACTTGCCATTTGTTAAAACAAGATGGAAAGGTGAAGACATAAAAAATGTAATACACAACCATATAACAATTTAAGACAGTCATCATACCTGCTTTTTTGTAGTCACCTAATTTCATATAGCAAGTAGCAGCTTTCTCATGCTTGCCAATAGACTCAAAGATTTCTGAAGCTTTTTGCAATGAAGACTGGCCCATCTCAAAGTTTGTAGAGATGACACGGTCAGCAGTTGCTAGAAGTCCAGCAGCTCTTGCTAACTTTTCTCTGTAAGCATCACCTGCCTTTTCAAAGCACATCGTAGCCATTTCATATTGCCCCTCAGCGAATAGCTACAAGGAAAGAATGTGCATGTGTTATAAGTAGCTCAACAACGGTGCTGGAAAGAAGAGCTAAAACTGAAAAAACATAAGTCCACATATCAATTGTCTAAAAGAAAGGGCCAAACAATCAACATGACTAAAACCTTGACAAAACAGATAGCATGATGAATGGACTAATGTACTGTATTCAACATGACCAAACATGATGGAAACGAGTATTAGACAAAAGTTGTAAATGTCAACGTTTTGAAATACATGCATGCCTTGAATTTTTGGACGGAGAGTATAACACTAACCTTGGTACCCCGTTGCCTCCAATCTTCTTCTGTGCTGCTTCCTGCCTGCATTGCTTCAATGAGTGAAGAATCAAGTACTCTAACTTCAACAAGGCACAACTTCTTCCAGTAGTCAAACATCGGTCGGCAGTTATCATCTGCATTCTCACATATCCACAGCCTTTGCCTAGTTCGTGTAATTGCAACATAGAGCTGCTTCAACTCTGAACAGAGAAGATAATGCTTGTTTTTGTCGAAAAAAGAGTGGGACATCTCTTCAGATGATTCTATAACATTTTTGCCTTTCATGTAGTCATACACAACTCTCCATTTATTTCTTAAAGGTGATGAGCTAAAGAAATTGTACAGCAGCACGTCCTACACAAAATGATATTTTAAAAATAAATAAGTATCCTAGAAATTTATTTAATACAACATAATTCAGTCCTAAAAGGCTTCTTACAGTAAACAGGAAAAATGCTTATCAACAACCACAATTGAAATTTAAGTGGTAAGGCTCATACCTGGAACTCAAGGCCCTTACATTCAACAATTGTCAAAACAAGAGCTTGTTTACCAACAAGGTCAACAACCTGTTTCTTGGTTGCATCATCACGAACTAATATAACTTGTTCGGCACCAAACCCTTGCAAGTTACCAGGGTCACTCTTGCTTTCTCCAAAGATAGTCATAATTGCGTTCTCATCATTACCAGATTCAAGCAGCACAGGTGCTTCTCCATATACAAGCCCAATCTCTGGGTTAAGTTTGTCAACACATGACGGGAAAAAGTAGTACAGAAGACTCATGATACTGTGAGCCAAACGAAGGATTCCACAGTGTGTGCGAAAATTTTGGGTAAGCTGGAACATATCCGTGATACGAAGCTGTTTTCCATGATTAATCCCTTGACCACATGGCTCCATTTCTGGAAGGAAATAGGTATAGAAGAGTGAGCGAATATCTTCAAACCTAAAATCAATGCCTCTTGCTATCGTCTGTGCTGTGTCACCAGCAAAAACAAAGCCCTCCTCGAAGTTCCTGCAGACATACTTGAGCAGTGCTATCTGTGTCATTGTAAGATCCTGCACCTCATCTATGTAAATACAATCCACAATATCACCATTGTAGCCCTCAGAAAGAAGGTTTCTGTGAAGACTGTTAACAAAATCTGACAAGTCAAATTCCCTGGCTGTGCATTTCATACTTTCGTAATCAAGAAAAATATCATATACCCTTTCTCTCATCTGACTGTTCAGAGACGAAAATCTCTTCTCAGAAAGCTTTAAATAATCAAGCCTTTCAAGTTTGCCACCAAAAGGTTTGTTCGCTTGATATCCACCCTTTATATGAGAAATTATTTCAGTGAAGACAGTGGACGCATCAAGTTTCTTTGTCAGTTCAGAGTTAAAATGCGGCCAATAGGAAGCAGAAAATTTTTCATATGTTACTTCCTTCATTTCAATAAAAGCTTGCAGGGCTCGAGATTTTGAATACCCTCTCTCCGTGGAAGACCTTAGTTCACCACAAAAGGTACCAAAGAATGAAGTTTTGCATGTTCCATCAAGCATCATCAGAAACTTCCGAAACGTGATAGTAAGAGGATAGTGCTCACAAGGAAGACCAATAAAACTATCGGGTATGTCAGTGAAGTCTTCAAGATCATCAACCATGTCAGGCATTTGAAGAATGCTAGCCTGATCAGAGACGTCACCAGAACCATATCTACAGATGGTTGAAATAACATAACCTTAGTGAAGGAGCACGGTTTACATAACTAACAAGCTAAAAAAAGCACATTTTTTTTAATTAGTGGAGACAGTAAAAAAAATACTCCCTCCATTCCAAAATATAAGGCACAACCACCCTTAACCCAAAGACCAAGAAATAATTATTATCACCTCATAGTTTGGATTATCCTAATAAATAGAATACATGCATCCAATAAAATTAGAGATCTTAATGGTAGAGGATTTAAATAATAACATTTAGTGGAAAAGATGTGCTAGTTAATGACATGCATGCATGCACGCCTTATATTATGAAACATTATGAAACAACTTTAAAAAGTAGTTGTGCCTTATATTATGGAATGGAGGGAGTACAATGCACTCTAAATAAACAGAAGAAAAGGGAATTTGCAGAAGTATACCTTTAAAAGAAAATTTTATAGGTTCTAAAGCAGACAAATTTTATAGGTTTTAATTAATTCAGAGAATTTTTTTAGTGATCCAATATATTCTGTTCTCAAATTTTGGAAGCGGTCTAGATTCTTACTCTTTTGACATCCTTCCTAAAATCCTGATGGGGGTGCACATCACAAAAAAATGGTTAGAATTTTTGACCATCTGAAGTTCAAGTCTAGCACTAATAGCTTGTTGCATTTTTTTTCCTAACGGAAGAAAACGCATTCACAGATCTACCCATGATCGCTTGCTCCACAGTGGTTAGGCTAGATGCAAGAAAACCGATCAAGATTGCAGGACAAAAATAAAAAAGTTATATGGCTTCTATGCTTTCACTGGTATTTCCTTTCAATATCTTAACTAAAGGGAGCACCTTCATTTCTTTTGGAGAATACAGTATAACCTATCATTTGTAGATGTAATTTGCTTAAAAATATCACTTTTACTTTAAAAGAGTACTTAAAAGGAGGGAATCATTTAGAAGGACCATAACCAAAAATTCAGAAGGATAAATAACAGAAGCAAAGCAGTGGTCTGCTGCTGGCGCAAGAATGCATCGGCTAGTAGTCTGACAGCATAGTTAGAGCTAAAGCTGGAACATGAAATAGTTATAACCCAAGTGTTCTGCTAGATGCCCTTTTGTGTGTGCAGTAAATCTGTTGTTTGTGGTGAATTTCCCTTTTTCTCTTATGTACAATTCTTGTGTATTCCCAAAAAGAAAAAAAGAACAGAGTAAATTCAAAGAGTGCACATTAAGAAAGATTTTGAAGTGGCTTGCAATCTGTTAAGCATAGTTTTGGTTTAGCTTATAAGTTTGTTTCTACTCATCCCATTGCGTATAGCTTTATAAAACGAGCACACTGGTAATCAATAGTACATGTTATTACAGGTTTGGAAAAAGGGAAAAAAAAACTTTGAAGCATACCCCAAAAAAAAAATTATCCCATGAGACTCCAGTTCAAAGATACTTACCTTGTAAGCTTGCAAATCTGATTCCTTATAGCTGAACATAGCTTTGGGCTTACAGTGATAAAGACTTGTTTAACAAAAGTTTCTACTTCACTCAAATCCTTCTGTGCTGTACTATTTCTTTCATCCAAATTTAGCCCACGTGATGCAATCAAAGACTGTTGCCATATTTGAATCAGCTTCATTGTGAGCACAGTTGTTTTACCAGTGCCTGACCTTCCAAGTATAAAACTAGTGAGTGGGAATCGAATAATCGCCTGCTCTTCATCAGTCAGTTCAAAGGGAATATCAATTTCTGATCCATCAGTAGCTGTTAGCAAATGTTTTGCCACACCAGATGATAGAGAGTAGAACTTCATTAGCAAGAAGCTTTCACTGACTTTTGAATTCTCCATAGCATATGATATGTCCACATGATCATGGTCTTCCTGAGCATCAACTTCCAGAACCTTCCGATAGCGAATAATATCATGCTCGGCATCCCAAATAACAGGCACTTCCAGTTTCCTAGTATCCACAATAAAAATGAAGCACAAAATAAGACACATTATATTTAGTTCATTTGCAAGCATCAAGAATCCTTGACATGTACAGGCACATTTCATTCATTAAATATATTAAGTCAATAAGATTAGTGATTTTTTTCTGAGGATACCAGATTACACTGTTTATAGAGCATCAAAAGGAAAAGATATCCACAGAGCCTGAATATAAACACTGGCAGAACAAAAAAGCACATACCCCTCAGTCTTTACTCTTCTGCACTTATCGAGGTACTCATCCGTGTACATGGAAAACAGATTTTCAAGACGTTGAACAGTTCTTGCAACATTCTGGTGAGACAACAGGTCCCAAATTCTTATAATCTGAACATACCTTTCGCTTTTCTTTATATCGGTACTCCAAACAAGCCTCAAAGGTCTCTGACTTTGTATACTTTTGCAAGCTGGAAAGGATCAATTACATTGAAATTCAAATTCTTCATTGTTGTCCTCCAGCCAACACCAAGTTTGATAAGCTTTTGAAGTACTTCCCTCCTAAGCTGTGGGTATTTTAATTTTGCAAAGGACTTCTTAAATTCGTCACTGAAAACGACCTGATCAACAAATACACAAAATAAAATTGAGTGAAAATGTAATTGAATAACTATGTTCTTCAAACACATTAGGGAAAAATATGTTTATGCAAACTATGTCTGTGGTGGTCATAATTTGTTCTACACCCATCCCTCCCCTCCAACACCCCCACACATATGAAATTTCCACACTAATGTGTGGGCACAGGGCACATATCGTGACCAGACACCAGTCAGTCCTGATTAAACTTGTAAATATAGTGGTACCACTTGATATCACCATTCAATTCTTTTGGCCAAAACAAAGTTTAGGCTGAGTTCGACAATGAGAGTTCCCAACTCCTCTCCATCGTTTTCCATGTGCACGCTTTTCAAACGGCTAAACAGTGTACTTTTTGCAAAAAAAAATTCTATAGGAAAGTTGCTTTGAAAATCATATCAATCCATTTTTCAAGTTTTTTTTGACTAATACTTAATTAATCATGTGCTAATGAACTGCTCCATTTTCCGTGCTAGAGGGCAACGTTCCCAGCTCTAAGGAACACAGCCTTAAGACTTAAAAATATGCAGGGTCATTCTACACTATATAGCCTTCAATAATTTACATAAATATATTAAAGACCAAGCTACAGTATAGTGCACTTACTTTCCATCTAGTATTGCTGAAAACGGCTGAATCCGCATTAAGTAGATCGTCAAGTTCATCAAGTTCATTCTTGACTTTCAAAACCAACTTACATATGGCTGCGTCATTAGTAGCATCAATGATACATTTACGTCTTTGTGCATCAGCTATAAGGTCTTTCCATACTGTCCCACTACTATACAGTGTATTAGCATTACCTAGAATCCAAAGGCAGTGCCTACATCAAATAAACCAGCATATTAATCAGTATTATCACAGTTAATATTCCAATTATAGTCAAACAACATATTGATGCGAACCTTGCTCTTGTAAGAGCAACATTTGTTCTTTGTTCATCAGCAAGAAATCCAACAATGCCTTTCACATTAGACCTAACTGTTGATAGTATGATAATATCATCTTCTTCTCCTTGGAAACCATCAACAGACTTTACGCGCACATGAAAGCCATCACACGTGTCATACAATTTGCCAAGTCTGCTTTCTATTGAATCAACTTGAGAACTGTACGGAGAGATCACACCAATGCTGAGCATTTGTCCTTTCCTTTTCCAAGCTGCAGGAGAAAACAAGGTAACAAAGTTATATGATTATTAATCTCCTCAGAATTCAATTGTTTGAACATGACCAAGGAAAGAAAATTCATAGGAACAACTATCAGTGTACAATTGTTTAAAGAAATGTAAAGAATTTAACACTCTCTAAGATGAAATATTCCTTTGTTGAAATGGGAAATGTTAGTATTGCTCACATACACGAACATTTACAAAGTGATACATCAAACAATAACCCAGATTAAAGCAGTTTACAACGCACACTCAACATTGGATATCAAAATCACAAATTGTTGCAGCTGACAGCTAATAAGTCAGTAAAGTTATATTTCTCTACAATACAATAAATACTGAAGGACCATGTGCTGAAGAAATTCTGAGCCAACTGTACAACGTAGGCAAAGAACACTCTAATTTGTAGGGCAATATCTCATGTAAGCAAGAAATAAAGATATAATGTTATATTATCCAAGTAGTTTCATATAGACATTAGAAATACCATGATGAGAAAAAGAAATATACTTTTAAAAATTGTTTGGATCAGGTGCAAAACAACAGCAACTTCAACCAGGTTTCGCCAACTGTTTCCAGTGCCCTCTTTTTCTTCCCTTCCATCACTGATGTTTATAAAAGCATAGGTACCAAAAGGGAGGTTTGTGTAATCTTTGTTATAGACAGAGGACATGACATTTGGACCATCTAAAATCTTCCTCCCATAAAATTGAACATTAGGAAACAAGCTGATACGAGGATCCATGCGATATTGTATATTCAGCAAATGTTTTTCAAAATCCAGTACAACCAATCTCTCAAAAAGACTAATTCCAAATCCAGCTTCTTTGCATACCTAAAGATGAACAATGAAAGAAAATTATTGTGAGGTTATGATGACCATCAAACGATCAAAAAGAACTATTGAACAAATAAGACACAGTGAGGAAGAAAACTACTTGGCTTTTAACCATTGGTCTCAGCTGGCAGTCATCTCCTACTAAAACAACATGTTTCAGCCAATGCAGACGTAGTGGAATAATCAATTCACATTCCCTCACTTGAGCCGCCTCATCCACAATTAACACATCAAGCGGTGCAATTTCCATGTGATGCAATCGATACGAGCTAGAGGAGGTACAAAAAATAAGTGTTGCATTACGCATGCAGTAGTTCTGAATCCAATTTCTGTCTCTACCAGTAGGTAGATCCAGTGATCTCTCAAGATCTTCAAGCAATTGAAGGCATGATAACTTTGCTCTATTCAGTTCCTTCTCAATAATGAATGCAGACTTTGCACAAGAAATGTCTTGAATAGACAGAAAACCAAAGCCCCTTTTTGCACCATCATCAGTTAAATTTTCATGATGTAAAAGGGCTTCAACTTTTTCCAGTGAATCAAAGAGCATTGATATATTACTGATGCTATCATGTGAAAAGCACTTCCTAGGAAGGTGAATCAATAAGTTCATTATGCATTTCTTTAAAGCTGTGGCTGTCACATCAAATTGTGTCTTTATAAAGTCCAGGAAACAAATAGGATCGCTTCTTCCATCATCCTCAAGAAGCATATCATACTGAGAACCACAATCCTCAAAAAAGGAAGCCATAGAAGCTATTCTGTATCTCCACCCAGACAACGATGAAAAGCATTCAACAAGTTCATCAGCACGACAATCTAAGAAAACATCTTGAAGGTCCTCAGTGATGTCCATATTATACTTGTTTCCAAATAACAAGACATCACCAAGAGAAAAGGGTAGAAAGTTTTCATTGGCATTCTTGTTGAAATCCCTCAAAATATGAAGGAACCGAGTACAAACTCCAACAATAGCAACATTTGTGGGTGCACATGTAAGAGTTCTGCATTTCAAACATGCCAAAGCCCAAAGCAAAGCACTAACTGTCTTGGTCTTTCCAGTACCTGGTGGACCCCATATAAGTTTCATGAGATTCAAATGCCTACACTGCACTGCTGAGATAACAGACTCAATAGCATCCACTTGCGATTGATTAAGATTAATTGACAGTAATTGCTCAGTACATAAAGCCAAACAGTGCTCATCCTGTTTAACACAGATATCACAAACGTCATCACCCTACAACAGAGTCAGCCAACAAAGAGGAGGTTAGCTACAATGCTACCAGATGCCCAAAAACACTTGTACCATGGACTATTAAGAAATATTGAAGGCCAAATAATCAACGCATTACCATATATGTGGGGGCAAAGAGTGACTTGATTACTGTGAAATTGTTGTTCATGCCCATGTCAAAGCAAATTGCTTTCCATATCCGTAAGTTTGTCATAATATTATTAAGAAATATCGCATGTCTAAGTCTGTTGAAGCCTTCTTGTAGAGTTACATCCTTTGCAACTTTCACTCGGAAACCCTTCTGGAATTCATCATCCATAGAAACTTCAGTAACCATAGCCAGGCAGTATGTCACACCATAGCGGTTCAAGTCATCTGCAGATTCAGGTTTCATACTAGACAATATAAATATATCTCCATTCCTAGCAGTATAAGCCTCGGAAGAAAAACCAGCCCCGTTATCCCAGAAGTCCACATCCATAAAATACAATCCTGATTTTCCTGCTTCTTCCATAGACAGTATCTTAGAAATGGGTGCTTCTGATATGAGCTCAAGACATGAGCACAGATCGGATCTTGTTTCCTCAATCAGAGGTGCAGCATATGTTTTGAAATAGTGATCAAGGGACATGAAACTGCGAGGAATTTCCTCAACCTACAAAAAGAGCACATAATCAGAGATGTGATAAAGGCTATACGGAAAACAATGTGAGGCAACAAGTAGAATACAATGGTTGGAACTAATGCTAACAGAACTATCGTCCAGACTATTTCATAGACAAAAACAAAAAAAAAAGCAAGAATCAATATAAGGCATTAAGACTTGAGTTGCTCACATCAAGAGGTGACCTAACCACCAATGGCATTGCAGCATACGCAGATATGCCTGTCATTACACAACATGTGTACACACCAAACATCTATCTCTCTCTCTCTCAACAGCATTTGGAAGTTTCTCAGTTCTCACGTGTATGAACCTTATGTTAGATCATGCAGCAGAACGTTGTAAAACCCTCACGGATGATCATGGACCGCACTCATAGAGAAATTACTAGTACCTCGCGCTTTTCGACGACAATGGGCAACTCCATTAAAATTAATACAGCTTGCTTAGTTGGCCCAGATCATTCGCATGTACGGTAGCACTCTCAGCTAGCAAACGTATGATTTCCTGATCCCCATGCATAATCAAAGTAGCAAACCATTTATTGATCGCGTTGCACGTACACAGCAATCAGAACATATACTACCTCTATATTTTAATGTATGACGCTGTAGACCTTTTGTCTAATGTTTGATAAATCGTTTTATTCAAAAAAATTATGTAATTACCATTTATTTTATTGTGACTTGGTTCATTATCAAATGTTCTTTAAACATGACATAAATATTTTTCATATTTGCACTAAAAAATTGAATAAAACGAATGGTCAAACATTGGTTAAAAGTCAACGGCGTCATGCATTAAAATATGGAGGGAGTATCAACTGCATTTCCGAACACTCCAAACTACAGAGGTTACAGGACGTACGGACTACTGACTAGTGAGCTTCTATAACAGAACAAGGCATTAAGCAACAGGACACTACAAGCGACTCACAAAACATCTACAATATACAACAGCTTGCTCCCAGGTAAACATAGAAGAACAAATTGTACGAGAAACGCTTAGGGGTCTTCTGGTTAGCTAAACAAGGCGGTGGCCTAAACGACCTAGATTTCGAAGCCTCACCCCTTTTAATTATTTAATTATTTGATGTTAAGTCACTCCCTAATATTTGCGTTTTTTTAGAAAAAAAAATCGTACACCGAAAACCCCATGCATCCATCTCGCAGTTCACACCCCGAATTTTTTAATAAAAAAATAACGAAACAAATTGCTCAGGTCAGCAACACTGCCTCGCGCAAAATCATTAGCAGCCATGAGGATCGATCAATCACCTTTCCTCTGTAGAGGTCGTCGTCCATGACCTCACCGAGCGACCAGGAGAGCACGATGTCGCCCAAATCCCTCTCCCCCATGTTGCCGCCGCGGCAGGGGCCCTTCTCTCTCATCGACCAAACTGGGTGGTGGAGAGGCTAGTAGCAGCAAGCCGCGACCAGCATTCGCGAGGAAGAGCGAGGAGGAGGAGGAGGAGTAGTAGTTCGCCGGAGTCGCGGTCGCGTCGAGTCTAATGGCGGTCGCTTCGCTGCTCGCGGAGAAACCGGAGTGATCAGTGGGATGAGGGAGGAGGAGAGGGGTTTGATGGCGGAGGAGTCTCTTCAGCTTCTGTGAGAAGTAAAAGGAAGAAAGAACCGAGACGCTGCGGTTCGGGCCTTTTTGGATCATCGGGGACTGGACCCTTTGTATGGGGAAGGCAAAGAGGCAGCCGCGGTGGTGTGTGACCGTGTCGAGTGTATTGGCCGCGTTGATATGATTTTACTGCTACCAGTTCTTTTTTTATCAAAAAGGAATCCACACAAGGCATGCCAGCAAAAACAAAAAATTTCACTGTTGCAAATGTTCACTCGTTTACATCTACTATACTCTCGAAAGAAAAATAAATAAATCCTAACTATAAATCTGAGCACGCATATATCCAGATTCGCTGTTAGGATTATATTTAGTTGAGACGGAGGGTAGACTACAGTATATATTAACATCATGACTAAATTTTAAAAGTTGCAACTTTTTATCAAAACTATCTTCTTCTTTTTTTTTGCTCACGTGTTGATTACGGATCAATCCGTAATTTGCGGATCGGCGATTAGGAGTGCGCCTTCTTGCCGAGTGAAGCTGTCTCGCCGTCGCCGCCAGAGCACACTTCCATGCAGGGTGCAATGAAGGCCTGAAGGCAGCGGCGGGGTATCGCACAGGTGCGCGCTGAGCAGCGAATACTATTGGATGAGTTCGTCAACGGCGGCGGCTGGACGGTGCAACGAGCGTGTCATGCTCGGGTCAAGTGAAGAGGTAAACACCACCTTTCATAAACACCGTCATCGTCGCCAACCTCCATTGTGGCTACTAGGGGAACAAGATGGGGAAGTTGCACATCGCCGGCAAGTGCGACTTCCACCGTTCGCTTGGAGCCGGCGAGGGCTTGGGCATCGTAGCGGCATGCGTGCCTAAGAAGATTCTCTAGTTCGCCGGCATCGAGGACATCTTCACCTCGTCGCAATTGAAGGGGGCGGACAACGCCGACTATCTTCTTATCCAATGGTTAGCGGCTACTTCTCGTAATGATGTTTTCTTCATCATAAGGCGGTGACGTTCAGATCTACCATAGATCATCGTCAGCTTGGCTTCGATTCAAGGTATCGCTTACATCTAAGTCACATCCTTTAGATCCACCCTATGGATTTTGGGCATGCACCTTTTCGGCTTCTCGCGACATTATCTTTGTAAGGGTATCTATAGAAATATGCAGGTATGATGTTTATGGCCTTTTTGTGATTGTGTTAAGTTTGGAAGGTATGGAGGTTCTGTCTCAGAATGATGGGGCAACCAATGCTAGTGGACTTCGTTAAGGTGGTACTCCTGCCTGTTACTAATTCTTTGACTCCGGGGTTAAATCCCTAAGTTTGGCCTTAATTGGTTGTACTTGGCAATGGACGTTCTTCCCTTCTTGAAGGCATTGTCTGGAGTTCACGGAATTTCCCTAGGTGAAAACCAATGGTCTGATCCTAGTTGATTGGAACATGACAATGACGGCGCGTGCACGCCTCATTTCCTCGTTGAAGGCGATGTTTTAAGGGGAGTCCTTATGATAGTCTAAGTGTTGTTTTAGTGGAGTTAAGAGATGAAGTTTACTTGTGATTGTAGTTTGCCGCGGCACGATTGTAGCAGTTGTGTCGTTATTTTTCTATTCGGCTCAATAACCTTCGAATTACAACTATTACTGCTAGCAAGGATTCAAGTAGGCTTGAGTTTTTGAAATGAAAAAGGAAAGGCAAAAAAAAAAACAACAACGGCTGTGTTTAGTTTCCTCCCCATTCCCAACTTTCCATCACATCATATCACATCAAAAACTTTCCTACACACATAAACTTTTAACTTTTTTTTTTAAACTCTCAACTTCCTTCTAACTTCTAACTTTTTTCAGGAACACACACCCGACGCTCCTACACCTTCCAGAGTAAAAGCTCGCACCAACTGCTGTTCTTCTGGAAATAACAACTACTGGCACGCCGATGCCCCCCACGCTTCCCGACGAGAACAATTCGGTGAAAGTAGTAGCTGTACAAGTTACTACAGCTGACGCCTCTCGTAGGCAGCACTAGCATTTTTTCATTTTTTTTTCGTAGGAAGACGAGAGGATCAGGAGAGGGACGAAGCCGGTGTAGGCGAAGAGATGGCAAAGGAGAACGAGAGCACGAGACCCTACCACAATGAAAAGCCCAATTCTTTCGCCTTTCGGCCTGCAAGGCTTTGCCTTATGGACAGTGAGAACGTCGGATTGTACGAAAAGCCCACGCGATCCGTGTCATCTCTCCCCGGTCCGGACGGCTTTTCCTTCCCTGTCACCTCCATCTAACCATCTTTCCACGCACGAAGGCACATCATCACTCCAATTACCTCGCGTGTTAAGAGTTCGATTCCGTCTCCCCTAAGGAAAAGATACGATATTTTGTTTTTTTCCCCTGTAGAAAGTACTGTATCTGTATTGGATTATGAGAGTTGTAGCTAGGATGCCAGATACTAGATTCTGAGTTCTGACGACGGTACAATGTTACTAGAGTTACGGTACTACCGCTAGAGTCGCATGGCAATAGTAATTTATCACTCGCAGCGGTATAGCACCTCAGAGACCTGCAGTAAAATCGAGACTTCAATGCACGTCTCCATCATACATGGGGTTTGCTTCGTATCCACAGGGCATAAGGATGAAACAGGTTGCAGCCTGAAAGCTGAAAGATCCATCTAATGAAGAGCTACTGCATCGCTGCAAGTTGTACTGTAGCAAAACGGAATCGAGTTGGATGTTAAGCTCAAACTTCTTCGGGTGACATCTGCTTTCGAAATTCACACGTACTAGAAGACAGGTGAAGTGAGCAGAGCACATGCAGTGACACAAAAAACCGTTTCGTGCTTCGGTAACGATCTCAATCGCGCAAAATAGTCGACCCATTAAGTTTCTTCACTAATCAACAATGTGAAGGTCATCGGTTTTCCTCTTGTGCTGAAAATGGTAGTAGGTCATATGCGTCTACTCTGTGGCAATAAGAAAAGGAAGTCCCCTGAAAGAAAAAGGGCATTTCAATCAGTTTCCCAACAACAGTAGTTAAACCAAAATTTACAGAGGAACCGTCTACACAGGTTAAGTTCACACGGCACTTACCAGCCACCTCTCTTTGAAAAATAATCACAATCCAGAGACACAGCAAGAGCAAGTGCAACAGCCCTTTCAGGTAAACTCAGCTGGCGAACAACATGCAGTTCATCGATCTGTGACCATAATTTGTGACATGGATCTCGATCAGGTAAATAGCAGTTAACTAGGCAAGGTAGGCAACAAAAAAATATTCACTCAATGCGTGGCTTGTGAAGTACTAAAATGAGAACAGCACTTACATCTGAAGCGAGACCAAATTTACGGTTTAGTCCTGCATCACCAAATCGAATTGCATACTGGCCAGCATCTGTGAAGAGCTGCAGTGAACCAGAGATACATTCAGTCCTTAAAAGTTCAGTCCCATTTTTTATGCAGGCTAGAAGTAGCAGTGCGCAACAAATGAAACAATGCACTCTGAAAAGATGTGGGGTGTGGCATCTGCCATCAGCTTGGATCAAACTGCACAATATGTGGAGTCACCACAAAGCAAATTCAAAATACTGCACAATGAGCATGTCCTGTATAATTCATGAGTTCTCTAAAAAAAAACTTCAAGCAATGTAAAAAAGCAACACCATCATATAAATTTGGAAGGGCAGTTCTTACTATCAATCTGTAAATAATGAATCTATATGTATCTGGTTTTTCTTGTCAGATAAGCATGGAATGCCCACCAACATAAAAGAAAAAGCATATTATTTGACAATTCTCTACTAGAAAAGATATTTACCTCAAAACCGATTCCCCTCCAATTACGATCAATCTGGGCTAGTACATTGTCATCCTCATCAGTGAGAGTAAAGGTCCAGTTCCAAAATCCAGGATTCTCGACCACAGCAAATTGCCTATTCCTAAAGAACACAAAAGGTGGCAGACCAAGCTGTCAGGCAGTAAAGCAATACTAAAAGGTACACAAAGAATTGAGTAATTTGAGTTTAGTCTATGAAACAAGGGAACATAGAGATCAGAAGATCAAATTACCCTAAGTACAGGTCATAAATTCTACGCCAGAGATGCCAACGTCTGTGGACTACGCCTACCTCCTAACCAAATTGAAACCGTGAAACAATGTCAGTACATTCCGTGAAACAATCTGATGGCAACATTCCCATCTAAATAAATTTGTAGAAGCAAGTAAAGAATTTTTGCATACCTTGCCATTCACTTCTGCATAAATGGAACTGTTGATAAGCCAAAATGGCCGTCGAACCTGAATTAAATGGTGTAAGAACATATTTGCAAAGGAGTGCAGTAATAAATTTATGAAATAGTACCGTGAAGATCTCATTGCCCATAGCATCAGTAATTTCTGCAACAAATGGCCTTCTTGAGCGAAATAGCTGAAACATTAGCAAAATGTTTCTTGTACATCAAAGATAAGGAATGGGTAAATAAACACAATACCTTTTTGCACAACAGTTACACAAACTTGATACATATTTAGTTTTTATCATCACAATGAAAAGTTATACAACAACCAAGATAATAAGCAACAAATTTTGAAACGATGTAATCAACAAGTCCAGATCAAATAAACAAGCCGAACATGTACAATAGAGAACACTTCTTTTTAAACTACTGCTATTAATAGCTAGTTAAGGTTCTCTAATGAACCTTTATGCTATACCTCAAATCTACCAGATCGATAAAACAAATTATACATAAAACATTCTGCATGATAACTGGAGGAGTTGATATTTCTCTGAAAGAAGATGTAAAGTATGTTTCCATTAAGTTGAATCAGAACAAAAGCACAGATATAGCCCATCCCCTGCATCCCAGTAATCACTTAACATGGTAACATATTGACATGTTAGATCATTAAAAATGGGAGGGTAAATAGTTTTTGAAAAAAAATTCAAACACCCACAAGTTACAGCCTTGCGCCCCTCTCCAAAGCATTCCCTTCCATATCTCTATTTTCCCAGTCTCTATAGCTAGATACTACTACTCCATGCGTGGAGCATGCCTGACGGCGGACAACCTCCAGCGGCGAGGATGGCACTTGGCCCCATACTGTCACCTTTGTGGGAAGGATGCTGAATCATGCACCCATATTTTCCATGCTTGCGAGTACACGAGGGCAGTTTGGACGAGGGTCAGGAGTCGCCTGGGACTCTCCTGTGTTTCCCCCATGGATGACCTGTTGGATTGGTGGTGTGAAGCGCGCAAATCAGTTCACAAGATGGATCGGAGGACCTTTGATGCTGGGGTTATCTTGGTAACATGGATAGTTTGGAAGGAAAGGAATGCGCATGTGTTTGATGGACGAGCTACTTCAGCGGTTCACCTTTGTGCCACAATTGTCGACAAGTGGAAACATGGAAGGCTGCTGGGCTACTGAGTGCAATCGCTGGCGGCTAATTTGCTAAGGTTTTAGCAGCTGTGCTTGTCTGTTGTCTAAATCGATGTGAAATTTTTCTGTAGCCTAAGCCATTTCTGGTTTAGGGTCTGTTGTAAAACTTTCTCTCCTTCTTAATACAAAACTTGGCCGGTTTTCTTTTGCCGGCCCAGCGAAAAATTCTACATAACATTGCATGAGTCCCACCACATTATACACATTGTGAAATTTTACATACCACATCACAGCCACCCTAACTGAAAGTTTGTAGCATCGATCATTACAGGAAAACGTGGCAAGAGACTCCTTGCCCAGCAAAGAGAGCAACCAAAAAATCATTCAACACAAAAGAAAAGGAGTCATTACTGGTGCTATAGCTAAAAGAAAGGGATCTGTCTAACCTACTAAAAATCAACAGCTGTTCTTTAGCACTAGGAAGAGAAATGCATAACTCAATAGGACATCATGCATGATATAAGATCATGATAATATTTTATAAAGAAATAAAATAAAGTCGATGCTGACTAAGCACACTAGTACAAATATCACACTATACATTAGAGCATACAATAATAGTTAATTTGAAAAGTTCAACATATTATGAGATTATGACACTAGTTTAATATTTAGAACATGAAATCATATATGTTCGAACTTAAGTACTGCTACGCAGAGAATTTAAAGAATCAAAATCCTGTCTCTTTTCCACTAAGTTACTTTGAAGTAAAGAACAAGGCCATGAGACATGAGCTACTACGGTATTAACTTATTTAGGATAAATTAATCACGAGACATACCTGCCTAAATATGACATTGCTTTTCTCTCGAATGAAACCAACAGGCTGGAAATTCGACAAAAAATACAAGTCAATAATGAAGCTAAGACAATAAAATAATACAACAACAGAGTAATACAGCAACGGAACCAATGAAAATCTGAGTACACATACTGATTGAGGAAAGAGCGGATCCATTATGATATATCTACTCTCCTGCAGTACGAGTAATAACAGTAAGTGATAACAGGCTGAAAGTCTGAAACAATCAAAAGACATAATTCGAAAACTGGGAGAAAATATCAATGTCCCAAATAAATGTGCATATATTCTGAAGCGCAGAATGAATTATGTAATTTTGTTGCTGGTAAAATGAATTATGTCACTTCTTTCAGTTTTTTACCCAAGAAATGAAGCACTTATTCAAGTATGAGCTATCCTCCATGAATCACGTGAAAACTGCCGGTTGCTTTATACAGTAACAAAAACAATATAGCAAGGACAATTGAACACAAGTTACTATTTCATTTCCAAACACAGCAAGAGAAGCATCCTAGAGTCGCAACTTCAGTACATGTAAATGAGTAAATGAGACACAGATACATTACCTGCTCGAAAGCCAACACAATATTTGCCCATTCTATGTCCCTAGCGATAAGGAGGTTGGCCCTTGAGAGGAGAGGCTTTAGTTTGGCCTGCAAACCCACAGGAAAGTCTCAGTTAATCAAGTAACTCTAGATAATGATTAGTTGATTACACATAATTTCAACATGACGAAACAGCTCATGTAGGATAAACATCGACCATTAAATCTAACTGTAAATAGGTAAATAAACAAATATAGACAATTAACTGATCGGTCAATTAACCTCCCATCCCACCTGCCCACAAAAGTGTCCATCTTGTTCGTTAAAAAAAAAAAGTGTCCAGCAATTCCAACGATAGCATCAGCAATCGGACTATGTTGAATGATAGTGCAAAATAACAGTGGAACAGACTATAAACAGATAAATAAACCCCGCTTACCTCTACGGGCGTGAGGTCCCGGTCGTCGTGCTGGTAGCTCCTCGACGGCGCCCTGGCGAAATCGCTGAACGAATCCGCACCGCCGCCGTCGGTGGTCGCGACCGCGCGCCTCCCCCACCGCCTCGCAGCATCCCTCTGCCTCCTCAGCTCCTCGGTCCACAGCTTCCGTAGCCACTCCCGAGGCACCACCGCACCATCGCTGCCCCCGCGGCCGCTCGCGAACCCATTGGATCCCCTGGCATGGCTGCCAGTGGTCCTCGCCGTGGCCCTCCCAGCCGCCGCGGCGTGGGAGAGCAGCCGGGGCAGCCACCTCATCGGAGGGAACTGCAGAGGCGGGGGAGGTCAAGAGGTTCTAGAGGATTCTAGAAGAGAAGGTTTCTGTGCGGTCGCTGAAAGGAAATGGGATTTCGACGCTCCACGACGTTAAGAATGGGCTTTTGCCGCAAGTACGGCTTCCGGAGGATTAAGGTGGGCTCATTTCCGACTGGGCTAAGGGTAGAACTTAATAATTCCTCAGATTGCTTAATCTGGCCTTTTGACAAAAAGAATCTTTTCTCTACGAAGTCTATGTACAGACTGATGAAGTTTGGGGGTGTTGTTGATAAGGATATGCAGGAAATTTAGGGGAGCAAGGTCCCTCTGAAAATCAAGCATTTTCTGTTTTTAGCTGGGAGGGGAAGAATCCCCTGTGCTGATCTTTTATTTAGCAGAAATTGGAAGGGGGGTGATAGATTTTGTAAGCTTTGTTTGAAAGTTGAATCAACCAGTCATATTCTTTTCAATTGCCCTATAGCTAAATTCGTTTGGTGCTCTGTAATTGAAGTGATTGGGGGTGATAAGGTACCTCTGAATTTTTGGGATGGGCTAAGGGTCGTCAAAAAACAGTTAGGGGTTAATCTGGGAATTTTTATTTGTGCTTGTTTATGTTGGGGGTTATGGACTATACGCAACGATTTTGTGTTTGAAAACAAATTGGTTAAAACACCTTTGCAGGTGGTTTACAGATCAATTGCTCTGGCGAATCGGTGGAAGGTACTCTTAAGAGAAAGAGAGCGCGTGGAGCTGAACGTCTGGCTTGAGAAGCTGAAGCAAAAGATGAAGGAGCTGCGACCGGGAGATGTTTTACCTGATAATGCTTTGGTTTGATTCCTGGAAGTTGTCTGTATACGAGTGATACTGTCTGTCAAAGTGTCTTTTTGGGTGGTTTAGTTTCTTAAGTTTTAGAGCTTCATGGATGCTGGCATCCCCAGTTTGTTCTGTGTCGTTTTTGTTTTTCCTTTCCTTTCTGTTTAAGATTCTGTATGTTGCTGTTTGGCTTTCTCCCCAAAGCCGGGTAATGCATTTTACCTTATTTCAAAAAAAAAAATTTCCGACTGGGCTATGTTGGGCCAACTGGGCCGTGGGCCGAACTGCCGTCTTAATGTTTTTTCCATTTTGCAAAATCGGCCTTTACGGAATGTACCATACTAATGTCAGATTGTCAGTTGCATCGTACCAGACCATCAACACGTCCAAATAAAATAGAGAATTGCACCTATACATATCATTGGATCAGAACAAAAGTAGAGTCTTTTCACACAAAAATGCATTGGAGTATTAAAAAAAAAAGTCTCTCAAAGAGAGAAAAGAGGTCAAAAATGGAAGAAGGATAAAAGGTATCGAGAGGAGTATGTTGCAATGGGAAGTCGGTGATTTGGAGGATTCGTACTCTGTTGAACAGGAGAATGCGGCTATTTGACCGTGCAAATGCGTTCTGCGTGCCTCAACCCACCGCGAATCCAGCTGAAGCAAGGAGAGCGTGAGACGTCTCCCTTTCCCCTCCAAAACACCTCACGCCTCCTCTTCATCTTGGGTCCAAGCAGGAGGTTGCACGTCTGTGCACAATGTCACAAGGCGAGAGAGCCGTGGAGGTTAACAGTATACGCACCTTGTCAGGAGTGGAATTCTTGGCAATACCATTGTGCTTGTGCATGCGAGCTCCCAGAAGTTATGGAGAGAAACCTAATGGATTCCAGACCCCTCATGATAACTGTCAGAAGTGCATAATCCGTAAACTCTACCTGATCAACAGAATATAACAGGTATTGGTTAACTATGTTAAGAAGGTAATATAACTGTACTGGCAATCCATAGTTCATGCAGGATTGAATTCACATTGCATCCAATGATGACCGCAGGCACACCACGAGGAATCCATCAAACGAAACAGAAAAGGAGGTTACACCATTAATAGAAGCACTTAGAACGGCGCTGTTCACATAGCTGCATCATTCTAAGAAATGATTCCATAACCAGATAGGACTCCAGTACCAAAAGATTAATTTAACATAGATGGATAAAAATAATGTAGATTATCTCAGCAGGTGTCATATTGCAAGCAATGCAACCTAAAGCATAAAACAATTGCCTGTTGTGAAAGAATGTTATATAATATCAGTTACTCTATATGGTTCAAATCCCTTGATCCAGAGCTAGATATGAGTCCATCACCTATTAGTAATAATTATTTAGGCAATCTCAGTTTAAACTTCAGAAAATTCTTTGCAGACGAAATATACGCATATTATTAATTCACAATGGAAAAAAAAGCAAAGTAGTAGTTACCTATAACATCATTAACAGCTACAGCAAAATCTGAAGGTGTGATCGATGCTACATTATTGACATGCAGCCTGCATGCGTATCGTGGTCATCTGTCTATTTTACATGCACTTGTAGCTGGATAAACTTACAGTGTCTGATGCTTCACAATTTAAGTCTGAGGGAAGGTGCTGAAACTCAAGGATCAGTACCTTGATGGGTAAAACCGGAAAGATCTAGAACATCTGGAATTAAGCAGACCAAGAAGAGTGCACACTGCACAGCTATATACAAATACAATCAAGTTCAAATTACAGATACTGATATCTACACTACATAATGCAAGATTATGTGCTCTTTGAATACTTGAAGCCTTGTAGGTAGTTGTATGTTTAGTTTCTCAAAGCATAACTGCAGCAGTACAAATCATAGAATATGGTAAGAGGCAGAAAGCATGACTTGCATTTCTCAACTTCCTATGGGTGAATAACATCAAAGATGCCAAATTCAAAGGGTGTGAGCTTTCCGTCTTTCTCGGCTATGTCTCTTATAATAACAATAACAATCATATGATAGAACTTCACTTTGACCTTTATTATATGGTCATAAAGACCCTTCAGCAAAATGATTGTTACTGCTATCGGCATTTTCTGTTGTTTTTCTTTTGGAATCAATCTTGTGTGACACCATTGTATTGTTTCATGTCTTGCCACTATAATAGTCTTGGCATAGCACTGGATCTCATGAGTCTTTGAGCCGCAAATTCATGAACATAAGTTCTTTCCATTCAACCGTTGGCTGAGGCAAAGATACAGGTATGTTTTTTCCAGTGCTTGCTACTACTGTTTGCAGGATGCAAATCCTAATTAGCATTGGTTTATGTTTCTGTAAATTAGTTGTTAAGTTCTATAGAACTTTCAATCATACTGAATTTACAGTTCTTACTTTTAGTGATCAGCTTATAATAAATGAAGTATATTTGGCATTGGCAATGATTTCAAGCTACTCAGCATTTTACTGATTAATTAGTAAACTTGGGGTGGTTGAAGCACATTTTATCAAACATCAATATGAATATGATTAGAGGCAAAGAAAGATGGTAAGGAGTTTGTTAGGTCTGCAACAAGCAAAGTTGCTTCATGTCTCATTAATCATGCTATATGCAACTTCTCTACACGGAATAAACAGACAGACAGATTGCGTAGCTTAAACTCCACGGCTCCATCTTCCCTTGAAACAACCAAAACAGCTAAGCCAACTGAAAATTTTCATGTCCGATTGAATTATATCCACTGCTTCATTCATGTTGAGTAGCCCTGTTTCCCTTAATATGTGCATTGCAAGTAATTTCTATTTTAGCACTAGATTAGCACCCATCTAAGATGCTATTTGTCCTTCATTTTCATCCTGTCCTTGATTCTTCTGCTCATATGTTTTTTTACTTGTGTTGGTTTTAGATTTGGAGCGAAGGTGCCTAGCACTGTTTTGCCAAAATGATTGTTGGGGCTGGTTACTTTGAGGATTCCCACGATCAAAGTCTCATGGCAGGATCTTTGATCCATGACTCAAATCAAGCTCCTGCAAGCAGTGAAAACACAAGCATTGATTTGCAGAAATTCAAAGTGCACCCGTACTCAACAGAAGCTCTCTCGAATACGGCCAATCTAGCTGAAGCTGCAAGAGCAATTAACCACCTTCAACATCAACTAGAAATTGATTTGGAGCAAGAGGTTCCCCCAGTAGAAACTGCAAACTGGGATCCAGCTATCTGCACTATACCAGATCATATCATCAACCATCAGTTTAGCGAAGATCCACAAAACATATTGGTGGAGCAACAGATCCAGCAGTATGATTCTGCACTTTATCCAAATGGTGTTTACACACCTGCACCAGATCTCCTTAATCTTATGCAGTGCACAATGGCTCCAGCATTCCCGGCAACGACATCCGTATTCGGTGACACAACACTGAATGGTACTAACTATTTGGATCTTAACGGTGAACTTACAGGAGTAGCAGCGGTTCCAGACAGTGGGAGTGGGTTGATGTTTGCTAGTGATTCAGCTCTCCAGTTAGGGTACCATGGTACTCAATCTCATCTAATAAAGGATATCTGCCACTCGTTGCCCCAAAATTATGGGTTGTTTCCCAGTGAGGACGAACGAGATGTGATTATTGGTGTTGGAAGTGGAGATCTTTTTCAGGAGATAGATGACAGGCAGTTTGATAGTGTACTTGAATGCAGGAGAGGGAAGGGTGAGTTCGGAAAGGGCAAGGGAAAAGCTAATTTTGCAACTGAGAGAGAGAGGCGGGAGCAGCTAAATGTGAAGTTCAGGACCCTAAGAATGCTCTTCCCAAATCCTACCAAGGTTAGTCTTATTCATCATCTTGCAAGTTATTAGTTGTTTAGGCTGTAAATAACTTGGTGATTCTCACATTAACAGACAACCACTCAGATTTTCAATAATATTTCCATTTGTTACTCATGCTCTGAAGATAATCAAAATTTTAAATATCCTCATCCATTTATTCTCAGAGAACTAATGATTCAAAAACTGCCAACACCAATATAGCTCCGGTTTAGCAAATCTCTGTTTTTTTACAGATCACAAATACCTAACAGTAAATTTATAAGTCTGTGTATTCATCTAACTGGTATAAATTTTGAAATTATCTGTCCAAAATTTCTTCAAGTTGCGTTACCACATTTTGATGCATATGTATATGGAATATGCTGTCTGATATATCACTCAACATGATTGTTTTTTGAAAAATAGTTCATCAGTATGATGTTCTTTACTGATAACAGTGCCATGTTATTAAGGGTTGTTTTGGTTTTAAGCCAAATTATGCCCTACCAAATTGTTGGCATTTTGAAAAGTTATTTGGCAAAGTTTGGCTTGCCACCAAAGTTGGTCAAGTTTTGGCACTACCAATATATTGACATGGTAACAAATCAAAACACCCCTAATTGTGTTCATCCTAACCAAGTGAGTTAGCCCTTCTAGTTAGCTAGGAGAAAGCAATAGAAGCATTCAGTTCGATATTTCCTATGTTCCTTGCCTTTTTTGTGTGTTAGCACATTCCACAATGTTATCATCCTCATGATGTTACCCTTCAACAAGATTGTAGCACTTAAATATCTTGGTTGTGGCACTAATGTGTTACAAACTGTGCTCTAGAATGACAGGGCCTCAATAGTAGGTGATGCCATTGAGTATATAGATGAGCTCAATCGAACAGTGAAGGAGCTGAAGATCCTGGTGGAACAGAAGAGGCATGGAAATAACAGGAGAAAGGTGTTAAAGTTGGATCAAGAGGCAGCCGCTGATGGCGAGAGCTCATCGATGAGGCCAGTGAGGGATGATCAAGACAATCAGCTCCATGGAGCCATAAGGAGCTCATGGGTTCAGAGGAGGTCAAAGGAATGCCACGTTGATGTCCGCATAGTGGACGATGAAGTAAACATCAAGCTCACTGAAAAGAAGAAGGCCAACTCTCTGCTTCATGCAGCAAAGGTTCTAGATGAGTTCCAGCTCGAGCTTATCCATGTAGTGGGTGGGATTATAGGTGATCACCATATATTCATGTTCAACACTAAGGTAAGTAACAATTCAGTTTTCTTAAAGTAGAATCAAAGATTCTTTTTGTCCCATTACACATGTTAGCATCGATAGTAACGATTCATCATCCATGGCAACTCAGGTATCAGAAGGTTCGGCGGTTTATGCATGTGCAGTGGCAAAGAAGCTCCTTCAAGCAGTGGACGTGCAACACCAGGCCCTCGACATATTCAACTAATCTTTAGCAACAGTACTGATTATCTGAACAATGTCCTAGATTTTCAGTTACCTTGCTGAGCAAACTTATTTGACCAGGATTGGAGAGAATTTTATCTTTAGCACTAGCTACCTAGCAAAACTTCTTAACAATTTGGCCATGTAACGGCTTGCTGCTGTCCGGTTGTACACCTTAACTAGCCTGACTAGGAAAGCTTTGATGCTTGTCTTGTGTATTTGATCATGTTATCTCAATCTGGTCACTGCATTTGGATTTATTTCATATGTTAGCTGTGCCAGTTAAAAAAAAAACGTAGCTGCACAAGTTGATTTATGCATGTTTTGTTGAGTAGCTTAGGTGGTAGTATCACACTCAAAAGGTACGACACGAATAAGCATAAAATGGGTAAATCCTAATGAGTGCAGTTTTTTGGCTCAAACAGTTGATGAATAGTTTACCGGCGCACTGCGCTATCACAATGATGGTGGGCAGAAAATAGAAATGTGTCCTAACAGGATCATGTCTAAAAGCTGCATAATAATCAGGATCCATATTTTCCAAATGCAAAAGGCGTATGACAAGATTGCAGGTTTGCAGTTTGCACAGTGAGCGAGAGGGGAAGCATTTAGGTTTTTAACTTTTTATCATATCCTCACCTTCATAGCTCACGGGATGCCCATCTCCTCCATCTCTGTGATAAACTGCAAACGGTAGTATACCCCACTCTATGTTCTGCTCGACTCGCGCAATTCCACGAACACCTCGCAGGCACCACAACCCCAGCTCTCGTAACAGCCTACGAACAGATCGTGGACACGCATAATGGAATCAGCACGAGATGCCATGTCAATATGCCATTGCGACCCGCAAGAAAGTCGCCTGGACTGGACTAGACATTCCCAACCACCTGCTCAGAAATCACAAAAAAAAAATATCGGTGATATCTGCGGCAGTCAGGGCTGCTGCCGTCGCTCTGACAGCTCCTCCCGCATCACCCAGGTTGGGCGAGAAGCCGCTGCTCGCTTGCTCGAGAGCAGACTGGAGGGGGCTCGGTAGGACGAGAACAGCCATGGAATCAGGGAAGCGCGCGTGCTCGCGAGCGGTGCGGGTACTTGGTTACTTGGTTAGACAACGCCGTGGGAAACCAAGCGGAGGAGAGAAAATTGACATTTAGCCATTGTCAAAACGGGGTTTCGCTGAAATGCCACTCCCAAAAGTGGTTTCGTTAAAATGCCACCCTCAAACAGGGGCAACTTGTTGCAATGCCATTCCATCCATTTCTTCTCAGTTTAATTTTTTTGTAATGTTTTTTTTTGCTGAGATGACCAAAATACCCTTGATTCTATCTCATCTCTCCTCTCTGTCTTCCTCCTCTCCGTTCGGCTCGGCGGCACAACTAGAGACGGGGACGGCGGTGGCGTGGCCGGAGACGGGGAAGGCGGCGGCGCGCCTGGGGACGGGGAAGGCGGCGGTGCAGACGGGGACAGTGGCGACGCGGCTGGGGACGGGAAGGCGGCGACATGGCTGGGGACGGGGACGGCGGCGGCGCCGACATGGTTGGGGCAGGTGGGATGTTCTCCTTACGCCGATTCAGATGGCGCCTCTGAGCCGAGCAGCCTTCCCCAACCCACGTCAGCGCCGTCCCCGTCGCCAGCCGCGCCGGCACCGCCCACCGTCAGTCGCCGACCCCCAGTCGTCCAGTCCGTCCGTCGACGACCGTCCGTCCGTCGAGTGCCGTCGCCGGCGTCCCCTATGCCTCCCTCCCGCAACTCCCCACCACTTCACCACGCTCGTCGCCTCCGTTGCGCGCACGGCGAGCTCCGCTCCTCTCTCCTCGCCCTCTCCGTCACGCCCACGGCGAGCCGACGGATGTTGGCGTGGTGGTGGTGATGAGGACGAGGAGCCGGCGGCCACCGACTCGCAGCTACGCCCCGTCGCCGCCGCCGCCGCCGCCGCTACGCTCCACCGCCGGCATCTGGATGGGGATCGATCCCCTTTCTCCTTTCCCCAACAAAGTCAACAAAATGACTAGGGGCAAATATGTCAGAGAATGATGGAAAACATTGGAAAACATTTGGAAATCAGTTAAAATGGTTGAAATGGCATTATAGCAAGTTGGCTTCATTTGACAATGGCATTATAACGAAGCCATATTCGGGAGTGGCATTCCAGCGAAACCCCATCTTGAACATGGCTAAATGTCAATTTTCTCAGCGGAGAAAGAACTGACTTACGTCACCCGTAGCAGTCGAGTAGTCCCAAGGTTTCCCTTACTCCGGTAACCGCGGGGTTACCGGGTTTACCGTGAGGTACGATAATATAAACCACGGTAACCTCCTTAAATTTAAATAAATTTAAAAAATAATTTAAATTTTTGATAAATTTGGCACTGTTTTGTACGGTTTTTCACGGTTACCGCGGTAACCGTGCTTACCGCCGGGGCACGGTATCCCGGGCCCGGCGGTTTAGGAAACCCTGTCTATTCCCTCCATCCAAAATGTAAAGATTTAGGGGCCCTTTAAATCATAAATCATAAATCACATGAATGAGAAAATATAGGAATAGGAAAAACGTAGGATTTTAATAGGAATGTAAGTGTAAAAAACAGAGAATTGCAAAACACAAGAAAAACACAGGAATGACTGTTTGATTGGACCGCAGGAGTTAGAGGAGAGATAAATACACACAGGAATGACTGTTTGATTGGACCGCAGGAGTTAGAGGAGAGATAAATACTCAAAGGAAAGTTTCCATGAGGTATAAAACCTCATGTTAGAATTCCTCCAAAACTTGCATGGCATTAGGTATTCCATAGGAATTTCATAGGATTCCATAAGATCCATTCCTTTGATTCAAATGGTTGTATAGGAAAAATTTCTATAGGAATGAAATCCTCTAATTAGGGCCCTTTTGATTTGTAGAAAAAATATAGGAATTTTGGAGGATTTCAATCCTATGGAAAAAAAATCCTATGAAGGTCTTTGAAACAAAGGATTGAATCCTGTCCAATCCTTTAAAATTCCTATGGAATGAGTAATCCTATGCACATTTTGAAGAAAAGTTAGCAAGAGGTCTAACCTTGTAACATTTCCTCTGAGTCTATCTCTCTTATCTGATTCCTGCGTTTTTCCTGTGGTCCAATCAAACGGTCATCCCTGTGTTTTGCAATCCTCTTTTTTACAATTGTATTCCTGTCAGAATCCTGTGTTTTTCCTATTCCTCTGTTTTTTCGTTCCTATGATTCAAATGGGCCCTTAAAATTCTTATGAATTTCCTATGAATCAAAGGGGGCCTTAGGGTGGATGTCATGTAATGTGAAACAGTTTTAATATTATAAGAGATTTTAGATGGGTGTGGGATGTTTTAATATATATAAGTGATTTTGGATGGATTTAAACAATCTCTTTTATCTAAATTTATAGAACTATAATGTGTCACGTTGATATAAAATCCCTCCTATTTTGGAACGGAGGGAGTACTCCCTCGGTAAAAAATAAACAACATTTTCTACACATGGATTTATATATAGTTTATATTCAGATTTATATATAAAAGTTTTTCTTATATGACAGAGTGCAGACTACCGTGAAATTAAAAAAAAAACTGGAAATAAATAAAAGAGTAAATTACAGATAGAATGCAATCTACTAGCAGTAGTAAAAATACATGGGGCTAGTTTGGTTTGAATCATTACTAGGTGTTAAACCTTGGGTAAATTACGGCGCTGCTAATTTGTAAGAGAGAATGGTATCAATTCAAATGGATACATTATTAAAGTCGCCAAATAATTGGTTGGGTAAAATTTGGCACCACACCAAACAATCCCCTTACAGTGACACATTTATTTTAGCGCATGAGCTTATGTGTGGTGTGTGTGCAAATAAGTTAAAACATATTGCTTGTCGTATTAAACTAGTAACAAAACCTCTGCATTGCAACAGTCCAGGGCCATTTGTGGGATGAACTAGGTTGGGATGCAATATGAGAAGAAGCAGATGAATGGATGGGTGTGGGATGAGGATCCACTAACATAACATAATGTCACTATCATTACAGGCGCTGATACGTGGGTTATATCCTCCTATTATCTCACACGTAGCGTCTACAGTGGTAGTAACATTATGAGTGTGGGGAGGGGCAAATCGTTCGGTTTCTCGAGCGCTACTCTCCTACTCTCGATCGATGGAATGAGATGACTGAAGAATGACAAATCTGTTTTTACAGCAATAGAGATACTAATGGTAGGAGTACACCTAGCATTCTACCATGATGTATAGTTCACATGAATGTTTATGTGTATGAATGAAAGTATTGTAAAATTGTATATTAAAATGCGCCACCAGTACCGACGTAATTTACCCTGAAAAATGTGAGGAAAAACTAGAAAAAACACAAAAATGGCATATGCGCTTTGTGTCTTGAGTTACATTTTGGGCAAATCCATGATTTTGTTAATGTTATTATTCCACCTGGACTCTCTAAAGCCCCATAACAAGATATAACATGGTATATACTCCCTCCGTCTCTAAATATTTGACGCCGTTGACTTTTTTAAACATGTTTGACCATATGCCTATTTAAAAAATTTAATTAATTATTAATTCTTTTTCTATCATTTGATTAATTGTTAAATATACTACTACTACTCAAGTTTTAAATAATATTCAGAAAAGTTTTTGAATAAGATGAACGGTCAAATATCTTTTAAAAAATCAACGGCTTGAAAATATTTTACCACGTAAGGGAAAACGAAAACCAGAACGTATCAAGGAACCATTACCTTCTTTTAAGATCAATGATATCATGTGGGAATATTGCTTTTCCATGTACTGCTAAACTTTTCTTTGAGAGGTGCACTTCTAAACTTGATGTACGCAATCATCTGATGGTGTGGGTACATGTACCATGTATGCATACTACTTTTTCATACCCGTAGAAAAGTGGAGTAATACAGATGCCTTTCTCATTTTCTTTTCTTTTCCTTTTGTCCTCAGAAGAGAGAGACAAGAACTACCCCCGGTTATGGAATCCGTGTCTCCGCCGGCCCATGTATTCTTTTGGGCCCGAGCCTGCAGTTATTTCGCTCGCCCCACGCGTTGGACCACCAAAACCACCCACACAAACCAACCCGGAAAAAGAAAACGCCCCCGTCTATTTCCCTTCGGTTTTATACTTTTTCGCCCTAATTTCTTCTTCGCTTTGCTCGGGCGAAAAAAAAAAGAGAGAAAAAGGTGGGAAAAATATAATTCGTGAGGCGCCGGAACACGTCCACTTCGTCGGCGGCGACCACCCCGGAGCATACCGGCGGCGAGGGGGAGGAGGAGAAAGCTCCCCGAGGAGGAAGAAGGCCGAAGCTGCCTCAGGTCGCCGGAACCCTAGGATTCCCCGGCGGAGGTGGAGGCGCGGAGAGGGGGCGTCCTCCAGATGCGGCCGTCCGGGATTTGAATGGGGGGCAGATCTCCGGGGCGAAGGAGGCTTCTAGAAGCGGGCTGAGTTGAAAACCTAGGGTTAGGTTTGGTGGGGTTGGAGCTTTCGTGCTTGGTCAACCGGGCATGGGTCGGCAGCTCGGGCAGGTGGAGGAGGAGGAGGCAGGAGGGGAAGGGGAGGGGTGTGGGGAGGCGGAAACCGGCATCACCGATTGCTCGCCGGGGATCATCGTGTGGGTGCGGCGACGGAACGGGTCATGGTGGCCAGGGAGGATACTCGGGCCCGACGAGCTCCCGGCGTCTCAGGTAATGTCGCCGAAGACAGGAACTCCGGTCAAGCTCCTCGGCCGTGAGGACGCAAGCGTGTGAGTTTCTCCCTTTTCCCTCAAATTTAATTATGTACTCTGTTACTTAGTTCTATAATTCATCTGCTCGGTTAGTGTCCCTTCACAATCGCTTGGTCAGGATTGAATGTTCTGTGGATTGGATTGGGAGTTGTTTGCTCAAGGAACAATTAGGGAATATATTTAGTTGGTTGCGGCTGCAAATACCATCAGAACAACAATGGAGTATTTAACAAGAGCCAACAACTTTTTGTTTCAGATGAATTCCCTCTATTCATGTTAAAGAAGTCACCTGTCAATTGCCTATACACTTGGAAAGCTAAACAATGTTAGACAATCTACCATCTAGAGGATATCATTCCTGAACCCAATATGGTGCTATTGATAAGCTGCCTCAATTGATGTGTTACACTCATTGTTACTTGTTCTGAGGTGTACATCTTGCTTGTTATATTGGAAGAATGAATTTAATTCACAGGGATATAATATTTTGCAATTTTTGAATATGAAATTATATGCACGTTCTTGTGATGTGAGAAGGTTAAATTCCTTTGTGGGATGCACATTTAATTTCTGGTTGCTAATTTTACTGAAGAATGAGAGTAGGTTATGATGTCTTGGGTTTTCATAAGTAGGGTGTAAATTTTTATAGTACAATAAACATGCGTGCTGCTCATTCTGTCATGTGGGATTGAAACAAGTGATGCTGGCAATTCAGGTGCAGACCAGCTTTTGGTTCTGTAGATTATTTTCTCAACTTAAATAGATCATATATTGTGATGATGTTTTGTATGGTGTTTTGTGGAGACATGTGAATACAATATTATGATGTTATCATGTGTTCAACAGAGCTTAAAAAATACTCACAAACTGGATTCTCGTGGTTATACAGTTTAAATAAGTTATAAGCATGTTTCAGATTTGCTATGATGTTTTTGCCTTACCATTTCTATTAAATGTACTGAGAAAGCCAATTTTGTAGGTGTTTGTTTTGTATTATGGAAGTTATAACAGAATGATATGAATAGCTTACGACATACGGATATATACTTATATTTCCTTAAGTTTATTACTGATTTAGTGTTTTGTCTTTTAGCTGCCACAATGGAATGAAATGTTGCTGAAAGAGAATCTCGAATATATTCAATGGAAATTAAAGTCTAAAGAAAAAAGTAGTTCATGCCCTGATTGGATTCTCCCATACCAGTCTGGAAATTGAAATGTTAACATGCATAAAATAAATTTGGCATTATTTAAGAATTCCAAGTTTGATTTTTTATGGGTATATTGGGTGCTGTGCTCTGATTGGATTTGCTAACTTTTGTGCTGACTCACTTTCTATATAAGTTACATTATTCAATATTGTCCTTAAGGATTTATTTTTTCTAGCTTGCCTGTGACTGTTGAAATGGAAGGGAGTCTTAACGTTATACTATATTTACTGCCCCAAATATCTAATCAGTTCTCCACCCACAAGACCACAACTAAACAGTAATGCCCATTGCCCATCATGTTGGAGAATGATGTTTTCTTTTATTTGAACACCCATTAACTTTCACTCGCCCATCATGTCAGTTGCGCTATTTGAACACCCATTAAAATTTCATATCTTGATCTCAAGCTACATTTTATTTCATTCATGGTGATAGCAAGAAATACCCAAGTATCTGGTGAATTGTCTGGCATTGATTTGGGTTTCTACAACACTTGCAGCTTGAACTTTGTTTATTTGCATTTAAATGTCTTGTGTAGTGATCCATTTCTTCATTTGTTTCCCTTCTTTTGCAGCGATTGGTATAACCTTGAGAAATCAAAGCGTGTCAAGGCATTCAGGTGTGGAGAGTTTGATGCTTGTATTGAGAAGGCATTGACTTCTCGAGGTACTCCTGTAAAGAGAAGAGAAAAATATGCTCGCAGAGAAGATGCTATTCTTCATGCTCTTGAATTGGAGAGAAAACAGCTTGCATCAAAATACCAGAATCAAGGCTTCAGGAGTGATGACATCTCTAGTGTCCCTTTTGCTGATATGAGGAGAGAGTTTGATAACTCTTCTACAGAATATTACTCAAGGAACAATACACAAAAACCTCAGTTTCCTTTAGGAAACTCAGCAAGTCAACAGTGCAAAGATCTCAGCAGTACTCGTTACAAAAGCAAAAAGAGTAAAAAAAGAAAAGGAGATAGCTCAAATCTCCCTGGGAAGACAAAAGGGCTTGAGCAGAACTTTCCGTATGCTGGTTCAAAAAGAGACTTTTCAGAATCTCTTGCTTTGGAAGGTGCAGAAAATACTCTCAGTAATCGGAACAATGGATCTTCTCATTTAGGACATATGCAAGCAGGACCAAATCTAGGAAGTGATGGAAAAAATACACCCCTCACAAAGAAAATATCAGAGGAAAGTGTTTTTGAAGAGTCTCTTGTCAAAAAACATGACAGATGTCGACCACTTGCTCAAGTTGTGCAGAGTAGTTTGAAATTGCCTCATTCCTTTCAGCGTGATGATGATTCTGGCCCTGTTTTAATTGAAGAAGGGAATGACCCTCTGACTACTATATATCAGGCCCAACAGGGCTGGTCGACATACATGCCTAATGATTCTGGAGAAACTAATAACCATGGAGATATACCTCCTACACAAATCACTTCAATGGGAGCACACTTTGAGACCGAAGGCTACCTCAAGCAGCCTGATTCGTTTTCTGCAGAGCAAAAAATTTCGGAGTTTGCTGAGAAGCAAAGATCTGATTCTTGTGAGAGGGAATGTTCAGAAACTGAGACAGAAGATGATGCTGAACTTTTGCAAAGTAGGTGCCTCCATTTATCCCTGCCTTTCCTTTAAATGTTTTATCCGCAGACACAAATACAACAACAGTTATGTGTTGAATATTGATTCCTAATTTTTTTAGAGGATAGATCAATTTGCATTGACTGGTTCTTTAAGAAAGCCAACATAATTGATTCCTAATCATACCATATAATTTCCTTATAGAATCAATTACTTTGTGGGTCATGTTCTATGCATGATGATAGGACTTCATTATTGAAAGAATTGTGTACAATAATGCTTTCTATCTTGCTGCACAGTTTCGTGTACTTCTTTTTTCATGTTTTACTCCAATCAGAAAAAATGAAATTGAGTGACACAGTTCTGAAAATACAATGTTGGCCTTTAATTTCTATCTGTAGAATATTTATGAATTCAAAATCACCTGGACAAATTTACATGTATTACTTTTCAATGCTCATTCTATACAAAGGTATCAAAAGCTAAAGTTTAACATGTTTGACTGCATGTCTCTCAAAACATGGCTCTTTGTTGACTGGAAACATGATATTCGATTCCAATGCTTTGCTTTTGTTGATACCTTGTGATAATATCATTGACAGGATATGCTAAGAGGCAATCCCCGGGGTCAGATGCATGCGATCCTTATTCCATTCAGGCTTCTAAAAAGTCAAGGCATGTGGATGGTGATGTTGCGGATGATATGGTGGCCTTCTCTACTGGTATTCCTCAACAAAATGTCTTAAAGGAGGAGGATGGTTCATCTGAGCTAGGTGTATCCCAGTGGCATATGAAAGGTAAACGCAACCAACGTAGTGCGTTGAAGAGGCCTATGGGTAAGACAGATGGAAATATATCGTTAGACAGATCTAATAGTTCACTGAAAGGGTCATTGTATAGGGTCAACGAAAGTAATCCGAATATGGAGAGTACTGGTGCATCCAGCCATCAGTATTTTGGTCGAAGTTTTTATCAGACCCAAGAGTTGGATTATGATTACGATAATGCAGATCTAACTAATAAAGCTAGGGGCCATGCAGAAGTTAGATATTATGGTAAAGACTACCCCCCATCTTTGACACCTACAAGGGATCTTGAACAGAGTTACACTTCTTTCAACAACACTGAAACTTATTGCAAGACTTCTCCACCAAATAAGAATGGAGATCAGATGTCTTCTCTTGGTAGGAAAGCATGCTTGGAAGGAGCTTCATTGTATCGACAAAATTATTCCTCCCAACTTGGTTACATGGGCCCAATGCTATTTAATGTTGACCTGAATGTACAGGCTGGCTATCAAGGGGAGCATGTTCCATTGGTTTCTTTGATGAGCAGACTGAATGGCAAAGCAATAGTTGGGCATCCTATCCAAATTGAAATACTTGAAGATGGTTCAACTGACCACCTTGTTTTGGCCAGTGATGATTTTCTGGAACATAGCACCTCTGCATCACCTGCTTGGCGTACAGGCAGAAGGACTGCTATGCCAAGAATTCCACGTTCTAATTCAACACGGGTGACCTTGGATGATGGTGACGATGAGGGCCTGTGGGATATGAATCCGCCCTTTAGTAGATCCTCCACCCCCTTCAATCAGCAGTTTAGGCTTTCAAAACGAAGCAACACCAGTTTTCGGAGCCCATTGTCACATAGATCTCAAAAGAAGCCCTCTAATTCCAAAAAAGGAAGCTCATCAAGTCAGAAAGTCAGAGCCCTTTCTTCCATTTCAATTGGAAAAAGGCATCACAGAGAAGGTCGTCAAGCAAAGCTGCACAATATTTTGGGTGATTTGATCAAACCAGAGGGAGCAATTCCACTTGTCACGTGTGTTCCTGCAAAGGTCGTCTTCAGTAGGATAATGGAAGCTGTTGGGAGGCCATCTCTTTCTATCGCTCACCGTGCCAGAGTGGCTAGTCCTGCCATACGGGATGCACAGCGTTAGCTTGCTATGGTTGGCATTGTTTGATCTGGTTCAGACTTTGCAACTTTTATATGTACATTCTCTGGCATTGCTGTGGCATAATGTTCATACATCAAACGTGCTCATCTCTGACTGCAGTGGATGACGTAAAGATTGAGAACCATTAGTTGTATTCCATTCCAAATGCCATATCTTGATTAGGCAATCTGATGGATACCTTCTCCGGAGAATAGCCAACCACCTCCCTGAAGTAGCTTGTTCGCAGAGCAATAAGAATGGTGACCACTACTTGGATTGGCTGTCTCCTGTACTGTAAAGTACTAACTTCAGCATTTTATACCATGTCTGTTTAGTTGAATTTTTACATACATAGCCAACAATCAATAGGTTGTCATGTATATTGCTACACCTATATTCAGATGTAGTAGTTATTTACTGTTTAGAGGAACCTGTTTCACCTTTATGTTCAGAAGCACATATTTAGGTAGTTGATGTAACATATCAGAACAGGTACACCAAATGATGTAAACAGTCTATCTTCGCTGTTAACCGTCGTATCACAGTATATGTCAATAACCAGATTTGGTAGTTCTGAAAACTTCTACAGTGTGTTATATATGGCATTCTTTGTGTCAAGAACAGATCTAGGATTGTGATATACTTCGCATACATCTTCATACATTTACATTACCAAAGTTATTATTTGACTGCTTGTTCTACTGCAGTACATAATCAGCTCTCCATTTCGTGGATACTTTTTAGAGAGCCAATTTATGTCCTGTATTTTAGCATTGAATGTTGATCACGTATATGAGAAAACTGAATCACTTTTTTGCTACTCACTGAACCATATTTGCTCTCCTTCCATGTCCTGTGTTGGCGTTGATCTGTATTTTAGCATTCATCAGATAAACAAGAAGACGAGCACACACGAGCATGCCCTGTGACCTGTCTATGAGCATTGAATCATTTCAATTGATCACATGTAAATGAGCAAATTACTCTGCTAATTAACTATTCAGCAATCAGCTGGAACCTGTCAGAAGAACACCATCACAGATTCACAGTTTTCAGGATTATTACTAAAAAAAATATCATATGTGCTAATATTGATAAAGTTTAAGATCTACGGAGTAGCAACTTAATTTCATTGGAGATATATAAAATTGATAAATAACTTGAGAAACTGATATAGTGCTTTTTCAAGCTATCCCCTATGGCCCTATCCCCCTCTCTCCTCCTCCGGCCCACACACCATTGCCGCATCATCCACCACCGCCTCCTCAGCCGCAGGTGAAAGCGGCCGCCATCCCAGCCCCAGCCCCCCTCCCCCCCCCCCTCTCTCTCTCTCTCCTCGCCATCGCCGCCGAGAGGGGCTTATTCGATGCCGGATGGGGGAGCGCCGGGCGCCGGCCAGGCGGGCGGGGTCGGAGGCGACGAGGGAGCGGGTAATCAATCTCCCTACGGCCCTGAACTGCAGGTGGTTGGCGGGCTCCGCCTCCCGCGAGTTGAGGCCGATGAGGTGACGTGCAGAAGCTGTGGCCGTGCTGGAGTTGCTGTGTCTGACGCTGACGGCAAGGTAAGGATAGTTCAGTCTATACAAAAAGACAATTAGCCCGCGTATAAGATGGAAAATTTAGCGCTCGATGCTTCGATTGGTAGGCAGCCTTGAGATTGTAAACAGATGGCCATTGTCTGTTGTGTCAGCTAGTAAAATTTAGTTAAGACTTAAGCTTATTCATGTTTTCATCAGTCTGAAACCAAACATTTCTGTTTAACGTCAACCCGGCTGTTTTCGCCCGGTCAAAAAATATGATATATTCATATTCATTGTGAGCCCATGCACCTGGGGAAGAGAGTGCTTGCGATCATATGTCTCCATCTTAGCTGAAAGATGCTTGCAGCAAGTCTACCGTTGAGTCAAGGGCAATATGACAACAACAGTAAAAGGGATAAGCCAGAAAAATTGCTTGTTAGCTTTTTCCTGCCATTCCTTGCACCTTCCCCTTGAATATTTTGAGTAACGTGCCCAAGTGGTTCCTCAGGTTGTGAGCCTGTGACCTATTTAACCTCCGATTTCCAGTCCATTCTCCTCCATGATCCAAACTTTCCATCCTAGTTGATAGCAGTATTGCCATGGTCTATTTTTTCTTGTTAAAGACTAATGGCAAAGATGATGCTTTACCTTCTTCTCCTGCCATTGCTCCTCCTCACATGCATCTTTGCATCTTATGTTCATTCGATGGAATCAAGCACCTCCAAGTGCTCCAATATTCCCATCCCTTATCCCTTTGGTATTCTTGGTGGGAACCCTGCCCCAGCCCAAGGGTTTGAGATCACATGTGCCTCATCTGGCCCGATGGTACGCATTAACAATATCATGTTTGGGATTCTTAACATCTCGTTGCTGGATGGTTTTGTAAGCATCTTGGCCAGTGCCACTTCTCAGCAGTGCAAAAGGAATTCTAGCTTCAGCCTTGAGGGGACCAATTTCACGTTCTCAGATACAAGAAACAAATTTACAGCTCTGGGTTGTGATATGGTAGCCATGCTATTGAACGGTAGCAGCGGGTATAGCGGTGGCTGTGCTTCTTTTTGCTCCACCAAAAGCAATATAATTGATGGTATGTGCTCTGGCGTGGCTTGCTGCCAAGCACCAGTACCGAAGGGGTTAAAGAAGCTTGAGTTGGAGTTCACTAACATAACTGGGCAGCTCAGCAGGCCCAAGGAGGTCAATAATACTCCAACATGTGGCGAGGCTTTCATCGTGGAGCAGAACTCCTATGTTTTCTCTAGTGTTGATCTGAGCAACACTAACAGGAACAATCCTCAATACCGCCCTGTTGTTCTTGAGTGGTCCATTGATGGTGGCTACTGTGAGGAGGCGAACCGCTTCATGTCATATGCCTGCAAGGAGAACTCCTACTGCTATAACTCATCAAATGGAATTGGATACCGCTGCAATTGCTCCCTTGGGTTTCAGGGGAACCCTTACTTGCAAGGGCCCGATGGATGCCAAGGTAACGAATACATTCATGCTAGTTACCTCAGCTTATGTTTCTTGAATTTAGTAGTCAGCAAGAATAGCTCATGCCTGATTTCGTCTGGTTTCATGTGATTTTTTTATAAGATATTGATGAATGCACCATTAAGAGGCCATGCACGCATAAGTGCATCAACACGAAAGGGAGTTTCTACTGCATGTGCCCAGCAGGGATGAGAGGTGATGGCTTGAAGGAGGGCAGTGGCTGCAATGGAATTGGCACACTGTTGATTGGAATAGGCAAGTTTCTGAAGCCCTGTATCACTGCCTTGCCATGTGAATGATGTAATCATTCAATTTGAAGGCTTGAGTTGATTAATGCTGCATCCAGTAGAGATCCCTGAATTTTCTGTGTCTGTGCAGTTACTGGACTAGCTCTGCTACTGCTTCTCCTTGTTCTCATATTCTGGACCCATTGGCTTGTTAAGAAGAGAAAACTTGCGAAGATAAGACAGAGATACTTTATGCAGAATGGTGGAATGTTGCTGAAGCAGAAGATGTTTTCTCAAGGTGCACCACTGCGGATATTTACTTCTAGTGAACTTGAGAAAGCAACCAACAGCTTCAGTGATGACAATATCATTGGTCGAGGTGGATTTGGGATCGTGTACAAAGGTATATTATCCAATCAAATGGTTGTGGCAATCAAGAAGGCGCAGCGAGTTGATCAGAACCAAATGGAACAATTCATAAACGAGTTGGTCATTCTTTCACAAGTGAACCACAAGAATGTGGTCCAGCTATTAGGCTGTTGTCTTGAGACAGAACTTCCCTTGTTAGTTTATGAATTCATCACCAATGGGGCCCTTTTTTCTCATCTTCAAAATACATCTGTCCTGATTTCATGGGAGGACCGCCTAAGGATTGCAGTTGAAACTGCATCAGCACTTGCATACTTACACTTAGCTACAAAGGAACCAATTATTCACAGGGATGTCAAGTCATCAAACATACTCCTTGACGAGAACTTCACTGCAAAGGTGTCTGATTTTGGTGCCTCGAGGCCAATACCACACAACCAGACCCATGTGACAACTTTAGTGCAGGGGACATTGGGGTACATGGACCCTGAATATTTCCAAACAAGCCAGCTAACTGAGAAGAGTGATGTATACAGTTTTGGGGTGGTTCTTATCGAGCTATTGACAAGACAGAAACCTATATCTGATGGTAGGACAGATGATGTGAGAAATCTAGCATGTCATTTTAGTATGTTATTCTATCAGAACCAGTTGTTGGAAATTGTAGATTCTCAAGTAGCTGAGGAAGCTGGCACGAAACATGTTAAAACCGTTGCACAATTGGCTTTACGATGCTTAAGGTCGAGAGGTGAAGAGAGGCCAAGGATGATAGAGGTGGCAATTGAACTTGAAGCTCTGAGAAGGCTGATGAAACAACACTTGGTCCTGCAGACCGAAGAAGACCCTCTGCTCTGCGAATCAGGTCAGCATGCAGATGTAAACATCGAAGCATCCTCCGAGTTTGAGCCTTGATAACATTACCAAGGAGGAGGAAAGCATGGACACCATTCTACTCCCATTCAGGGCCCTCTCATGTTAGTCCTCCCAGCACAAATGGTTTTCCCTTAGTTATTATAACTCAGTCCCCAGTTTCATGACAATGATTTTCTGTGTTGCTCTGAGCTGCCAATCATGTAGAAACCCAGAGACGGGTATACTAGGAATAATTGGAGAGTGTTGTCGAACTCCAATGTCTGTTCAACTATTTCTCAGAAAGAAATATCTGATCCTTTCAGAAGTCAATTTGGTCTTAACATGGTGGTTAAAGTAATTCATTTGGAATGTACCAAACTTTATAAAGAAATGATAGGTTAGTTTCCCAATGTGCACTCCACTAGTTGTACGGTTGTACCTGTTCCAAGGTAGCACGAGGTAAATCGATTTTGCTTGCCTTTGGATTCCATTAGCCGATGGGCAAACCGCGAACCAGATAATGACAACCGATTTTTCTTTCCTTTGATTCTATTAGCTGATGAGCAAACTCCAAACCGGATAATGACAACCTAACCCTATGGGGTTTCCGGTTGACAAAATGGCATTTGCAATTTGGCTCATGGGCACTAACCTGCTATTTCCACAAGCATGATGACTAGCAGGCTAGGTGAGAGAGTGAAGTTGGTAAGGCTTGGCTCAAAACAAATTAAGGTTCACTTTATTAATTATTGAATTAAATATATTTTTTTAAAAAATCCATTGTATTGCAGGATGTGGTAAAATGTCAACTGATGCATCTGATTATAACATTATAATAAGAAAATTACTAAAGAAAAAAAAAGCGAAGAACATCATCATATTTCCATATGAGAAGAAGTTAGCATTTCACAGGATTGGGATCAGATGTAGTCCCAACTACATCTGCACGTTAGGGACTGCACAAGATCTTGTCCATTCAATTTCTCAATGGAAGGTCTAGATTAAATGCTACAGTAGGCTTCCTATAATATTTTTTTGCTGTATTTTCTGCATGAACAGTGTCTTATCAAATTTGGGCTTTTGAATTTGCATTCTACAGCTATAGTATGACTGCTTAAGTTGCAATCATACTAAGGACTGCACAGGAACCAAATCCCATTTCACCCTGCACGCTGTAATGTGTACTTTCTTCCGAAGAATGAAGGCCGGAAGTTCGGCCTTTTGCATCACTTTGTACACTCTCTTGCTCTTTCTGATAGTTTGCTCCTTGGCAAATGACTCTTGCTCATAGCTGGCCGCTTTTCTCCCTTCAGATTTAAGTATTATATTACATTGTTGACGCGTGTTGCATGGTCCTTCCAAAGGCCTTGTTTGCGCCATTTCTTTCAATTTGTAGTCGTTGTCGTCTCTGTTGTAGAATACGTCCAGGCAATTCCGTTTAGTGAACGAAAGCAGTGCCTGATGTTGATGAAGCAACCACCGCTAGCGCTAGAATAGATGCCTAGACGTCCAAATTGGCCATTTTGCTGGGTGTAAATACCGAGGTTGCGTGCCCTTCGCACTGTGTTGTCCTGCTAAGAGCACCCGTAATGGTAAAGTAAGGTGCTCTCTATAAAACATATATATCTCAACAATAAACTAGATTAATAGTAAACCACCTCAATAGTATGTCTACATAGGTATCTACAGCTCTCTAATACATTGCCTCGTTTTTCTTTATAGACTATCTCTAGATTAGTAGATAACTTTGCTCTCTTTTCATTTAATCTCTTTCAAGTAGAAAGTTTTTTTATAGACTATCTTCAGATTAGTAGATAATTTTACTCTCTCTTCATTTAATCTCTTCTAAGTAGAAAAATATGCTCATATAGTATCTAGATAACCGTCCGGAGTTGGTAGCGAATGGAATTCCCGGCCCCTGGACTTCTTTCTGCACACCTATTGCTTTCTCGTCATTTGATCGATGGGCGCATTACAGCTTGCGCACGGCGAGCTGGCTGCGACCAGCACGCAGCTGCATCCTCTGCTACGCATGTGCTCTTCAGGGCTTTTTGCTCGGAAGAAAGGCTTGATTTCGTCGTGGGCGCGTGGGTGGGTCTGTTAGTTAGGACATCGCGCGCGCGCAGGCGCATCTATGGTTCAACACCCGTGTGACGTGATCTGATCACACGCGACCGTCAGCACCGAGCGCATGACAACGAGTGTTGCGACGGACACGTCGTACGTACATCTCGGCTCGCGCGCACCTCACGAGTCGATCGGTTCGGGCCTCGGCCTGTTGCCCTGTTCGGTGTGGATTTTAACCGTGCGGCGCCGTGCGCCCGCGCGGGCCGCGAGCAGAGGCCACCGCTGCTGGGTTGACGGATACGGAAGAGCGCGAAAACCATGCGCTGTTACGGCCACGAGTTACTGTCGGCAGAGGCCGCCGTGGACGGTGCGTCGGTGCCTCTCTTCCACAGAATGTAAACCGTGTGTGAGATGCACAAGATCGTTGGTTGACGGGGAAATGAATCGGGTCAAGTGTGGCTTGCGGCCTGCAATCGGTTTTACTCCACGACGACGACGGTGCTTACAAGTTATAGGCATGGATATCGCAATATCATATACTTCATCCGTTGCATATTAATAAGTCGTTTTGATTTTTTTAAGATTTTTATAAAGAAAAATATAGCAATATTTTTAATACAAAATAAATATATTATCAAAATAAATTCAATGTTACATTTGATCGAACATAGAGAATTTTAAAAAAAAATCAAAGCGGGAGTAGATACCAGCTTGCTACTGCCAGGGAAAAGTTTCTAAAATAACTAATCACTCTCTCATATGTTTCCTTTGAATAACAATTCGACTCAACCACAAGTTATATCACGCCCTCCCATTAGGAACAAATCAGTCCACGTTTATTCCGTATAACATACGACAAAATGGTGTTGACTAAAGGAAGAAAATCGCGCTGTGCTCCTCCGATAGGGGTATATGAAGACGCTCAGTCGCATGACTTGATCCTTGTAACTTTGCAGCAGGTTTAGTTCCTCGTTCTGATAAACAAGCACACATGGTTTCCTCCATGGTCCTTGCACAGTTGCTTCTCCTCTGCTTGTTATCGCTTTCCTCGAGCAGTTCTTCCCAGATCAGCCCACTCAAGTGCCCCAATAGCTCCGTTGATATCCCATTTCCTTTCAAAATTGCCACCAACTCAAGCTTAACGTCAACTCCAGGCTTTGCGATATCATGTCGTCAAACAGGCCCAATGATTTTGCTCGGTGGTAACTACAGCGTCCTCAGCATCTCCCTGCTCGAGGGATACGTACGTGTGACTGGCCAGACCGTATACTCCTCCCAGTGCCATAACAATAGCCAGGGAATCATCGACCTCACTGCCACAAACTACATGTTCTCCCACACGCAAAACAAGTTCACCGCCGTTGGCTGTGATGCCATGGCAATGATAAGAAACAGCAGCGATGTTGTCGGTAACACCAACAGCACGGTGATGAGCAGATACAGCGGGGGGTGCGTGTCGTTCTGCGCATCAAATGGAAGCATCATCAGCGGCGAATGCTCCGGTGTGGGCTGCTGCCAGTCGTCAGTGCCCAAGGGGCTCAACAAGCTGGACTTGGAGTTCACCAGCATACGGGACCAGCTGATGCCACCCACGAGTGCCGTCGGTAGCGGCAGCACACGGTGCAGCAAGGCGTTCATCGCGGAGCAGGACTCGTATGTGTTCTCTAGGCATGACCTATACAAGGACTTGGGGAATCTGCCGATGGTGCTCGACTGGTATATACAGGGTGGCAACTGCAAGGAGGCAAGCCGCAGTCGTCAAACCTACATGTGCAAGGAGAACAGTTATTGCTATGAGGTGGAAGATGGAGCTGGATATCGCTGCAATTGCTCTGGAGGTTACACTGGCAACCCGTACATTGGATGTGTTGGTGAGAAATCCTCAATTCATGTGTTTGGTTGCCAATATAGTATTACTGGCTAGCATGCCTTATTCTAATATCCTTTTTTGCTTTGTTTCCTACTTTTGACTACAAGATATCGACGAATGCAACGACGGGAATAACTATCCATGCACCCACAAGTGCATCAACATAGCTGGTGGTTACAATTGTACATGCCCAATGGGCATGACAGGAGATGGCAAGAAGCAAGGCATTGGGTGTAAAAGAGATACAACAATGTTGTCTACTGTAGGCAAGTCTCTTGCAATCTTTAATATTATTCTCTCTTTTTCGAAATTTTATCAACCAGAACAAACAATTGATTACTACATGAAGTAGTAGTAACTTCAAGATTCAAATACCCATTTCAGGTGGAAGCCTTGGTTTGATGGCTGTTCTCATTGTTCTTGGCTTTTGGACTTACTGGATAGTGAAGAAGAGGAGGCTTGCAAAGCAGAAACAACGATACTTCTTGCAAAATGGTGGTTTGTTATTGCAGCAGCAGATATTCACCCACCAAGCACCTGCAAGGATATTCACCACCAGTGAGCTCGAAGATGCAACAAACAACTTCAGCGATGACCGTATTGTTGGTCGAGGTGGATATGGTACAGTGTATAAAGGGATACTATCTGATCAAACCATTGTGGCTATCAAGAAGTCAAAGCTTGTGGATCAGAGCCAAATGGAGCAATTTATCAACGAGTTGATAGTTCTTTCACAGATTGATCACAAAAATGTGGTCAAGATATTGGGCTGTTGTCTTGAGACTGAAGTGCCCTTACTGGTTTATGAATTTATATCGAATGGAGCTCTGTTCCACCAACTTCATAATACAAATTTGGTACCAATTTCATGGGAGCATCGTCTTAGGATAGCAACTGAAACTGCATCAGCTCTTGCAAATCTTCACTTAGCAAGAAAGGTGCCAATCATCCATCGTGATGTCAAGTCTGCCAATATACTGATTGATGAGAACTACACCGCGAAGGTATCAGACTTTGGCGCTTCAAGGCTAGTCCCTTCCAATCAGACACATGTAACAACCTTAGTCCAAGGAACATTAGGATACTTGGACCCTGAGTACTTTTACACAAGCCAACTAACTGACAAGAGCGATGTATATAGCTTCGGTGTGGTTCTTGTTGAGCTATTAACTAGACAAAAACCGATATCTTATCATAGGCAAGAGGAAGGGATAAATCTAGCTTCACATTTCACGGCGCTTGCCCAGCAGAACCGACTACAGGAGATTGTGGACTGCGTCGTGGTGAAGGAAGCTGGAATGAGGCATGTTAATGTGGTGTCGCATTTGATTCTGAAGTGTTTGAAGCTTAAAGGGGAAGAGAGGCCAAGGATGGTAGAAGTAGCAATTGAACTTGAAGCGCTCAGAAGGTTAATGAAACAACACCTGTCCCTGAAAAGTGAAAAGGCTTTGAGAGAGCTTATGGAGCAGCAATCTGCTGAAGATTGCCAAGAGATGCAGTTGCTTCAAGAGGAGAGCGGCCAGGAAAAAATGAGTAACATTGAGCCGCTGAAGTTGTACCACAGGGACAGTGCCTCGGATAAATGCATGGAGAGCAGTCCACTTCTATCAATGGACCTCCCATGGTAGTGTACAATATATCAACTGAGGTGGTGTTTGAATCTCCTGAAAATGAAAACAAAGATAAAAATTAAGTGTTTTATGCAAAATGAGGTGTTAATAACGTGTGATTAATTAAGTTTTAATTATTACAAACTTGAAAAATGGATTAATCTTATATTTTAGAACAACTTTCATATAGAAAGTTTTCGTACGAAACACACCGTTTAACAGTTTGAAAAGTATGCCACTTTTATCTAAAAGTTTATCTAGTTTTTGTTGTTTATGTAAACCATGGTTCTCTACATCGGCATGCCAAAATTCCCTCAAAATTTTTAGTTGAAATTCTATTGCCTTTTTCTCTTTAGTCTTTATCATGATAGTGCATGCGGGTTCGGAAATGGTCGTGAAAATTTCCAATTGATCGAGTGCCGTTTTCGTATAAAGGGTACCGTTTCTTACTGTTATCTTTTTAGGTATATATAATTTTTTTTAATTTCTCGACACTAAATAATTTAGATCAATCAAAGTGTCGTTTCCAAAAGATGCTACTGACTTCGATCACCCCTGCTTCCGAGATTAGTTGGGCCACTCCGTGTTCCTCGCAATCCCATCAGACCATCACAGGCCGGGCGTTTGCTGCAATCCCATTATGGCCCAACAATAAACTATGTGTTGCACGTTCCTCGCGCTCCAGTTCCGGCCCAACTAGAACAGATCGCGCAGACAATCCATCGAACGGCTGGAAATATAGCGGGACGCCTCCTGTCCGACTTTTTTCTTTCTCCTTGTCCCCGGCGCCGCCGCCGTCGCACCAAAACGCACCAGAACGCGAGTGGAAGTGATGGATTCGACCATCGGGGCTCGAGGACACTTTGCCTCTGGTTACCAGAGCGGAGCAGCCGACTAGCCGAGCAGTCCAAGCAAGCCGTGCTCATCGGGGTAAGTTAAAGCATGAGGTATAGAACACTTTGGCCCTCCTTTAAATTCCATGGGAAATACAGGTAAACCTACAGCTCTACTGGTTGACGAGAGCAGTTAGCACTTGCCATTTGGCTCATGCCTCCATGGTCTCATGGGCACTTGACTCAACTAATTCCACATTCATGATGGTTAGGGTAGAGACGATGAAGGAATTGAAAATCTACAAAATCCCTCTAAGTTGGTAACTGAAGCATCTGATTTTAATATTACAACGGGAACATCATCTTTCCAAATGAGAAGCAGATAGTATTTCAGATGGCAAGCTGTACTGGGTAGTACTAGTTTCGTCTGAAGACTGCAGGCTGGAAATTGGCCTTGCCTCACTATGTACACTCTCTTGTTCATTGATTATCTGTATTGACTCATCACTTCTGATGATTTGCTCCTCGTCAAACGACTCTCTTAGCCCATGTAGAACTGAAGCCACTTCCCTCATAACTGGTCGTTCTTCTCCCTTAACATTTAAGCATCTGGCTGAGAGCTGTGCAACAGCGTATATCTGCTCTTCACCTGCTTCTACCAAAATCTGTGGCTCTATCTCCTGTAGTAGACGCCTTTCATTAAGCAAGATCACAATATACATAGCTAAGTTACAGGACTCCTCCGGCCTACCTACAGAAATAGGCTTTTGTCTTGTCAACAGCTCTGCAAGAACTACTCCAAAGCTATAGACGTCACTCTTCTCTGTGAGCTGGCTAGTTTGGAAATATTCAGGATCAAGGTAGCCAATTGTTCCTTGAATTAGAGTTGTTACATGAGTATGATCAGATGGGACTGATCTTGATGCACCGAAGTCTGCTATTTTAGCCACGAAGTTCTCATCCAACAATATGTTGCTTGATTTAATGTCTCTGTGAATGATTGGTGTAGAAGATGTAGAGTGGAGATAGGCAAGTGCACCTGCTGTTTCTTCAGCTATCCTTAAGCAATCTTCCCATGTTAAAGTCCTCTTGTTGTGGATGTGTTGGAAGAGTGTTCCATTAGGAATGAACTCATAAACCAACAACGGAACTTTTGTCTCTAAACAGCATCCCAAAAGCTTGACAACATTTGGGTGATCAATCTGTGATAAGATGGTAATCTCATTGACAAATTGCTCCACATGGCTTTCATCAAACAAAATAGACTTCTTTATGGCAATCGTAGTCCTATTCGGAAGGATTCCTTTGTAAACAGTGCCATTTGCACCTCGGCCAAGGATTCGGCCATCACTATAATTGTCAGTGGCATTCTTAAGTTCTTCTGCACTAAATATCTTTGCTGATGACTCCTCACCTTGAGAAGTGATCATCAAAAATCTTTGCTGCAGTAGCAACCCTCCATTTTTCCTGAATAACTCAGCTCTCTTTCTTGCCACCTTTCTTTTCTTCATTGTCCAGTAGTAGCACAGCAATGTTGTAGCCAGCGTGACCGTCAGTGCAAGACCTACACCTGCAGACATTGTATGAGAATATCCACAACTTGTGTTAATTTTCTTCCTTAACCGATCTCTTGTGGAAGTAAAAGAAAATGTAAAAGTTTTCCTTTAAAAAAAAGAAAATGTAAAAGTGCGAGCCATATTAGGATTCTATGACCGATTGTGCATGGTGCCGGTTTATTTATGAGTTCCGACTTCAATTCTTTCGTGCAAAAACAATACTATTGAGGTATTTTTTACAGCCCTAACACATTATTTCATGTTTATCGTCATTAGCTATGTCTAATCTAGTTTTGCTAGCTCAATTGTATCATTAATCATGAATGCAGTCAATACACTGGTCATATCTATACGATGTTTCATCATTCATGTTAATAATGATGTAATCATTAACGGCTATATATTATGGATCAGCAGTTCTGCAATGGAGATATTTTTTATATATCAATTGCATTAATAGCAGAGGAATGAGAAATAAAAATAAAAGAGAGAATGAATTATCTGATGAAGAATGCTGGGTGTTGAGTATGTTACCCAAAGCAGTATCTAAAGGAAAGTGCCTTTTGCAGCCACTTCCCTTCTTCCTGCCATCGCCATTTCTGCCTTCCGGGCAAGCACACGAAGTTACTCCTTGTTCATCCTTGCAGTACTCTGGGTACATGCAAGGGTTCCTTTCTGGGTGAGCACACACATCTAGACCTAATAATAAGTAAATATAATAGTAAATTGCATGCAATTAAGTTTTTCCAAATGAAAGATGATGTAGTCTGCTGGTGGTTTAGAGGGTGTTTAGATTTAGGGGTGTAAAGTTTTGGCGTGTCACATCAGGTATTATATAGGGTGTCGCATGGGGTGTTTTGGCACTAATAAAAAAACTAATTACAGTATCCGTCAGTAAACTGCGAGACGAATTTATTAGACCTAATTAATCCGTTATTAGCACATATTTACTGTAGCACCACATTGTCAAATCATGTAGCAATTAGGCTTAAAAGATTCGTCTCGCAAAGTAGTTGCAATCTTTACAATTAGTTATTTTTTAGTCTATATTTATTACTTCATGCAGGTGTTCAAACGTTCGATGTGATAGGATATAAAATTTTAAGGTGGGATCTAAACAGACCCTTAATTTTCATTGTTGAAAAGAATATCTCGAAGTCGTTCCGATTAATGTTTCATTTAACGAATAGATTGTTTCCATTCGTTAAACTAAACAGAAATTTGAACAGTGGAAACTTTGTTCTTTCCTTATTAGAAAGACTGCACTTAAATTACTCTTCTGTGCTGTGAAGAAACTGCACTCTGCTTTATCGTACCTTGCGGTTGGTTTGAGGGAGAATGCTCTACTGTTATTGGTCAGATTCTTCGCATTACTAGGGTCCTATTTGGCCCTCCAGAATCTCGTTATTTAAGAGTATTAAACATAGATTACTGACAAAAACCATTTCATAACCCTAGACTATTTTGCGAGACGAATCTAACGAGATATATTAATCCATGATTTGTTATAATGATGCTACAGTAATCAGCTGTTAATCATAGATTAATATACATCATTAGATTCATCTAAGGGTTATGGAATCGGTTTTATCGGTAATCTACGTTTAATAATTCTAAATAGTAAGATTCCAGAGGACTATTTAATAGTTCGGAGGATCCAAACAAGGCCTAGGAGTAGAACATACTCCCTCCGTCCTAAATATTACGTACAGCCATATTGAAGTACTTAAATAGTACAGCTAAGAACTTACTATATTCCAGCCATAGAAGATGCACACAATGTCTTTGTAGCGTGTCAAGAGAAAGAAATATATCCTTTTATATTGACATTTTTAGGTAAAAGGGGAGCAAAAGAACCGAACAGTTTTCAAAACTAATCTTATATACTCCTAATACCTTTAACTTCTGGCACAAGGGGACTGAATCAATTATTTCCTCCGTTTTCATCCTTGACTCTTTTTTTTTATGTTACAAGATGATCTGGCTTTTTTTTCTTGATCAATTTTTCTTAAGTTTAATCAAATTTATAAAATAATTAGCAACATTCACGACACCAAATTAGTTTTAATAAATCTAACATTGAATGCACTTTTGATAGTACTATGTTTGTTTTGTGTTAAAAATGTTGGTATATCAAACTAAAAAAAAGCGGAGGGAGTAGTACCTATATATATGCGAATGAGAATTGTGATGGGTGATGCAACGGTGATTAATAGGATTTTGTTCGGTCCAAAAATACGTGACATGTTACCAGATGGCGGAAGGGAGTCAATACTGCAGCCTGTCCCAGCCCTGTAACCATCGCCAACCGTGTTCTTGGGGCAAGAGCAAGTAAAGCCTCCATCAGTGTTTGTACAGGTTGCATCTCTGCTGCAGTTGTTGTTATTCATATCCCGGCATTCGTTGATATCTTCATAAATAGTGCGAAGCTTCATTCAGAAAGCAGAAAAAAACATAGTTCTATTCATAGCCAGCAGGTAATCGAGCGAGCTCCCAAATTATCTGTTTTTTCACAGGCTAAATCACAAGTTCTTGAAGTGAAAATGAACAACAGCGAGCTCCCTAATCATATCTGTCTTTAAAACGTACTGTACTAGCCTGTCTGTTGTCGATGAAAGTACTTACCTGAGCACCCGTTTTGCTCGTACGGGTTCCCCTCGTACCCTTCATTGCATCTGCAGATGTAGCTCGTTCCGTTGTACACGTCGTTGCACGTGCTCATGCTGCCACACGGGTACTGTGACGCGGAGTTCTGCTCGCAGTTGCCCGGAATCGCCCAATCCAAGAACATCTTGCGGTAACCGAGCGGCACCAGCGCTTCTTTCAGTGCCATATTCCGGCCATCACCGGCGCTAGTGAAGACTTGCTCGTCTTTGTCGAGGAAGAAGACGGCACTGCAGGTGCTGGCCTCGACATTCCCCGACGGCTTTAACGTCAGGTTGAATTCCTGCGCGCCATCCATCTGCATCTCGGTCGTGCAGCAGGCCTTATCGGCGCATGAGCCGTTGAAGATGGTGTCGGAGCTTCCGTCGTTGCACCAGGTGTCGCAGCTCGTGGGTGTCCCGTCCCCACCACCCGACGAGCTCGTGAAGTTAGCGAAGAACCTGTAGTTGCAGCCGGTGGCGACGAGTTTATTGCGCCTGGAGAAGGTGAAGGGCGTGGCCTGCAAGCTCGTCGGAGCCGGAGCCGGATCGACTCTGGTGATCGGCTTGATCTGCTTCGGCCTCCTGCTGCGGTCGTAGCACACCTGTTGGATGGGCCCTGCACGTATGGTGATGAAGTGTTCCGGCACCGACACCTTGTCGATTTTGTAGATATGCTCGCCGATCCGGAGCATGGCCTCGTTGTTTCGCCCGCATGTTACCATGAACCCGGGGACAGAGGTTGCTCCGCTCCTTTCCTCGCGGAAGGGAAAGGGGACATCCTTGCACGTCAGGTTCTGGGAGAGCGCGACGTGGGGCATCGCCGAGAGGATGGCGAGCGCGAGCGCGAGCGCCAGTGGGCCGAGAGGCCATGAAGCCACAGCAGCCGCCTCTGTGGCGGCTGGAATGCTTGCTCGCCTGCACACCATGTCGCCTATGCTCAACTGTACTTCTCTGTGGTGCATGCACGGGAGCGAGAGGTGATAGGGCCCGAGAGGACCGGGGTGGAGTGGGTCAATGGGTCGTCTTTATCATAGGAGTCGTGCTAATTTTCTTGTAGATTGTTTTGGAGATTAATAACCTGGAATTTTTATGTAAAAAGACTTGGGCCTTACGAGCCTCTAACAAGAAAGGTAGGGGAAAAAAACTTGACGCTTATGAGTTGCTTTAGCTCGATCGGCCTTAATTACAAAGAGCTCTAGACAAGCTCAAGCCTAAAACAATCTCACAAGCCTAGCCATTGAGCTGAAGTTCAAAGTAGTTAGGGGCTATCTATTTTTAATGGCACTGATTTTTTTCTTCTGCGTACATTTTTTTCTTTGTCTAGCCGAGTTCAAAGTTATACAAGGTCTCATATATACGTATTATGATATTAACGATTTTGCTATATACTGTATTTATCAACAAATTTTCTTATAAAAATTTAACAGATGTAAATTTAATATAATTATAATGTAATTATATTGTAACTTGCATGTAACTACAATATAACTTTCACACAATTTTGAACAGTCAAATTTTCTTGAAAATTCGTGCAAGCGAGGAAGAAAAGAATCATAATGTGTGCCCATGTGAGTAGATTCAGTCCTACGACCTCCGTTTCACGGAAATACCATTTTATTGAGGGATTTTTTGAGTTAAGTTATGTTGTATTTACATGCAAATAGGTTGTAATGTAATTACATCATGGAAAATATGTAGTGAAAACCGCATATGTAGTGGAAATCTGAAAATTACCATTGGATAAAAATAGACGTCTAAGACTTGTCCATTTCATCAATAGTAAAATTTTTACTTATGATTGAATTTGTGAGTAAATTTTTTTTACTCTTATTGGCGTGGACAAATCTCATACGTTTATTTTTGGATCCAACAATTGTTTTCATATATTTTCCCCTTACATTATGGTTGTTCTATAATTATATTTGTTAAATTTTTGTGTTAAAATTTGACAAGAAATGCGTAGATAGTCCTGATATGAATTCCTTGTGACGGTTCTTTTTAAAGGAACCTACCAACCGAAATTAAGACTTAGACTTAACAATGATACTTGTATTTATGGCTATTTTTTATTAGTAGACACCGATCAACATCTAGACGCGTATGGTGATTTCGTCAATCTCAAAATACATCGTCCTAGTTTTTTTGAAGGTGCTAATTAATAGAAGTAGGCTATGCACCGTTAATAATAATAATAATAATAATAATAATAATAATAATAATAATAATTATTATTATTATTATTATTATTATTATTATTATTATTATTATTATCATTATTATTATTATTATTATTATTATTATTATTATTATTATACACATATAAATATGGGTCAGTGTGCGCGTTGAATTACAACTTACAAGCACGTTCGTGACTTCGTGCAATTTGCAACTTTAACGGAACATAAAAGGTACTAGCATCATTGGCAGTTTATTTGGCACTCGGAAGGAACGTACGAAATACCATAAAGTATATCACAAATCGGTCATGAAGATAAGGCCCTCAACTCGAAAAAAAGTAAGATGAAGATAGGTGCTGGTCAATTGCTGGTCGAAGTCGATGATAACCCCAGCTGGACTTATTATGCAAACCACTAAAAGATGGCACTTGCCATTGGAACATTCGATGTCGTTGATAGGCTCACTGCGGTTGAAATCGCCACGGAAATCGTTGATACGTATGCCCTCGATACGACAGCTGCCGTTCGGAGAAGGTCTGCTTGACGGGACTCCCAACATGTGAAGAAGATATTGCACGGTCCTTTCGGAAGCTATGATTCCCCCTTCTTTCAATTTCCGGTCGTTGTGATCCTCTCGTAAAAGTTGCGAGGCTTGAGCAGTTGCATCCTATTGGCATGTATCTACGAAATTAGTAAACACCGGTATCCCGTCGCCACGGTATCCAAGCGACCAAGCCGTCCGCCTCATCCCTGTCCAATCTGCTCTCCGTCCAACTCACTTGCTAGTCTTTGAAATGATAAGGGCATCAGCGATGTAGAAATACAGAGAGTCTTAAGTCCCGTAAGGAGTTCACATACATTGTGGGAATACTTTTAATAGGAGCCACTTGAATGAGCTACCATTACATCTAAGGACCAGGCGACCAGCTATAAGCAATAAAAAATTTGCTCATCTATTTGTTGATGAAAAACACGAGGCCTGAGAGATCTGCTTAAATCTAGTGCAGGTCCAAAGCTCACCTTCGGGTGTGTTAGCGTGCCAGTTAATTTGATCCTGCAATCAACAAGAAATGGGGACAAAGAGACCGCAGTTAAATCTATAAATGATAGCTGATCGGCTAAGTGCCGATGACATATCATTTATCTTTGAGCCGATGTCATATGTGAATCGATCGGCGGTCGTAAATAGACAATGAAGAACTAAATCTATTCGATCGGCTGTAGATATTAACAATATATAATTCTTATATCGATATATACTTAAATCAAGTGATTGGGATAGATCGGTCGACATGCCGAGACAGTATAAATTACTTAGATCGAAATATATATTAATAACAGGACTATATATGTTTATAGAATAACCGATCAGATAGATCTAGCATGTATCGGCTAATACTCCGATACTACTCTATATCAAGATATCAAAACAAGTATAATATATCAAACAAAAGCCTAATATACTTAAGTGCAATAAGATCTTGACATAAAGGGCGGATTTAACATGTCAATGAAGCATATAGAGCGAATATAGTTAAATCAGATAAGATCGGCTGAAACTCCGATACTACTAATCGGCAACCAGAAGGCAGGCTAGAGATTGATATTCTAAGCACAACTTAATAGATCAAACTCAACTGATGCAGGACTAAGTATGAAAAGAAGAACAATATCTAGACAATCAAGCCACTGGAAGTTTCATAGAGTGGTAGATATCTTACATAATCTAAATCAACGTCAAAATCTAATTTGATCGGCTGTCCTCCATTAACAGATGTTAGCCGATTGTAGATTAGATAGCGATATTGCTAGAGATTATGTAAGATATATGATAACTCGACGAATTACATAAACAAGATTAGAGTATCATAAAGATGGAAGCACTAATCCCGAGAACACAAGCCGTCATAACAAGTTTTACCTCTTGTTGAAGATCGAAACCGATGCAGCTCAACCCGAAAGCAAGAACTCGTCGAAATAAAACTAAAGCAAAAAGGTGGCGATGCGCCGAAATTGTATTGAACGTGTGTGTTAAAAATTACATAGGGCTCGGGGTCTATTTATACCCGAGAATTACAAGATATGTCCATACCGGACACGACCATTATCTCTAACAAACTCTAAGATACCATAAGTCTTTGCGGCAGACTTTTGCCCAAACATATCTCTAAGGAAATTACATAAAACATCCTAATTAATAGATACAATTGCCTTCTTAGGACTCTATCCATGTGCGGCAATCATCTTGAAGCACCTCAATTCAACCTGATGTCATACACCAAGTCGTACTGTCGGAATCAGCTGCATCGGCTTACGTAGTCCGACTCAGACCCAGCCGATCCTAATCGTAGCCGATCTGGACTCCAGCCGATTCTTGCTCTGTTCTCGGATCGATCTCCGCCTCCGACTCCACTTCGATCTAATCTCCTTTTCCGATGCCGATATTACCAAATTTGGTTGTTAACACTCTTTTCCTACTGTGGGTGTCGGTTGCTTGTCGCCATGGGGAGGGGAAGAAGGTGACGAACCCGCCATGTGAAAGGGGAATAACACAAGGAGCAGGCTCAAAGCACCTGGATAGAGTTGCTGTTACCGGAGATCCAGCTGCAAGGGCCATCGCCGGATTCGCTGTGAGCACCGCCGCCACCGGATTCAGCCGCGCCCGCAAGCGCCGACACCGCCGCCGCTAGATCCAGTCGTGCTCGCGAGGGCCGACGCCGCTGCCGCCAGATCCGCTCGTGTCGTTCCTACGAGCGCCACCTTCGCCACCCCGGAATCCAGTGCTCGAGCACGCTGCCTCCATCATCTGTGCCGCAAGCGCCACCTCCTTCGCTGTGCTCGCCCATGCCGCCTCTACTATTCGCAAGAGAAGAAGAAGGGGATCGGATGAGGAGGAAGAAAAAGGAGGTAGTTGAAGAGTTGTACGATTGAGAAGCAATCCGGAGGAAGCCAGAAGTCATGATCGGACATGAGATCGAGTTACAAGTCCTGATTCATGGAGGGGAATCGAGTTACAAGCGATAGCTAAAGCCACATTGAGAAACAATAAGTTATATTCGTCGAATATATCTCGTCGGGCCGTTCTTGACGGCTTCTAGTCGGCAGATTATTCTAGTCGCTCTATTCCCTATTGTAATATTTGTGACATCCCATCCATAAATCCATATAAACTGAACTAGAGTTATTACTCTCCTTGTGAGCCCAAACCAATATAAATATTTGTCCTTGTCTGCTTGATATGATCTCGCGTATAACCTGGTTCTAACGATCCCCATACTCTACAAATCCCGTCTACAGGTATAGCCCGTTGACAATATGCATGGGTTGTGTAGATCTATCGGTTAAATAGGTTTTTCTTATTCTCTTCAATTTTGTACTCTCTCAGTTAGGTTTGATATGTTAGATTGCTGATTATAAGTTTAATTCTAGTAAGCCTAATAAGTTTTTATGCGACATCCATCGGAGTTTCTAGCTGTCGAGTTATCATTATTCTAAGGTTCAATTATCAGATGTATCGGTTAGTTGGCCGATATATATTTTAATCTACTTGCATCAGACCTCCATACAATGTATGCTTAAACCATCGAATCTGCATCAACTACACTATTAGCTGATTGGTTCATTGGTTCGATTATTCCTATCATCCTTATTAGTTGCAAGATCAAAATAATTGCCACGTCCAAATCTTATCAAGATTTAGAATCTGCGTTAGAGCCTTCGTGTACAACGAATTTCACATCAACAGACAGATAGAGGGAGAGAAAAACTAGATAAACAAAATACCGCAGCTGTAGTCGTGAGAAAATTTTATCACCACGTGGTAAATAAAATGAAGCTGGATTTATTCTTTACTCATAGTAGGTTGGATTTCATCAAATTTGCATCTTCAATCAATCATTCAAGAACTAGAAATAACTAAAATAACATAGCTTTAGAAAAGATATAAATGATCGAACTAAATTTGAAAATATAATGTTTATTTATTTTTTAAAAAAAATATTCGAGATACAATTTTTTTTTAAAATATACCGTCAATCTCGTAAAACCGATGCGCAGAAATAACTTGATGACACGGGCGGTCTCGCGTAGCAACCCAGCCACACCGCAGCCAAAAACAGCGCCAGCTCCAAACAGTCTCAACTAATGATCATGATTAGCGATTAATTAATCTAATTAGACACTAATTAATCACTAAGAATTGACCCTACTGTTTCGGTCTCGCATGGTATGTTGGTTGTGCGAGACCGTTCGTTCTTGCAATCTCACCACGCGATACCGCCCGCAATGTCACGCACACATCATTTTTGTGTAACTGTTATGCAGCATCGACGATATATCTTTGGAAAAAATTATATCATGAATATTTCTGAAAAAAATAAATAAATAGTATATTTTTCAAATTTAATTCATAAATGATGTGGCTTAATGCTCCATCATTATGGCTTTATTAGACAAGGAAAGAACCACATGAACTATCTTTAGCGGGATACATATATAATGTGGTTTGGGATGCATACTCTCAGGCCTTCCATATTATAACTCGCCCTTATATTTGATATGCTATTTAATTAGGTCCACCATTTCGTTAGAAGTAATTTGAGGTCGCTCTCTCTGCTCACGGGTTGCTTTGACCCTTCGTTTGACGGGGCTTGATCAGACGTGCGACTCTATATTATCACGTAGTAGTACATTGTTGACGCATGTTGCATAGTCCTTCCAAAGGCCGAGTTTGCGCCATTTCTTTTTTTGTGATCGTTGTCGTCTGTTGTAAAAGTGACGTCCAGGAAATTCTGTTTAGTGAACGAAAGCAGTTCGTGCGTGATGTTGATGACGGAACCACCGTTAGATGCCTAGACGCCCAAATTGGCCAATTTGCTGGGTGTAACTACCGAGGCTGCGTGCCCCTTCATACTGTGTTGTCCTGTTTACCAGCCGGAGCTTGGTAGCGAATGGATCAATCTTGTTCGACTTGTTTCGTGGTGCACACGCGCGCAGCGGCGTGTCTGGGTCGTGCCCGTCGTGCGCGCGGCGGATGGGTGGTTCAAAACCCGGGGGTAATCTGGCCATTTAGGCCTGTTTGGCACAACTCCAGCTCCAGCTCCACCCCTTCTGAAGCTGGAACTCAGCCAAACAGTTTCAGCTCCACCAAAACTGGGAGTAAAGCTGGGTGGAGCTCTCTCACAAAATGGACTAGAGTTGTGGAGCTGAGTTTAGACAACTCCACAACTCCACTCCAGACCCAACTCCTAGAGTTAAATTTGGGAGTTGGACCTGTACCAGAGAGGGCCTTAGAAAATTCCCTCCTCTCTTTTGTCTCGAAAATTATAAAATATTATCTCCGATGTTTTACAACCAATTACATAAATTTTGTAGTGTCTATGGGCATTATTACGTTTTTACAGTATCTTCCAGTCAATTACACGATTTTTACGTGTTCCGTAGCAAAATTTGCCATATGTAAAGGATGGCAACTTGTCATTGAACTATTTGATTCCATTTTGATTCTCATCTCAACACACGAGTCGTTTGTCACTATGCACTCGCTCTTCGGAGAAGGGCAACTTGACGTGACTCCCATCATGCAAAGATATTGCACACTATGCACTCGATATAATGGCTGCCCTTGGAAGAAGACAGCTTGATGGACGCACGGTACTTTTGGAAGCTATGACAGAATTTTTTTTTATACATTTTAGACCATCTAAAAATTTATTTTATAAATAAATCATTGGAAAAACCTACTTAAGAAATAGACCCTTTTCGCGGCGCTAGCGTCGGTATTATGGTCTAATATGACGGCGCTAATAATATTAGTGTTACCCCCTCGCTCCTCGCGAAAGCTAAGCTGCTATGTGAAGGGGTTGACTCCAATGGCAATGGTGCTGTGGAGCAATTTGTAAAAAAAATAACTAAAATGTTAATATTTTTATTACAAATTACAAATAGGTTTCCTATTCCAGTGACACTTACGTCAAGGACCTATTTATTAATATTTTTATTATGAGGTCATTTTTATTTTTTTCAAATAAATCCTTGATGTCGGTGTCAGTGACGCTGAACCCCTTCATATAATGACTTGACTTACAGGGAGAGAGGACAACAACATCAATGTTGTTATTGACGCTGTCATGTTGGACCATGACGCCAATAATACTGGCACCGTGAATAGGGTATATTTTTAGAATAATCTTTTTTATAAATCTATTTGTAAAATAACAAATAAGTTTTTAAAAGGACAAAAGGTAAGAAATCTCGAAAGCTATGATTCGCCTTTGTTTCAGTTTGCAATCGTTGTCCTCTCGTAAAAGTCCCAAAATATAAATGTATGTTCCAAAATATAAGGGACTTTAGATGAACCAGATTTATAGTACTGAGATGTGCCCCATCTATTTAAAATTTCTTATATTTTGGGAAGATAAAAGTATTTGGTAGCGCCCCTGTTACACTGGTCATTGCTCTTTTTCTTTCACGTCACTTGGATCGAACAGTTGGTAGCGCTCTTGTATGTGGTGGCCAATGCTAAGGCTTGAGCTTTATTTTTTAAAAAGCTACTGCGAGCAGATAGCAAGTTAGCAACTTAGCATAAAACGCTGTCAACATTAAGGTGAATGCGTGCCGCTGTCAACATTAAGGCTAGTCTGGTTCCCATCGTCTCCCCATCTCGAGTGCGTCCCTCCACGGTTTCCTCCGTGTAAATTTACTCGTGAATTAGAGCAAGTATAATAGTAGACTATAAGCCGGCTAAATACTGAGATGGAGGAGAGGAGAGAGAGGAGAAGCGGGCTATAAACTTACCGCCGGTTTGAACACAAGAACCAAGAAACTCTGTGAGAGAGATAAATCGGCTATAAAGAGCTAACTATTATATGGGTAGGCTGAGAGAAAGCTATAAAGAATCTTATAGTTAACAATTCGACTATATTATTAACCTTGCTATGCTCTCTGTGTTGCGTTGCATGTGCCGTACCTGAATTGATGATGGCCATATGAGCTCGAGAATCTAAGGCCACGTATACAAGAAGGAAACTTTGCCGACTCTGTGTGAAGTTGCTACCAGCCCAAGGCCGAGGGATCGCCCAGAAGCACCGAGTAGTAAGGCCGAACCATCACGGCCTGCAGTTCGCAGCAATCACCTTATGGGCTTCTGGCCCAACTTTAAGTCTATAACGAACCACACCTTCCTCGATAGGTCGCGTCGCAGCAACCCATATTCTCACAAGGGCCCACCTGTCCGACCTTTTGTCCTCCTCGTGAGTTCCGGCCTCGCATCGCCGCCGCCGCCGCCGCCGTAGCAACAAAACGCAATTAGAACGCGAGCGAAGATGGATTCGACCTCTACAAGCCCGAGGGGATTGCCACTAATCACCAGCAACGGAGCGGCCAAGCAGTCCAACCGCGCCACGCTCATTGGGGTAAGTCAAAGCATGAGGTATACTCTCCTAATCCTAACCATCAACCATGTAGGTTTACTGCTCGACAAGAAGTTGGTTCATACTCAACTATTTATAGTACATGATGGTTAGGTCAGAGGTTGAGGATTGGAAGTTGGAAGGCTTGGCCTCAACCAATTTTTTTAGGGACAAACACCCTTGATAGGTCTAGGGCTGCAGTTTGCCGATCCCCTAACACAGACGTGCGCACTAATATCTTTTGCCTAAAAAAATTACGGAAGTGAACATTTACAAAATTCCTTTACAGTATCGTAATAAGAGCATCATCTTGCCAAGTAAGAAGAAGGCAGTATTTCAGCTGGCAAGCTGTACTCAGTGGTAATTTCCCCTGAAGACTGCAAGCTGGGAATTGGTCTTGCCTCACTATGTACACTGTCTTGTCCATTAGTTATCTGTATTGATTCATTGCTTCTTCTGATGATTTGCTCCTCGTCAAACGACTCTCTTAGCCCATGTAGAACTGAAGCCACTTCCCTCATAACTGGTCGTTCTTCTCCCTTCAAATTTAAGCATCTGACTGAGAGCTGGGCAACAGCATGTATCTGCTCTTCACCTGCTTCTGCCAAAATGTGTGGCTCTATCTCCTGTAGTAGACGCCTTTCATTAAATAAATTCACAATATACATGGCTAAGTTACAGGATTCCTCCGGCCTGCTTGCAGAAATAGGTTTCTGCCTTGTCAATAGCTCTGCAAGAACTACTCCAAAGCTGTAAACGTCACTCTTCTCTGTGAGCTTGCTGCTTTGGAAATATTCAGGATCGAGATACCCAATTGTTCCTTGAATTAGAGTTGTTACATGAGTTTGATCAAATGGGACTGATCTTGATGCACCAAAGTCTGATATTTTAGCCATCAAGTTCTCATCCAAAAGTATGTTGCTTGATTTGATGTCTCTGTGAATGATTGGTGTAGAAGATGTAGAGTGCAGATAGTCAAGTGCTTCGGCTGTTTCTTCAGCTATCCTTAAGCAATCTTCCCATCTTAAAGAACTCCTGTTGTGGATGTGCTGGAAGAGTGTTCCATTAGGTATGAACTCGTAAACCAACAACGGAACGTTTGTCTCTAGACAGCAACCCAAAAGCTTGACAACATTTGGGTGATCAATCTGCGATAAGATGGTAATCTCATTGGCAAATTGCTCCACCTGGCTTTCATCAAACAAGATGGACTTCTTTATGGCAACCGTGGTATTATTTGGAAGGATACCCTTGTAAACCATCCCACTTCCGCCTCGACCAAGGATCCGACTCTCACTATAGTTGTCAGTGGCATCCTTGAGTTCTTCCGCACTAAATATCTTCGCTGATGAATCCTCACCTTGAGATGTCATCATCGAAAATCTTTGCTGCAGTAGCAATCCTCCATTCTTCCTGAATAACTCAGCTCTGTTTCTTTCCACCTTTCTTTTCTTCATTGTCAAGTAGTAGCACAACAACACTGTAGCTAGCGTGGCCGTAAGTGCAAGAGCTACACCTGCAGACACTGGATGAGAATATTCACAACTTGTGTTAGTCTTATTTCTCAATGATATCTTGTGGAAGTAAAAAGAAGTATAAAATTGCAATCAATATTAGGAGCCTTTGACCGAACGACTATTTGTCTGCAGATTGTAAATTGTGATTTGTGCATGGTTCCGGTTTATTTATGAGCTCCGACTTCAATTCTTTCGTCCAGAAACAATATTGAGGTATTTTTTACAACCTTAACACATTTTTAATGTTTATCGTCATTAGCTATGTCTAATCTAGTTTTGCTAGCTCAACTGAATCATTAATCATGAATGCAGTCAATACACTGGTCATATCTATATGATGTTCAATCATTCATGTTAGTAATGACGTAATCATCAGCGGCTATATACTGTAGATTAGCAGTTCTGCACGGGAGATATTTTTGACAACTGTATTAATAGCAGAGGAATTAAAAATAAAAGAGAGAAAATGAATGATCTGATGTGGAATGCCGGGTGTTGAGCATATTTACCCAAAGCGGTATATAAAGGAAACTGCTTTTTGCAGCCACTCCCATTCTTCTGGCCATCGCCGATCATGCCTTTCGGGCAAACACACGAAGTAACTCCTTGCTCATCCTTGCAGGATTTTGAGTACGTGCAAGGGTTCAATTCTCTGCACACATCTAGGCCTAATAATAGTAAATTGCATGCAATTAGGAGATGTTTTCCAAATGAAAAATGATTAGGCCGCTACTGGTTCATTATTAGATGTTGTAAACAAGATTTCGAACGTTCTCCCGGTACATTGAACAAATAATAATTTCCTGATTAGAAAGACTGCACTTAAAATGCTCTTCTGTGTGGTGAACAAAGCACTTTGTTTTATGATACCTTGCGGTTGGTTGTGGGTAGGGGCGCCTGCATGAGAGAGAGAATATATGATCTTGGTCAGATCATCACGCATTATTACGAGTAACTATTGCAGAATTTTTTTAGAGAAGAAATATTACAGCGTAATCCAGCCATATATAGGAGATGCATACAATATCATTTTAGCGTTTCAACCGGAAGAAATATATCAATTCATATTGACATTTCTTTAAGTAAAAAGGGAACAAAGCTCCTATCACCCAGGCAATCCTAAGTTCATGCATAGTCACGTTAAAAGGAACAAAATTCTTACTGTGGTATTTATTGGTAGTAGAATCAATTTAGACCTTTCATCTTTTCTCATCCAATCAAACATAAAAGTACCCAGGAAGAACCGTTTAAAAGCTTTTTTTTTTTTTGAGTTTTCCAACTTATCTCAAAATTGGTCTAGAAATAACACGTGGTGATTAATATGGTTGTTTGAACAGAAATTCTAGAATAAGTAGGATTATATGCAATCTAAAAAAATATCCCATTATCTTAAACAAAAGCAGTCGGAAAAAATATATGGCATGTATTTACCAGGTGGCCGATGGGAGTCAATGCACCCTGTCCCTGTCCTGTAGCCATCACCAGTCTTATTATTGGGGCAAGAGCAAGTATATCCTCCGGGAGTGTTATGACAGAGTACGCTACAGTTGTTGTAAATGAGAGACCGGCATTCGTTGATATCTTCATAAATAGTGTGAAGCCACATTGAGAAAGCAGAAAAATACAGTTCTATTCATAGCAGTTAGCTAAGTTCTATGGTAATTGAATTCTGCCATGATACAAACAGAAAGAAACTATAACAAACTGTTTTCACTAGCTAGTGCATATTTTTTAGATCACTGTGTTTAGAAGTATCTACTATTTACCTTGGCAGCCGCCTGCCTCGTATGGATTCCCGTTGTGTTGGTCGTACCCTGCTTTGCATCTGCACACGTAGCCCTCTCCCATGAACCTGTCCATGCATGAGCTCTCGTTGTTGCAGCGGTACTGTGTCTTGAAGCTGTTGTTCCGGGCTTGCTCACAGGTGGCGCGCCCAATCACCCAGTCCAAGACCATCCTTCGCTCACCCAAAGGCACCAGAACGTCTTCCAGATGCACTGGCTTGCTGTCACCGCCGCCGGCTCTGAAGATGTGCTCTTCTTGGTGGAGATGCATTGGCTTGCTGTTACCGCTGACTTTGAAGATCTGCTCTTTTTGGTAGAGGATGAAGGCTGCGCTGCAGGTGCCGGCCACGCTCGCCGATGTCTTGTTGAACTCGAAGGTGACCTCCTGCGCGTCGTCCAACGGCATGCCGTAGGCGTCGCAGCAGGCCGTCCCGGGGCACAATCCGTCAGAGTTTACTCTGCCGTTGGTTGTGCAGCTTCCGTTAGTAGACCAACCATGATGGTGTAGCGAGCTGGTGAAGGTAGCAGTAAAGTTGGAGTAACAGCCGGTGGCGACGAGCGTGTTGCGCTTGGAGAAGAAGAACGGCGTGTCCGTCAAATTCGTCGGCCCGATTCCGGTGCTCCCCACGACCGGCCGGCCGTTGCGATCGTAGCACAACCGGTAGATGGGGCCTGCAAATATGACGACGAAACCTTCCTGCGAAGACACCTGATCGATTCGAAATTTTTGATGGCCAATGCGGAGCATGGCAGCACTGTCGTTTTTCCGGCATGTTACCCTGAAGCCAGGGGCAGATTTGCCTTTTAAGCCGAAGGGATAAGGGACTTCGTCGCACGACAGGTTCTTCGTCGTCGTCAGCTGCGAGTTTCCCTCTAGAGGCGGCCACTGATTCTCCCGTCCCCGGGAGAGCGTGACGTGAGGCATCGCCGAGAAGACGGCGAGCGCCAGCACCAGTGGGGTGAGAGGCCATGCAGCCACAGCAGGATCAGCTGCAGCTGCAGCGGCCGGTGTGCTTGCTCTTCTGCACGGCATGTCGTCGCGCCTTTGCTTGCTGTTCTCCTTCTCGGTGGTGCATACAGCATAGACGAGCGCCGAGAGAAGCTATGTTGGGAGTGTGAACTGTGAAGGGGTCATTGTCGCCGAAAGCGTGCTAATTCTCTTGTGGCTACTGGCTACATGTTGGTTTTAAATTTTTAATTGTTTCTCAGATTAACCTGGAACTTCTATGTATTCTCATGAGACTGAAAAAACTTTTACTCCCCCCAATTTTTTTCAGATGTTCTATAATACAAGACATATATGCAATTAACTAGCATCCTTAAAATTACTTATCACCGGATAACTACTTAACCCCCTCAACTATTAAACCATGTATTAGACCCCCTCATCTTTTAAATATTGTTTAATTAACCCCCTAAGGTGGTTTTGGAGGGTGGTTTTGCCACGGTGGCGTGTTAAACTGGACAAGCTTCCTGTGTTAGAGCAGGCTGACATGTAGACCGGCTTGTAAGTGAGAGGATTAAACTCTGGACATTGAATCGGCTTAAAAAAAATCAACACTAAAAGTATATGACAGCATGCACATAATCATAATGCAAACACAAATTAGATCATAATTTGAACTATTCATTTCCACCGAAACAAACATAATTGGCTGCTACATCATGAAAAGCTATTTCAGTGTACAATTCAAAGCAACAGGTGCTAGCGCGCCATAACATTCAGAATTTAAGCAACAGGTGCTAGCGGAAATAACGCCATAACATTCAGAATTTAAGCATAAGTGTTTCAGGTCATTTGAGTGTCACAAAATCATGCATGTCCCACATGTCAGCCTGCTATAACACAAGAAGCTTGTCCAACTCAGCACACCACCTGGCAAAACTACCTCAGGGGGTTAATTAAACGGTATTAGAAAGATGAGGGGTCTGATACATGGTTTGATAGTTGAGGGGGTTAAGTAGTCACGCTGTGATAGTTGGTGGGGTTATGTAGACTTATTCCTTATTATTATTTAAATTCTTCACTCTTAGAATTTCTAATTCTATTGGACACATGCATTGTATTTATTAGGATGATTCTAACAATAAGATGATAATGCGAAAGGGACTGTAACCCAGTGGTTATAAGAGCCTCAGTTGCCTTCTATTTTGAAATGGAGAGAGCATATACTACAGTGGTGTTCATTTATATTGAAAATAATGAAGCTAGTATATCCATCCGTCTTATCTGAAAAATTTATGAAAATTTTTTTAAAAAAAATTAACCACACATAAAGTACTAGATCCTCCGTACAAAAAATATAATAATTTTTAGAATAGTGTCAAGTCAAACATTTTTAATTTTGACTATTAGTAGAAAAAAAGATCGATCATGTAAAATTGATTGTTACTAGAATTATCATTAAACAACTATCATGTGCAATTCTTTTTATTTAAAACATTTTACTTTTATAGATATTATTGATCAAGTAGCATCTTGAAGACTGTGTCAAAATCTAAAAATGAGGGAGTATTCATGTTTTATCTAGTAACGAGAAAAACACTAATCATAGAAAATTTTTAAATAAGACGATGAGTCAAATGTTATATCAAAAACTAAAAAATGAGTCTTCGTAGGATGGAGGGAGTAATTAATTGAGTTTTAATTATTTGAAACTTAAAAATGAATTTATCTAAAAGAAAGTTTTCGTGCAAAATACATCATTTAGCAGTTTAAAAACATGATATAAAAAATCAAGGTAAAATTGGTGTCTTGATCTAAATAAAATGGGGCCTACATCGGTTCCAAAGCCATAATAACTTCTGACATAAATATATAGCTAAAAGTTGCTACATTTCGAGAAATAAGTAGTATATCTCTGTCTCAAAATATAATTATTTTAGCATGGTACTTTGTTTTAAAATGAAGCTATTTCTTCACTTACATCTTTCTATCAACCAATCACAACCATCCCACTCAATAATAGGAGGGTGTGAAGAATCTAGATAAAGCTACAGATCAATTGCTCAATGCGCAAGGATGAATGCACGAGAACACCACTACCCAGACTAACAGGCAAAAACTGATAAACAATATGGCACTTAAAGTTGGAAACAATTTGAGGTCGCTCTCTTCAGTATACGCGGGTCGTTTTCCACTAGAGCTCCATACGACGACCGCTATCTCTTAGCTTAGTGACCATGCGACGACCCGAGGACACTGTATTGTAGCGTATAGGAGTAAATATTGCACGATCCTTTCGAATCTTTCACTTTGTAGTCGTCGTCGTCGTCTCGTTAAAGTGCCTTTTTTTCTCCGGGGGATCATTAATTGTTTAGTGAAACATGAACAGACTGTGATGTGAATGTGATGAGGGCATGAAGCAACCATGCACCAGCACTGCACAGATCCATTCGCTGCTGCTGTTTGGCAGGTTTCCACGGTGCACTATCTTCTTCCAGTTTTGGGAAGCTGGACAGTTTGATCAATCTCCCGAGCAGGTGATAAGGCCGACCATGACGGCCCGCACATTAGTCGCGCTCCCGTTTCAGCCCAACTATAACGGGCCGCAATCCCTCGCGCACCTGTTTCCGGCCCAGGTGAAATAGATCACGCCGTCAACCCATCGAACGGCTGGAAATCGCGCATTTTCCCGTGTCTGTCCGACCTTTCTTCCTCGTGAGAACGTTTGCCCCCCAGCACGCCGAACCGATGGAATTTCAAAAAATCGATCTATTTTCGTGAAACTGTTAGGTATCGATTTGTGAAAACCGATAGGTAGTAGCCGCTTTTTTACGGCGTTGATCAAATTCATCGTTTTTTGTCGTATTTCGATAAACCGATAAGAAGCTGTTTTTACAAATCGAGAAGTTAAACCCTGGTCTTCGTCGTCTCCGGCGGAGGAAGAGATGGATTTGGACTGGAATTTGTGGCTTCAATTAAGGGCATGTTTAGTTTGTGAAAAAATTTAGTGTTATATCGAATGTTTGACCGGATGTCCGAAAGGGTTTTTGGACACGAATGAAAAAACTAATTTCATAACTCGCCTGAAAACCGTGAGATGAATCTCTAGAGTCTAATTAATCCGTCGTTAGCACATGTGGCTTACCGTAGCACTTTTGGCTAATCATGGACTAATTATGCTCAAAAGATTCGTCTCGTGATTTTCTTCTTAACTGTGCAATTAGTTTTTTAAATCTATATTTAATAATTTATACATGTGTTTAAAAATTTGATGTGATGTTTTTAGAAAAAAAAATAGAGAATTAAACCAGGCCTAAGCTGTCATCGGAATACTACTCGTGGAGCTCTGTTGTGGAACTATTGCGACGATGCTTCTGCGGTTTCCTGGCTTTTCTGTCTGAGCGTATTGCTGAGAATATTACTGAGTCTGTGCGAATTGCACGTGGTCAAAGATTCGCTATGAGGCACCCAGCTTTAGCTTTCATGAGACATCGACATGGCCGTATACTGAGTTTGGTGGAAGCGATTTCACGTGGCACCTCGCCTGCAGGTTCGCACATATCGTCTCAGAATTCTCAGTATATAATTGCGTGCACACAGTCACCGATCGCCGTTTCAAAAAAAGCAAACTGTTGAGCCTTCTGCGATTTTCTACTGAAGCCCACACTCATGATATGCTCACACACTTGCACAATTGCACTTGCACGTTCAAGTTCATGAATTCATCTGCACATCTTCCGGCTAGCTATAGCTGCTATGCACATGGGAGTGCAAGAAGCAGTGAGAGCTCTCTGATGAACGATTCAATTGGGAGGAATAATACCAGTCCAGTGCTCGTCAGTTCATCACGTGCCCCATTGAGTACGTACGCGGCCGCGATGCCGGTGCGTATATGTGCCTTGAGAGGTGTGCATGCATGCACGCACAGACGACGACGGCCGGCGTGGTGGTGCTGGTGGTCTGGGGGAGCAGCAGTTTACAGATAGACATGATACGCTCGAGACGGCATCTCAGTGGAGATGCTGCGAAGTGGCGAGCAATGCATGCAACCGGACAAACATGTCTCACGCATGCACATCGACTGTGTGCCTGCGTGCGAGAGAGAGCATCCCATTCGGTGAATTAAGAAGAGAGAGCACACTGCACTGTGCACTGCAGTTTGAACAAAGTTAAGAGCAGCGGTGTGGTAGGCGTCGGTCAAATTGCACTGTCGTCTCGGCATCATAAGTGGCACTGCGCTGCTATCCGGGGATCATCAGTTGCAAAAACATTACGCTTGCATGTTCTCGCGCAGGGAGGCAGGGCCAGCAGGGGGGAGCCAGGAGAGGCAGAAAAGCCTGGGTCAGTTAATTTTAGCGTGGTTGCACTTGTATGCGGATCTGGTCTGGACGATAGATGCCGTTCACGTATTTTTCTCTACCACCAATGATTCAGCTCGTTACTTCCACCTCTACTACTGAAGTACATAGAGCTGAATTCCCTTTTTAGCCCCTTGTTTCATGAATTAAGCCTCCTTCATGATAGGAAAAACATAGCTTTACGAAAAACATAGAAATAGATCAATAGGTGCATACAAAACTGTAGGATTATAAACACAAAAAATCAATAGGACAAGCTGTTTGGAACACGGGAATATGAGGAATTCTAGAGTGGATATTAATTTGTATGCATTTTACAACATGCTAAGCTATTATTAATGGATCTATTGTCAATGGATCCATATAACAATACTCCACTAGCACCGTAGTTGAGAAAGCGGGTGTTCGGTGCCCTCAGCGATGGCACACCACAACGCCGCAACAGGCCTAGCATAGATTTGCTATACTAGTTATTGTTGGTGTAGCTGTAGCGATAGCCACATCAACTTATATCAATCTCAATCAAACACCCCCAAAGTATACTCGCGAAACTTTACGCCGATCCGACACGAGAGGAAAAAGGAAGAGAAGAGGTCCATATTCCCCAAATGATGATGGGAGTAGGAAATCTCTTCCTCTAGATTTCCTCTTCTTGTGTTACAAAGATGTCGTGACCTTGAGTCATGGACAAGTTCGAGGATAGACGGAAAAGTTCATTTTCTCCGCTTATCATAAGAAATGAGCTCGAACACAAAATGCACAACTTTAGTGATTGATATTCTTGTCTTGCTATAGGATTTTGGCCGGCTTACAACTTTGCCCTTATGGATATATGAGTTTACCATAATGCCCTTGCCAGGTCAGCAACCCTAAGGACATTTTGATACATTTTAGAGGTCATTATGGTCATTTGGCGGCAACTGATAGAAGTAGTTGGGAGTGGCCTCCACGGAATCTTCTTGTGGTATCTTCATTGCTCGAGTAGTGTTTTCCCTCAAGTTCATTGGCCAAACGCACTTTCCATCTTGAGAGTTCATACATTCCTTCTCACTTGCTGGGCCCTTGAAATTTACCAGTCACAAGTTGAAAACCCACTCGGATGGAACTTTGCCACTCGAGTGAGACTTTACTACTCGAATAGTATTTTACCAATCGAATGGGAATTTATCAATCGGATGGTACTCTACCACTCGAATGGTATTTTACTAGTCGGATGAGAATTTACCAATCGGATGGTACTCTACCACTCGAATGGTATTTTACCACTAGGATAGTATTTTACCACTTTAATGGTACTTTACCACTCGGATGGTAATTTCTGAGTCACGAGCTTTTTCCAAGTTGGACACTTAGAATTCTTAAGACCTCTTTTCCTTTGGTGTTTTGACCGGACTGGGAGGATGGTGTTTACCCCCTGCTACAACAAAAGACATTAATAGTACCTAATCCTTTGAAAATGTATGGTTCATTAAAAATACACCAATCCAAAGGAGGAGGGGGGAAAGCAATACATACTTTACTAATTTTTGTTAATGCACGGTTATTTGACTTCTTGTCAAAATTTTAAAATTACCTATGGATTTGTTTGCTTTGGTTCACTTACAACATTTTTGTGACAAACAAATATAAATAGACAATTCCAATGGATACATAGACAAGAAATCAAACATTCCTTAGGTTTTGATTGCTCGAACAAATTAAAGGTATAAAGCAAATGCATTGTCTATTTGGTATTCATATCTTTTTCTAATACAGTTACTTTTGGATTGTTTCAATTGCTTCAAGATTTGCTCAACCAGGTAACCCTAGTACCTCTTTTCTCTCCACGTTCAAACCATTGGTAAAAAAAATGCATGACCAAAATTTAGGAGTTGCTAATAAAACAAAACAACCGGAAAGCTTGTTTACTAACAAAATTTATTTCTATACATCTTGTCGGGTCATCTCATGTTGTCGTTTCAAATGTGTTTCACGTTGTGGTGTTCCTAATGGAAATGACGATGGGTATTGAATCAGTTAGTTGTCATTGGTTGCTGAATGTAGTATTCAACATAACATGCACATAAAAGGCCATCTGAGGCCCACTAGCCCAATCAAAAAAAACCGTGATGATGTAATGATGCACTGGAGAGTAATACGTACGTGTGGGGTAGTCGCTGTTGTAGCCATTGTGTGTGCCCCCATCATCTTTTGTTTTGGCTAGCCACTCCAAACCACTATCCTCGGTTAACGTTGTCCTTGCCCACCACCTTATTCTCTTACTATTGATCAATTACCCTTCCACCGCCCTCACTTCACCTTGTTAATATAAACCATACACTTGTCGTTGCTACTATATCAGAGCAAGTATAATAGTAAGCTATAAGCCTACTATAAGCTTCGGTGGAGGAGAGAGTGTAGGATCAAATAGCAATAACTAAGCCAACCAGAGGGGGTGAATAGTTGGTATACCCAAAAAACAAAAACTTTTAGCGGAAATAAAAGTTACCCTCGAAATCGATGGATCGCGGTCTGACCGAAGATGTTGCGCCGGTCTGACCGCCTGATGAACATCGGTCTGACCGATGTAGATCGATCGGTCGAACCGCCGAAGTCGCCTGCCTCGCCTGCTGTCGCCGCCGGTCTGCCACCGCATTGCCGCCGGTCTGACCGCCGGTGTGTCGCCGGTCTGACCGCCGGTGTGTCGCCGGTTAGACCGCCGAAACCCGGTAAACACAAATCGAAGAACTCTTAAAGTGGATGACGACTTTATTGATTCTCTCTGTGTTTACAAAGTGCACCAACAACACTCCTTACAAAAATTTCGACTAAACTCGAAACCCTAACTCAAAACTCAACTTAATTGCTCTCAAAAGCGATATCGGGAAGCCTCACGCTCCCCCTCTATTTATACATGAGGTAGGCAGCCTAAAGCCACGAACCAAACTCATACTAGGAGTCCTAAACACCTTAGGAAACCCTCTAGTACAAGAAACAAACTTTACATAACCAATCATACCAAATTTGGACTCCTTCCAAATTCGAGTCCGCATCCCATACGCACATAATAACTCCATCGTATGCCATATGGAATCTCCATCAACCACGTGCATCAACTCTAGCCTAAGTATCCCGCATGATCTCTGACCACCACGGACGTCGTCTTATCCCCAAGCCGACTCCCGGTCCATCACCGCAAATACTCTCCCGAGACATCGAGTCACCTACACATGAAATAAACAAAGAAACCATATTCGGAGACCAAGCTATCTCCAACTTGACTCATTAGTATCAAACAACAGTATTACATACGTATAGTATCCATCTAGAAGCCATAATCATGAAATAATCACGGATATCCAAACAAACAACCCGAAACCGAAACCGACACAGAGTCGGCCGGTCAGACCGCGGGCTGGCCGGTCTGACCGCTCGATCACTGCCGGTCTGACCGGCATACGCACCCCGGTCTGACCGGTCACATAAAATGATAGCACCTGTAATTCACCTGTAAATCCAATCATCTTCAAAACCACTTCGTGAATAAATTCCAAATAACACAACCAATAATCTCCAATGCCCAATTGTTCATCACAGAATAATAATCAAAAACACCTTTGATTTTACAGAGAGATAGTGAAAAATCAAGGGTGTTGGCTCTCATACAAGAGCTAGATTATTACAAACTCCAAGACAAATACATTAAATGTATAAGTGAGAGACAGAGAAGAGAAGAAAATTATAGCCAACCTTATAGCTAATCTATTATATCTGTTGGCTTTAAAATGTGCTAATAGTAGGAAGTGAGCTGTACTATTATCCTTGCTCTCATACAACTGTCTCATGATTAAAAAACGTGGTAATTTTGCTATATATTAAAGTCCCCTGCTACCTTCATTTCTCCTTTTTACCGTCAACTATAAGGTAGAGGCTAAAGATAAGCGTCTCTTTGAGCTAATAGATAACTAATTCTCTCTTAACTAGAAAATCTCGATTGAATTATAGAAGCAACAAGCGAAATTGGAGTAGTCTAAATCGTAAACACGAAGTTATGAGAGAGCAATACGAGCGTTGTACCGTTAGGCAGAGTGGTTGAATGTCGTTTACCCCCAAAATATACTACCAATAGGTAGAGTTCCTTGCCTATGGTAGCTTTTAAATTCAAATGTAAAAAACACTCGATGCACTAGGCTCATTTCATTAATTAATGCTTTCGGACTCGACCGTGAACTATTCCTAGTGTTCTATCGAGCTAATTAATGACTAAGCAAACCAACCTTTGACACAATAGGAGAAACATCGGTAACTGACTACTCCCTCCATCCAAAAGTTTTAAGATATATTTTATTTTTTGGTTTTCTAAAAGTTTAAGTCCTATCCATATAGTCATTACTATGTGTTATATTAAATTTTTGAGCGGAGCCTAAGAAATCATTATACTTCAGTACTTATTGGTTACATGTTCATTGATTTTGTCACATAATGAATTAATTAATTACTCACTGGCCTTGGTCAAAAAGAAAATAGGTCTTGGACTTTTTGGATGGAGGGAGTAAAACCAAGAAATCCCCCGTCATTAATATGGTGATTAGGAGTAACTTTGTCATTTATGTTTTTCCCCGGCTAGATTGATCTGTGGTCATCCGTTGCACCGGCATCGATGATATTCCATAAAAAATCCAGAAAGAGAAACAAATATTTAATCATTGCTAAATGACAATTATACACCATGCACATTATTCTTTTTTACAATAAATATCACTCCATATTTCTACTACCGTTAATTGAAATAATTGTAAAAAAGATCTAAATCCTCCAATCAAATAAGACCAATGAATGCACCATAGTGAGACTTTAAAAGAAGAGAAATTTTACACTACATTTTTTAGAGTAAATTATATTAGCGGTACATAAATTTGTCAGGTGCGTGCAATTTAGTGTATGAACTTATAAAATGCTCGTCTCGTTTTGGTGCATGAATTTGTCTGGTATGTGCAAACTAAGACTAAAATGGTGCGACAAGACCGATTTTTCTTAGATTCCACTTTATCTTTCTTTGTTTCTGTCCCTTGCATCATTACTCAAATTTTTATTTTTTTATACAATCATTATGCCTTATTATATGTTTATCCTTCTTAGACTAATGTTTACATAGAGTTTAAATCAACCACAGAATCAACAAGATTAACCTTGCAGTGCGATTTTGACATTATTCGCACGCATCAAACAAGCTCGTGCACAGAAACGAGCGTTTTAGAAGTTCATGTACTAGATTGCACCAACCTGACAAGTTCGTGTACCGCTGATGCAATTTACTCTTTTGTTTATCTCAAAATACACAGTATCTAAAAGTATTAAGTTTTATATTAAAAAAATACGGTGTCTCTCGATACATTAATTATCCAGAATGGTAAAATAATTCTTAAAAAGTATATTTTCGCCCTCGGAATCAAAAACATTTTTGAGTTGCCCTAGCGTGGGGAAAATCTGCAGAATGACACGCTAATCTTCTGCCCCCACCGCTCACACGATTACATGGACAACCGCCACGTACGATAATTAAGGGCACAAGGCTACGGCCTCACCCGTGTTCACCGTGTACGCAACAACAGTACGCATGCAGGAGTATCTTTTTTCTTCGGAAGAGGAACAGTGACGCCGTTGCTACCTCCAAGGAGAGACGGGACGAAAAGATCGAAGGACACTTGAGACGTGCGCCACATTACAAATGCACGTACGCCGTGACAGGACAACACAATGTGTGGGTGTATTACTCCTATAAGGCTTACTGTGCCTACTTTTTATGTACCGGCACGTAATAGGGCTTACTAGAATCTAGACTATCAAATCGTGTGTGCTCTAGCGACGCATGCAGCTTTCTACAGGACAGGTCGTTTTCACGTAGTATCGATCGGTAGCTCGCTCCCTTCCTCCAAGTATTGGACAAAAACCAAAAGCTAGCGTGAATGCAGATACATCGATCCGGACCAATGCAACGAGCTATGGAGATTTGTCAAGTCAACCGCGTGCAGCAACTATAGCCCAACACTACAGTGGCCGCTATATAACGAGCCCAACGCGACGCACAGAGGTGTGTGGGCGAAACACAAGAAACAACCGGAGAAACCGAGCCCGGCCGACCGCAAGGACAGCAAGCTAGTAGCCATCCTCGCATGGATCCCAACGATGCCTTCTCGGCCGCGCACCCGTTCCGGTGGGACCTCGGCCCGCCGGCGCCGGCGCCCGTGCCACCACCGCCGCCACCACCGCCGCCGCCGCCGCCGGCTAACGTGCCCAGGGAGCTGGAGGAGCTGGTGGCAGGGTACGGCGTGCGGATGTCGACGGTGGCGCGGATCTCGGAGCTCGGGTTCACGGCGAGCACGCTCCTGGCCATGACGGAGCGCGAGCTCGACGACATGATGGCCGCGCTCGCCGGGCTGTTCCGCTGGGACCTGCTCCTCGGCGAGCGGTTCGGCCTCCGCGCCGCGCTGCGAGCCGAGCGCGGCCGCCTGATGTCGCTCGGCGGCCGCCACCATGGGCACCAGTCCGGGAGCACCGTGGACGGCGCCTCCCAGGAAGGTATCTTACGCATCGATCATACCACTATCTTTCTCCTCTTGTTTCATGTGATTACCGAACACGCTCGTGCGTATTAAGTGCGTACTGTGTGTTCTTGCGTGTGAATTGCGACGATGTCATCATGCATGCATGCAAAAGCTGATCGGTTAAATTCTTAACCATGTTCCTGTGCTTGTTCTGTACACGATGCTGTGATGCATGCATGCACGCGAACAGTGTTGTCCGACGAGCATGACATGGCGGGGAGCGGCGGCATGGGCGACGACGACAACGGCAGGAGGATGGTGACCGGCAAGAAGCAGGCGAAGAAGGGATCCGCGGCGAGGAAGGGCAAGAAGGCGAGGAGGAAGAAGGTGGACGACCTAAGGCTGGACATGCAGGAGGACGAGATGGACTGCTGCGACGAGGACGGCGGCGGCGGGTCGGAGTCGACGGAGTCGTCGGCCGGCGGCGGCGGCGGGGAGCGGCAGAGGGAGCATCCTTTCGTGGTGACGGAGCCCGGCGAGGTGGCGAGGGCCAAGAAGAACGGGCTGGACTACCTGTTCCATCTGTACGAGCAGTGCCGCCTCTTCCTGCTGCAGGTGCAATCCATGGCTAAGCTGCATGGACACAAGTCCCCAACCAAGGTACGCGTGATTTACGAGCATTACGTATCTTACGTACTCTATATCTTACGTACTCCTACCCTACTATGCTCGCGTTCTTGCATAAGCATGCAGACGTAAGACGATCTGAATAAGGGAACGTTCGTTCCTGGGCAATCTGGGGGATTGAGAGACAAAAGCATCTCGTTTTCCGTGCGCACGCTTCCCAAACTGCTAAACGGTGCGTTTTTTACAAAAAATTTCTATAGGAAAGTTGCTTTAAAAAATCATATTAATCCATTTTTGAAGTTTAAAATAGTTAATACTCAATTAATCATGTGCTAATGGCTCACCTCGTTTTGCGTATCTTCCCAATCTCCCCAATCTCCCCAATCCCCTTCTCCTCAAACACACCCTAAGACTACTGTCATCCCAACGGCTCGACTTGTTTATTGTTTATTACTCATTCACAGTTACTCCTATAAGTACTACTAGTAGGAGCAAATACATCGTGCTGCCGTCAGATATGGAGTAGGAGTATTCTGTTGGCCAGTCTTGAGTTAAAAAGGTGCGAAAGATTCATTATCATTGCATGGTAACAAACAGTTGATTACTAAAGCATCTAGTAAATAACTTGAGTATTTTCAATGCTTAAGTTTTCCGCCTATTCAAAACTTTTAGCATTGGCTCTTTGACTTAAAAGGGCGACAGTGTTTAAAATTTCTAGAAAATCAACTGTACAACGGGCAAAACCTTTTGAAAAACATTCGTAAAACAGCAGGAATGCTCACTTTCCTTCTGTAAGACTTGCTAGGGTGTTAATCTATTCTACCAATTCATGCTCACAGACGAGGAACACACATCACATGGTAACAGGATGCTCCCTGTTTCTGTCATACCGGTATTTCTGCCATGCACTCGTGCTCTCCCTGTTTCATTAGTCCCATGCATAGCCGTCCGTTCGCTTTGTTACAAGCAAACAGTGATTACGTAGTGGATGCTTCACGTACGCGGGTAGTAGAAGAATTCAGGAAGAGCTGGACACGAGCGCGTACGCCGATGCGCAGTAGTACCAAGTACCAACCTGAAAAAGAGTGCCGACGTGTCAGTTGCAGGTAGGCTGGCAAAGCCTGCGTTCCATGTGTTGTCTTGTCGGGCCCTAGCCATCAGCGTAGGCATGCATGGCAATGGAGCCACACCCCACAGCCATGGAGCCATATGGAGGTAGGGGGAGGAGGACGGCCACTTCCTCGGATTCCGTGGCGGCAATCCCTCGCACGTACGGCCATGTGAGCTCACCTGCCGCCGTGGATCAGGGCGCTCAGCTCGGAGACGGTGCAATGAAATGAATGCACGCACGGCCTGGTCGGGGTTCCAGGGTGATTGGATGGCTTTGCATCCCGTCCACTCACAGCCCGGACGGACCGGCTGCTGCATCGATGCGCTCCTGCGCCCCCAAGCAGCCGATCAGATCCGTGATCTCACTGTGCGACGCATGAGTCATGTGCACGAGCTAGCTGCACGCACACGCGAACGTCTCGGTGGTGAAACGCAATGAAATGGCCTTCATGCATCATGCATGTATGGGTGGATGCAGGTGACGAACCAGGTGTTCCGGTACGCGAAGAAGGTCGGGGCGAGCTACATCAACAAGCCCAAGATGCGGCACTACGTGCACTGCTACGCGCTGCACTGCCTGGACGAGGAGGCGTCGGACGCGCTGCGGCGCGCCTACAAGGCCCGCGGCGAGAACGTGGGGGCGTGGAGGCAGGCCTGCTACGCGCCGCTCGTCGACATCTCCGCGCGCCACGGATTCGACATCGACGCCGTCTTCGCCGCGCACCCGCGCCTCGCCATCTGGTACGTGCCCACCAGACTCCGCCAGCTCTGCCACCAGGCGCGGAGCAGCCACGCCGCCGCCGCCGCCGCGCTCCCGCCGCCCTTGTTCTAAGCTCGCCGGAGACTCTGCTGCTGTTCCCGCGCCGCCACGGCGCGTGGGAGTTTCCTGTGGTGTTGGGCCGTGTTTTCGTTGTAAGGCAGTTAGGTCGTTCTAAGCTATTCGATGGGCCGATCGAGGATGCGTCGTCGTGTAGGAACTCGTCGTGTACCCATGTTTGCGATCTGGATGGCCCATTTGTTTAGCTGTTACCATGTTAAATTCGTTTCCTTTATTTATGAAATGCTAAATCCTAAATGTCGTGAATTTTGCATCGTCTGACGAAATGTTATGACATCCTTGGTTCAAGCAGCTCTATTTATGAAATGCTAAATCCTAAATGTCGTGAATTTTGCATCGTCTGACGAAATGTTATGACATCCTTGGTTCAAGCAGCTCGAATATGTGATAATCGTGACATATCCTCATGGCCAAATAGATATTGGGGTTAAATTTGAAGAGGACTCGACGGGTAAATGGCCAATAGACCACCCTCATGGCCACATATCGTTTAATTCCATGCTAAACACCTTCTACCTCCTCATTTTGAATCTCCCTTATTTATTTTAATGCTTGTAACAGCAGGCACCTTCTTCTTTTCTCTTAAAGAAATCCACCTGACCAATTAGTATGGGCAGAATTGGCGACTGTCAATAGAGAAAAAATCCCATTGCTAAATAGCAAGTTCGTGAGTAATCAGAATTGGCTAGATGTGCTTTTATCATGGTAAAAGAACTGAGAAAATCATACAGGTTCATAATGTCCCATTTGCAGAAACGGGTGCAAGCAAGAGTGACAGATTCCTGAAAATATTACTAGTAGGCATTTTGATCAGATCAAGCACACAGAAAATAAAACTGAATCAGACATCTCATCAGACAGGACTATAGATTAAATTATGCAAGTACTTGAAACTCCATTCCAGAGGACCAAATGGTACCAAGTTGCAATAGTAACATTGAGGTCTCAACAAGATCACTACTAAAGCATGACAAAAATAGGTCGAATCACATCGTCTCGTAAGGTACATAAGCAGCATTTTGGAACAAATGATCACTTCAGTAGCACGAGATGGTAATGTCCTCAAATATCAAGCCTGAAAAGGTAATAAAACATAAAGATGGTTATACATACATGATTTCAGGACAGGCTACAGTGAATAGTTTATTTTCATCAATTACATTTAGATACCCATTAAAACATTTAATCAGATATAAATTCAATTACAGACATACTCCGCACTAAGCTATTTGAGCTTACTATATAATCATAAACCGATTCAATCAAATGGCAATCCCATCCTAATAACTCCTATCTCACCCTATGATTTTCCGTCGCCATACAGGAATCAAAAGTCTCAAAAAATATCGGGCAAAGTACCTTGCCAATAAACATCAGGAAGGTTAACTAAAGCTTAACATAAATGCAGTATGTTGCATAGAGAAACAATGCGAGTAGTACACTGAAAATAACCTAGACAACCAAAACAGCAAAGTTACACAATAAATTGCACGGTTCGGCAGAACAAGTGAAAAACAGGATGGTAAGTGTAAACAGAAACGGTCACTTAATATCACGAGTATAACGCATGACAAGTGATGATCAACTCTTGTTAAAGTTACAAAACAAGTAATTCCATTCATATTATTCAACGTTGCAAACAAAGAGTACAGTGCGTGGACTTGGTTAAAAAAAGTTATATATGCTTTCATACTAAGAATTATAGGGTTACACAGCTATAAAAGCAATGAGGCCAAATGCATTTCATTTTCAACCAATACCATGTTGGTACATATAAACCTACATATGGAAAAATAAACATTACAGCAGAACAGTACGGCACTAACAGACTTGTGTCATGAAAATTTTATGAATTTAACAATTGCATTGCAAGTTAGCTACAAAAAAGGGTAACAAGAAAGACGCATTTGTATACCTTTTAAGCCGAAGGGATCTCGACCTCGCCATCGGAGATCTCCTGCTGCAGATCCTTGGGGTCCTTGCCGTCGACGGTGCACCCAACGCTGACGCAGGTCCCAAGGATCTCCTTGACGGTCCCGGCCATCTCCTTGGCCATGGACCTGTTCCTCATGATCCTGGCGATCTCGATGACGTCGTCGAGGCTGATGTTACCACTGTGCTTGATGTTCTTGACCTTCTTCCTGTCCCGCTCGGGCTCCTTGAGGGCCTTGATGACGAGCGCCGCGGCGGAGGGGACGACGGACACCTTCGCCTGACGGTTCTGGACGGTGAGCTTGACGGTGACGCGGAGGCCCTTCCAGTCCTTGGCCGTCTCCTTGGCGATGTCCTCACCGATCTTCTTGGGGGAGAGACCGAGAGGGCCGATCTTGGGGGCAAGGGACGACGCCGCGCCCACCTCGCCTCCGGTCACGCGGACGAACACATCCACCACCTGCGTCGGGTCGAGCTTCGGCGGCATGGCGAGCCCTCGGTTGCAGGTGGCGGCGGCGGCGGCTGGGAGTGGGTTCGCGGGGAGGCGCTACGGGTGGGAGTGGAGGCGCAGTAGGGTTTCGACTCGACCGGGTTACTTGGATTTAATATAGCGGCCTAGTTGTGCTTACTTTCTGATTGGGTTGGGCCTTCGTGGAACCACTTGAAAGGCCCATTAATTAAGCCTATTTGGGGGAATAAGCTTTTAGTACGTGACTATGAAGCCCAAAACTCTTTCGACTTCCAAAAGGAATAAGTCCACGTTGGCTCCCTCAATTATATGTACAATCTGATTTGTACTCTTCAACCCCAATACTAGATATGAATGCTAACAAAATGGCTCCCTCGGTGATTTTGAGGGTGGTTCTCGCTAACGTGGTTTGTTGACCTAATCTAACCTGCCGAGTCGGCATACAGGACTCGCATGTCAGTGACTCTACCTCTTCGCCTCCAAACCTTACCGCGTCGCAAACCATGTTGCCTTGCATGGTTGGCGGGGAAACCGACGCTGCATCATCGAGCTAAGGAGGTTGATCGACACTAAGCTCAAGGAATCCTCAGCGTCGCAAAGAGATTGAGGAGGTGCATGATGATATGGGCTCCACCTCGGGCCACCATCTTCGAGTGAAGCTGACCTGCACTCTATCCGGATCGAGGTCAGCCTCCACGCCATGCTCGAGTACGACTATGATGCCACCTCTTGATCGAGGACCTGCTAACCGAGGCGGGCGAACACAAAGAGAAGATCCACGGTCCATTTCTCTGTCCTCAGCGATGTAGCATCCAACCATCGTACCTGATGTCATCAAGACTGACAACAGCGTCATTGAGACAAATGGGGATCAAGAGACCGAAAGGTCGAGAGGATATATGATATAAGACAAACAATCCCTAACATTTAGGCCCCATATGCTAACTCAACTGGTTGGATTAGGTCAACGAACCATGTCACTAAAAACCACCCTCAAAACCAAATAAAAAAAAATCATTTTTCCACCGATTTTTAATAGTAGGGGATTAAAATATCGGATGCTACGATTAAAGGATGTGAATCAGATTGGACCAATATTAAAGGACTTTAGTGGATTTAGTCCTATCCAAAATAGAGTCCGTTCTGGTGTTTAGTCCACAAACCCGTGGAAGTTTGGGCTACCTCTTACCAAATGTGGGCCGAAGTTTTGGACGCTAATCGTGTGTCGTGGAAACACAGAAATATCTGGCACGTCTGTTTCATCATGAACAATTTTGCTATATCTCACTCGAAAGATTTTTTCTTATCTCTCACTCGATTTTCTCACTCAAATTTACAGTGCATTTTCTTGTAAGTTACAGTGTAATTTATGAAACTTACACTGCAACTTTTGTAAGTTACAATGTAATTTTTGAATCTTCGCATGTAAATTTTAAATTTTGTATTGGATTTGGTCTTTTTCTTGAGGATATAGTAATTTAGTGTCCATTATGGTGTTTCTTAATTGCTTTTTGCTTTTTATTATATCTATCAGATTTTAATCCAAAAATTAAAAATCTGTGTGATACGATCATAAAATTCTTTCGAAAGATGTATAGGTACTCCCCATCATGAAATAAAACGTTGAGCAAACCGACAATTTTAGTTATAAAAAAACCCGACAATTTTCCCTTTTCCTTTTGAAAAGGATAATGTTTGTGCAGGATTAGTCAGGGCCAGCGCTAGTCTGATAGGACTTCAAGCGCGGTGGCAGCCGAGACGAGTACGACCGTCCAAAGCTCTTAGGCCGGTGTGGTCATTTTTCTTCGTGCGAATTCAAGCCGCGGATAAAAGTGTCTCCACCGATCACGACGTGACTAGTCAGGATCTTATCTCAGTCCGGGTTCGCTCGCGCACTACGCCAACACACCGCGCTGGAAGCATCATCGACGACGATGAACTCATGAAAGGGACGCCGTTCCGGCTCCGAGCGGTGCGTTGTACGGCACGGCACGGCACGGCTGGTGTGCCCCGGAATGAGCCATCGTTGTTGGGGTTAGCTACTAGATAGGCGCCATCTCATCGCGTTTCCACTTTTGCAGCGATTGGCGAAACGAGCGGGTGTTTCCATTTTCCAGCCGGGGATCTGATTCTAGCTAACGACAGGTGCTGTACCCCTATACCCACGCACGTACGTCGGGAGAGATCGAGGGGGGGAAACCGTGGCGGGCCACACGGGCACATGCATGAACTTAAAACGAGAACAAATTTTTACTCCATGTTGGCCCTATGGTTTTCGCTTTGGCGAGATGCCGTATTAATTGTCGTAAGCTGGCTCTTCAATCACATGGCATGTTTGTTTGTTCAGTGGCGCTTCCACCATCGTACCGGAACTACTGTAGCGTCGCGATCAGCAACTGTGCCGGGATAAATTACTGTACACTCTAGTGGTTGCGAGATTCCGTTTGGGAATACTACGGTACTATACTGCTAGCTACGAGTAGTCACCGATAAATCGCGCAGGAGCACGACGTGTGGCCGGGCGGGCCATAACCCGTACACGCCGCATCTGGTTCCGGCTCCCACATCGCGTCGCACGCGTTGGCGGCCGGTGGCAACCGAGCACGGCGCGGCGCTACCAATGCCGTGGGACACGTCGCACGCTTTCGTGACCAGGTGACCCCAACCGCGCCCAAATCGATCGCTTTTCTGGCTCCCCATGGACAAACCTGAAACCTGGCACGGAGAAGGCGTCAGCTATGACACATGTAAGTAGCAACCGAATCGGGTCTATCTTTAGGCTGCCGAGACGCATCATCGTCTGCGTCTGGTGCCGTGCCTATGTGCATCATCTTCAAGGCTTCAACCGTGCGCGGCGCACACGCACGCAAAGGTAGCTACTGCCCGTGCCGATCGATGTCCCACTGTCCCGTGCTTATCCTAATCCTGGGGTGCCATCATGTATTCAGGTACCAGTAACGCTCCGCCAGTGCGAATTCCCAACGACCAATCGGTTGCGGCAGATAGCCTGACGCCACCTATCGGGAGAAACTTGCACTGGCAAGCCAACGCCTTTGCTCTTTTCGGCCTCTTCCTCGTAGTCGTAGACATGGGAGGGGACAAATTTGAGAGATGTTTGAAAATTCTGGAATTCTGGAAACTCCGGTCCATGAATATCTGGACGATATCAGAGCAGTACTGCCTGTTGAATGATCAATGATCGCTAAGTCAAAACGATGACAGTTAATTTACCAGCACAGATCATGCGTTCGTGGCTCCATTATCAACTTATCACGGCGTCCTGACTTCCGTACACGCACACAAGGGCAGGCACGTGTAGCGAGTACTAATTGACCAGAAACGCACTCGGAGTCGGTGCTTAATAATCCGGATCTCGCATGGCATATTCCGATGTGGGCTACACAGTACACTTGATAGGAGAAACTGTACCAGGTACGAGCTAATCAGCTAATTAACGGCGGCCGGTGGAAGACGAGACCTAAGACAGGCTGCACGTACTTATTCTGCTCTGGGTAAGTCCATCCCCAACCCAATGTCTAAGATGGTGTCCATAGCATTAAATAAGTTGTCACCTAGGAAAAAAAATGATGTGGCAAGTGAATAAATGAGGAAAGAAAAGGAAACCATGTCTTGCATGAGACATTGTTTCTATACAACATCCAAGACATCATGTGAGATAAGGGCACCCACAATGGTTATCTATAGGCTCTCTATAAGAGATCCATGTCAGCATATTTTTCTACTTGGAAGAGATTAAATGAAGAGAGAGAGCAAAGCTATCTACTAACCTGGAGATAGTCTATAGAGAAAAACGAGGCAATGTATTAGAGAGCTATAGATACCCATGTAGACATACTATTGAGATGGTTTACTATTAATCTAGTCTATTGCTGAGATGTACATGTTTTATAGATAGCACCTTACTTTACCATTGCAGGTGCTCTAAGTAGCATTAAATTGAAGTATAGAATAGTGGTGTTTGCATTGGAAGAGTAGTGTATAATACTAGTTTCTTGATGATGTGGAGTTTATGAAAACCATGTCTAGTGTTTTGGGTTGGGTCTACCCTAAGCAAAGTTATGCTTATTTTTTAATTATGTAGCCCTCAATCTCCAATGCATGCACTGCTGGTCAATTCGCAAGTATTACTCCCTCCATTCCAAATTGATCTATATATTTTATAAGTACACCAAGATCAAGAAAAACTAATAACTCTCTCATACTATATTTATTCTAGCAACAAACTCGATGCATACACCATCCCCACTATTTCTTAGCCAATAGCAAATCAAGATATTGCATGTGGATTATAAATACTTGTGTGTATGGATGTATGCATCAATGTCTATTTACTCCAATGCACAAATAACGAATAGACTTAACGAATAAACACAAATATGTAGATCATTTATAAATAACCTAAAAAAAAGGGTGAATAGCTAATTTAGTCCCTCAAGTTTCAGCGAAGACTCAATTTGGTCATTTACATTTCATTTTGTCCACGTAGGTCCTTCAAATATTTGTTTTGGCTTGAAATCATCCTTGGGTCCACTTAATATGCCATATGGCTATTTCTAGTCAATATTTCTATTAGAAAATGTCCTTTTTGCCCTTAATTTATATACATCTATATACTAGAAAAGAGAAAGCCAACATGAATAAACAACATTACAGATGTACTTCCCATTATTTCAACATGTGCACATGAAACTTAAGCAATTGCTATCGTATACACTTGTTAGTACATATTTTTTTTCTTCGTTTTACATAATATATACTATGTATTATCTATAAAAAATTCAAGCATGCAATTTTTCTCTTGTATATGTAAATGATGAGGGGTATAAGTGTCATTTATGAAGAGAATTGTTGGTTCAAGGATAAGTTTGAACTAAAATGAAAACTTGAAGGACTAATATGTATAGATTGAAATATCAAGGACTAAACTGAGCCTCAGATGAAACTTGAGGACCACTTTGGTTATTCACCAAAAAAAAATATGTAGATCAATTTGGAATGGATGGAGCAGTATATCTGTTGTCATCGACGTTCCTACTCCATTAGTAACAGCATACTCCATCCGTCCGAAAATAAAAACCGATCTAGACAGAATGTATAGATCGTTTTTTTTTTAACGTAGCTCATAGTATTATGTACCATATGTGCATATGTATACTCCTCAAATTTGAAACCTTTTGTTTCCGTAAGGTTTGGGTGATGGAAAGTTGGTGGGTTTTTTTTTATGATTTTATTTACACGGGGAAGGAAACGAAGTTTTCCAAGCATATATTAACCATCAGCAGACGAAGACTCGCCTAGTTGCTTAGTATGAATGTTACTACTATATACGCTGTACTGTATCACTACATAAACACATTGATGTCGACGTCTACCAATACAAGTTGATTGTTAACGATATCTGAATGCTTCAACAATGCTATTTTCTCAGCACATTCGAATCAACGCTACTCAAAAAGTCTTTGATCCCCTTTAATTCCTTGTTCCATGTACTACTAGTGATAAAAAAACAGATTCGACCGTCCACCATTTTTCATTTGCAGGAAAAAGAATGCCATTTTGAATGAGAAATTTATTGCACAAAAGGGGCTGGAGTGGTAAACGAGTACGTTACTCATGCAGTCCCCCTCAACCCTTCTCTCTCTCTTATCCCTTGATGTTTATAGTGCCAACCATTTGAAATTCTAGATCAAGGTTTTAAAACTCCTTTAACAGTTTTGTGAAAACAAAAAGGTGTTTAATTGTGTTTTATATAACTATAAAACATCAAACAAACATTCCCAAGGACCAGTTTTCTCCGAAGTACTATAACCATGCAGTACAAATTGTTGAAATTCGCGTTGGAATTCAGCTGTTAACTTCTTTGTACCTACAAGTCACACCACACATGTTTGAAATGCGTGGCTCTGTCAAAAAGAAAAGGAAAGAAAGGGAAAAAAAAGAAAAGAAAAGGATCAAAGGAAAAAGAAAGAAACAAAAAAGAAATAAAAGAAGGCGTGATCTTAGTCATATAATCGGACGGCATAGCGCGGACGGAGTGTCCAAGAAGGCCAAGATCGATGCAGTCGCTTGAGGGACAGCATGCCTCAGCCGTTGGTTAGTTGGCTGCGGCCATCGCAATTAGCCAAATGGTCGTCACTACTGCGGCTTCCCAATCGCCGTAATATACCACCATTCTCTTTTTCCGTCCGGGTCACGGTGACTGTACGCTGGTGTACCGGCATCATCCTCCTCGGGGGCGCTATAAGTAGCCGGAGTGGTAGCTGAGCAGTCCACAGGATTGAAAACCCACTCTTCCGCTTCTCCTCCCAATCTCGCCGCCCAAGAAAAACACTGAACCTTCGCCTTCCTCTCTCGTCCGATCGACCTTTGCATGGCAGCAGTAGCTAGCTCCAAGGGGCGGGTGATCGCTGGAAGCTTCGTCGCCCGCGTCCTGGCCGGCAAGGCCGCCTCCCCGAGGTACGGTATCACTTCTGCTCGTCTTCCTTCCGTAGCTGTTCATGCTTGGTCTGAAGTTTCAGGCTCTGAACACGCGCAAAAGTTTTTTTTTTTTTTTTTTTTTTTTGTCTTCCGTGGTTATATAGCCTGGTTTTTATGTTTCAGACTGATTTTTATGGACTATGGAGCTTTACATGTTGTTCTTGCCGTAAGGAGTTTGATGGTAGTTCTAGTTAGTATGCTTAAAACTAGTAAAGATCTCCCATGCTTGATGCTTCCACATGATTTATGACTCTTGATATGGGCATCCTCAGTAACACTTCAGAAAGATAACCAAGACTTGTTTAATCTCCTGACTCAAACAATCGATCTGTGGTACCTGTAGAAACTAGAAACTAGAAAGTCTAGCGGAGTACTAGGATTTACCAAAAGAACTCTACTGGGCCAGATCCAGGGAGATATTTTTTTTTACTGCCTGCCTCCTTATCGGAGGGAGGAGAGAACTGGGGGCAAAAGAGAGGGTGGCATGCGTCACCGATGACCACCACCGGCCACCCACACAAAAGAAGATGAAGAGAGAGTAGTGGAAGCGTGCGACGTGTACACCGATGGGAGCGGAGCCACCCCGACTCGTCCGTCGTCGCTTTCCAAAAGTTCTTCGCTGAATTGGTTGATGGGTTGGTTTGGCGCGCGGTGGCTGTCGCTACTCGCTCCTGCAGTGTCCATCAAACCCTTTTTTTTTTAACTTGGTTTTTACTCAAAGGGAGATTGGCAAGCGGTGTAGAAGTGGGACTGACGTGGCGGGCCCCGTGGGTCGCCGTCTGGGCCCACCAGCCGTCCTTTCCCATCCGGCCCCGTACGATTCGTGTCACGCTCTCTCGATCTCGCCTGTTTCCTCCTGGAGCGGAGACCGATCCGGGCCGTCCATCAGCACCGCCCAGCTAATCGCACGGTGGGTATGTTACTGTACTGCCCAGATCGGTGACCGTACAAGCCGGAGCGGGTCGGATGGCATCGGTCTTATCCGCAAACCAACCAACCGACTCCCCCCTGCGTCGTTTGGCTGGTGTGCCGCTCACGTTCTCGCTTGTCCTCTTTCGCTGCTGCTGACCCCAGCAGCCACGACCGCAGGGAGCATGGGATCTTCAGTGCCGTCCCATGTGTACAATGAATATGCCTGGCCTAAATAAAGCCTGAAAATCACATTGCAAAGCAAGTCAAATTAACACAGTAGTAAGCAGGTGCGGTGAGAGATTGTCTTGGACTGATTTTGTGTGGTGTCTTGTGGGTTGCAGGAGATTTGTGAGCGCTTCAGCCTACGACAAGAACGTGGAAGAGCAGGTGCGCCCGGCGGTGGTGCCGGACGATGTGATCGGCAGCGTCGGGAGCCCTGACAAGTACTGGGGCCCTCACCCGACCACCGGCGTGTTCGGGCCAGCGGCGGTGGACGCCAAGGCGGCGGCGGCCGTTGGCGCGGCGAAGGCCGGCGCGAATGGTGGCGCCTCCGTGCTCGACCAGAAGGTTTGGTTCCGCCCCCTCGAGGACGTTGAGAAGCCTCCCGTCGCCTGATCGACAGGCCTAATACGAGCCTTGGCTCTGTGCCACCTACCATTCTCTTCAGCTGGGGCTCCTTGATTATTATTACTGTACTAGTAGTGTGGTTCTGCTAATATAGTATCAGCAGATCGACATGGCGTGCATCGGTAGTTACAGTGAGGCGATGCTGATGCCTAAAATAAGAACAAGCAAAAGACGTGTGCTCATGTTGCTTGTGGCTGTAATGTACTTCTGTCCTAATCCGTACTATAAGTATTTGGTTACCGGTGAATCTTTTCTGAGCGTGATGGTGCATAAATATTCTAGCTGTGTCCCCGTCGTTGGATGGTTTGGTTTGCAATCAGTGTCACGTGAGGGCACACGGTATTGATAAGAGCTGAATACCATCTTGCTGAATAGGGTGGCTGATCAGGAGCAAAGGACAATAGCAAATGATCCGGACATTTTGACACAAGTTTTGGATGCCCAAGAGCTGAAGAGCACAAGGTAGTGTGACGTTCATCAGATTGATGTTCCGATTACTCTCAAATTTGCCGGCTATATTTCAGAGTACTAGTACACTCTTGGACAGTGAGTATATATGTTTGAAAGGACACTAGTCTCAACTAGTTTGCCATTAGAAATCTAACAGATTGAGCAACTGCAAATAACTTTGAAAATACACACTTACAAACAGGCACACACGCAGCTGATGAAGTGATGAGCTTACTACGATCAGACTTTAAAATACAGTCGAATCGTACATAAATAGAAGAAGAAACATAAATAAATTATTCGAGCGGAGGTTGCAGAAACCATGGTTTCACAACACACGCATCTCGTCGATTTACGTGGCCATTGCGTGACCAAAACCCACACCAAACTATCACCAACCTCACAAAACAAACAGCAACGCAAACCCCATGATATGTTCTTGCAACAAAGACGTTGATCACACTTTCTATCTTCCAGGGTGGTGGTTGGCTTGTTGCAGGATGCTGTCCAGTTGTGTTGAATCAACAAACATTCTCGTCCAACCTGCCCAAGGCCACCCTTTTTGCTTCCTTACGCTGCATTATAGAGCCGTCTTAGTACTCAGCATTATATGATAAACTAGCATGGTGGCCCGCGCAGATTGCGCGGCTAGCATCATTATATTTTCTCTCATATAATAGCATATATTTTTCTCATTATATTATTAAAATATATTACAATAACAACATAATTTTAAATTTTGCAATAACTTTTCAAAACTACTAATGTGTAATAACTACTCTAGTCTCCTCTTCTAATATTTCTTATTTTTTAATTCTGAATTTCAGCTATTTCTAAATTGTATTTCTATATGGACTATGCTTTTTTTTCTCTGATTAATGTGAGAATTTCTAGGCCATGAGAGCGAACGTGGAGGCTCCTTTTTATTCTGAATTTTAGTTGGTTTTAAATTCCAATATAAACTTTATACTCTACTTCTAATATTCCTTATTTTTAATTCCAAATTTCTTTTTTTTTCTTAATTGTATTTCTATATGGACTCTATACTCTACTTCTAATATTTCTTATTTTTAATTTCGAATTTCGGTTATTTCCTAATTGTATTTCTATATGGACTCTATACTCTACTTCTAATATTTCTTATTTTTAATTCCGAATTTTAGTTATTTCCTAATTGTATTTCTATATGGACTCTAGTCTCCTCTTCTAATATTCCTTATTTCTTAATTCCTAATTTCAACTATTTCTAAATTGTATTTCTATATGGACTCTAGTCTCCTCTTCTAATATTCCTTATTTTTTAATTCCGAATTTCAACTATTTTTAAATTGTATTTCTATATAGACTCTAGTCTCCTCTTTTAATATTCCTTATTTTTTAATTATGAATTTCAGCTATTTCTAAATTGTATTACTATATGGACTCTGCCTTTTCTTTTTCTCTGATTAATGTGAGAATTTCTAGGTCATGAGAGCGAACGTGGAGGCTCCTTTTTTTTTCTGAATTTTAGTTAGTTTTAAATTCCTATAAGGACTCTATACTCTACTTCTAATATTTCTTATTTTTTAATTCCGAAATTTCTATTTTTTTTCTTAATTATATTTCTATATGGACTCTATACTCTACTTCTAATATTCCTTATTTTTAATTCAAAATTTCTATTATTTCCTAATTGTATTTCTATATGGACTCTATACTCTACTTCTAATATTCCTTATTTTTAGTTCCGAATTTCTATTATTTCCTAATTGTATTTCTATATGGACTCTATACTCTTCTTATAATATTCCTTATTTTTTAATTCCGAATTTCAACTATTTCTAAAGTGTATTTCTATATGGACTCTAGTCTCCTCTTCTAATATTCCTTATTTTTTAATTTTTAATTCCAGATTTTAGCTATTTCTAAATTGTATTTCTATATGGACTCTGTTTTTTCTTTTTCTCTGATTAATGTGAGAATTTCTAAGCCATGAGAGCGAACGTGGAGGCTCCTTTTTCTATTCCTTTAATTATATAATAGATAGTCTACAGTGCATAAATAAGGTCAGGTGTCATTACCTTGTGCTTAGTCAGCTGCTCCTTGAGCTTGGCTCTAAGAGTCCTTAGGCTAAGTTTAACTAGTTCCACAGGATCCTCCTTCTGCTTCTCCACAACCTTCACTTCGTTGCCGTCTTCCATTGCAGCTAGTTCAGTACTCTTCTTATTACTGACACCCATGGTTTCAGACACCATTTCCTCGGCAGCTGTGACCACCGCATCAGTGACATTGTTGGGCGTTTCAGTAGATAGTGGCAAGGTCCGAGCTCCCTCTTCCAAAAGAGAGGTATTGCGATCACCCAAGTCTCCAGGACCGTCGAACTTCAGTGTGAGGTCACCGGTGAACGCATTCTCCATACTGACATCCTCCCTCTCTGATGACACACTTTCTACATTGTCCCTTTCATTGTGTTCAACGGCATGGCAAATATCCGAGTTGAATTCATCTTGCTCGGTCTCTGAAATCTGCAGCAGATCCTCACTGGCCACAACTCCCTCCTCTTGAGCATTTTCAGCAGCATTTGTCTCTGTATCATGTGGCTCGTCAACTGTCTCAACTCCCTTCTCCTCAACTGCACAACCGGCCTCATTTGCTGCTTCCAGTGCATCCTCCCCAAGCTGAATGGCACCGTCAGCATCATTTGACAGTGTTTCATGCGGCTCATCGCCTGTCCTAACTTCCTTCTCCTCAACCGCAAAACCGACCTCATTTTCTGCTTCCAGTGCATCCTCTTCCTCGTTGGCCTCGCTGTCTGCCACCATAGTCTTCACAGTCGCTGAGCTCTGCTGCAGATCATCGGTGGCAAATACTCCCGCCTCTTCATCAGCACAACTGAGCTCTGCTGAGAAATTAAGCTGAATGGCATTGTCAGCATGCTCTGTCAGTGTACCAATCAGCTCATCAACAGTCTCAGATCCGTCCACTTCAACCGCAAAACCAGCCTCATGCGCAGCCTCCATTTCATCATCATCCTCTTCTTTGGCATTGCCAATATTGGTGGGCAATTCAGCATCCCTAGTTGCTTCGCCGCATGTCACCGTAACCAGCGGCACCTCATCAGCAGGCACGGCTTCCTTCTCTTCACTAACTGTGTCGGAACTCTCTTCAGTCGCCATGTTCTTGGGACACTCACTGTTGCACACAGGGGCTTCCTCACTCGCTCCAACAATTGTCCCAGTCACGATGCCAAAAATGGGCGAATCATCCTGGCTGATAGTCTGTTCAGCTTCGACAGCTGCCTGCTCATCTTCTACAACTGCATCAGGTGAGCATTCCTGAGCTACTGCCTCGACAGTTTCTGCAGGTGCTTCCACTTCTATCCCTGAATTTACCAATCGAACAGGCACACTCAAGTCAGACCTCCCAACTAAAGAAGAATGAAATGGAGCTAGTGAAATCGTTAACAGAACGGAGATCTCACCTTCCTCTTCCTGCACCGGCTTCTCTTCAACTACTGCATCAGGGTCAGGCAAGCATTCCTGAGCTACTGCCTCGACAGTTTCTGCAGGCACCTCCACTTCAATTCCTGAATTTCCCCAATTGAACAACATGCACACTAAATTCAGACCTCAAAACTACATAATAATGAAATGGATCTATTACAAGTTTCGAGCGAAATGGTTGATAGAATTGAGATTTCACCTTGCTCTTCCTGCACTGGCTCCTCGTGTGCGCTATTTTGCTCAGGCGCAAGAGGTTCTCTGGTTTCTTCCTCCAGCATATCGGGCTTCTTCGCCGCTGCTCTCCTCGTCGTCCGTCTACCCCTCGGCACCTTCTCCTCTGCAGATGCTGCTACAGTACTCTGGGCCCTCCGGCGAGTGGTTGGTGCCGGTGCAGCCTCCGTACTAGTCTGCGGCCTCCGGCGAGTGGTCGGAGCCGGTGGCGCTTCCACAGCCACATCACCTGTCTCGATCTTACTAGTGGGAGCGGCCCTTCTCCTCGTAGTTGGAGCGACCACGGGCTCGGCCCGGGCGCGCCTGCTGGCACCGCGCCGCCCCTCGCCATGCACAGGCGCGTTCTCGCCCCGATTTTCGTCCTCCTTGCCCTCCTCCTCGCCGTCGTCCGGCCTGATGAGCTTCGACGACCTGACCGTGCCGCGGCGGCCACGGGGGAGAGGGGCGTCCTTACTCTGCCCCGGAGCCTCCTCGTCGCTGTCGTCCAGGTTGACCACCTCCGGCGAGCTGACCGTGACGCGGCGGCCGCGCGGGAGCGGGCTCCCCTTCTTCTCGCGCGGATCCTCCTCCGCCACCGCCTTAACCGCCGGCTTGGTCGCCGGCGCCGGTGGCAGGGCGACTGCCTGCTTGACGAACTCCTCGATCCCATCAACCTGGAACGCGAAGGGCCCGGCGAGGTAGCACATGAGCATCCCGCACCAAACAAAATCCAGGACGGCAATGGGCGACTGAAGCGACGGCCGGTCGAACAGTTGACGGGGCTTACCGTGGCGAGCTTGGCGAGGGCATCGGCCATGGCGGCGTTGGTCATGTTGGCGCGGACGCCGTTGCGCTTGCACAGCGCCTGCAGGTCGCGGCGGGGGAGCGCGTGGAAGTCCATGCCTGCGTACTCGCCGTCGCGGACGCGCGCTTCTCTGGCTCTCCCTGTTTCGAGCTTCGATTTGAGCTGGTTCGTTTGCAGAATTGCAGTGGAACTTGTGGAAGGAGCTGGAGCGATGGGGAAAATGGGGGAAGGGAGCGTGGGAGTCGGATATAAAGGCGGAGCGGGGGTGGTTTTGAATTCGAGGAGGCATTTGACCGTTAGGCAGTCGAGGCTTTGCGGCCGATTTGTCTTCTCAATTCGAACGTTGCGGGGCCATGTGGTCCATATGGTAATGGGCCTCTCGATCTCGTGCCGGATTTTTCAAGGAATCTTTACATATTTTATTGGGGAATAAGTTCACTGTGACTCCCTCAAAATATACTACTATATCCAATCAAAATTGTTTCCCTCAAACCCAATTTAAGATATTTTAACCCTCTAGCTATTGAAACCGTTATAATTTGTCTCCTTCAACATTTGCACTGACATAGCTCGTTGATCTGATCCAACTGGTTGAGTCAGCATGCAGGGCCCACATCGACGAGCTCGATTGGGGGTAGGGAGATGGTGGGCTAGGAGCAGAGCGGAGCGAAAGTGGAGGCATGGTAGGAGGAAGAGAAAAAAAAACCCTAGCATGGCTTTCCGGCCATGTTGGGTTGCTATCGCGGTCATCGCCCTACTGTTGCCCTCCCCTCACAAGCCGGTACACCGTCTCCTTCTCCGGCATTGGTAGCACCAGGCGCATCCATGTCCACAACTTGCTGCCCTCCACGACAACGACGTAACCCCACGCTCGCAGAAGCCCAATCCCTTCTTCAATTGATTCAACAATCGAGTTCGCGAAGGGCGTCCTTCGCTCTGCTCCACGCTGCCGCTTTGCCTCCCCTTCGACAATGTTGGCATCGTCGCACTCCGCCAGGCCTCAGGTTACCGTCGCCACCCTCGCTCAATCCCATTCTTGCTCGTGGGCCTTGTCGCAAACCGCAATAGAGAGGGGAAGATGATGAAGAAAGCGACGTGGGTGGCTTCAGGGAGGAGGACGTTGGGCTATGGGTAGGTGCCGGCGGCAGAGACCCATGCAAAGCATGGTCGAACTGCCTCGGTCCCCATAGTTGGTGCCTCCTTGATCTAGGACGTGATGGATTTGGCCACCCTATGCACTTCTATCGGAAGACTACTGCATGGGCTTGTCTGAGCTCTGGATGCGTGACTAGTCAGGAACTTTACCATCGAGTGCCATTCAGAGCCAGAGTAGCTTGGTTTCTTTTGTTGCCGGATCCCAGAGCTTGAAGGGCCTCACCGACGATGGGGACAAGGAGATGAGCTTGAGCTCAAAGAGACCTTCCGACCACCACCGTTGCTTCCTTTCTTTCCATGGATGGGCAGGTGAACTTCTCATGGACGGGGTTCAGCTATCGTTGTGACCATAATGATTATGGGGATTATGGGCCAGGAGCGGTGTGGGCATATCAGGTGAGATTGGGCTGCCTGTTTCTTCAGCCGTCGCCTGTTCCCCATCCACCTCTCTGACACCTATGGCTACCAATGCTGGTGGTTACTGCCACCATCCTCGAGCACCTGCCATCGCTCCTGTCCTCTCTACTGCCGACGGGAAAGAGGGAGGAGAGAGAGATATGGGAGCAGAGAGGGAGGGAAATAAAAAGGGAAAGAATAGTGAGAATGACATGTCGACTCCATGTAATATTCCCAATTTTCTTACTAACTCGTGGTTTTGATTATGGTTAGCATGCCACATCAGCAAATACCATCCTTAATAGTATTATTGTAGGGGCTATTTTTAATCGATTTTAATAGTTGAGAGAGTCCTTATACCCGATTTTGGGTTTAAACGTTACGAATCAAAGTGGACGTTTTCCTTTTATTGGAGTAGCCTTTTGGACCGATCAGCCCCGGTGGCAAGCACACGGCCCATAAAGGAAGCTGCTGGGCTGTCAGCCCATCAAACCTTGTTTTTTTTCCTTGAACTTTACACATACTGTCGGCTGTCGCTATTGCTAGCTAGGAGTACAAGATTCTTCTGTAACACAATACGACCACGATTGCGTGTAACCTGATCATGGTAAGGGAGTAACGAACAATCACGACACGACCAGCTTCACCCTGTAGGTCCGGGCGAACGCGCTGTACACGACGAAGTTGAGCGTGCACAGCGCCGCCATGACCCAGAAGAAGTAGTCCATGTGTCCTTCGTTGAGGTTGTCCGATATCCACCCGGGCCGCCCGTCCACGGCGGTGAACGCGTTCACGACGGCGTAGATGAATGAGCTCATGTAGCTTCCCAGCGCCACGGTGAGCAGCGCCAGGGACGTGCACATGCTCTTCATGGACTCCGGCGCCTCGCTGTAGAAGAACTCCAGCTGCGCGATGTAGCAGAACACCTCCGCGCCGGCCAGCGCGAAGTACTGCGGCATCTGCCACGCGATGCTCAGGGACTCGCCGCGCCCCGCCGCGTCCAGCCGCATCATCTCCACCAGCGCCGCGACGGCCATCGCGAACGCCATGAGCAGCCGCCCCGCGCCCATCCGCTGCAGCTGCGACGGCTCGCCGTTGGCCAGGGATAAGCTGTTGAGCATGGGCACGATCACGGAGCTGTACATGAGAACCCATGCCAGGACGCAGAGCACCTCGAAGGACACCATCGACGCGGGCGGGATGGTGAACGACATGATCCGCATGTTCATCGCGGCGCCCTGCTGCACGAACGTCGTGTTCAGCTGCGCGTACGCCGCCGAAAGCACGATACTCGTCGCCCATATCGGCAATAGCCGCAGCAGGATCTTGAGCTCCTCGACCTGCGTCACCGTGCAGATCCTCCACGAGGCATCCGCCGCGACGTCGTTCGATTCCTCTTCCAAGTCGGACTCCATGACCACCGCGGCCTTGTCAAGAAAGCCGAACTGGTCGGTGTGCGCTATCTTCGACTGGTTGATCTTGTCATGGACTTCGTAGAGAAGAGTAGTGTCCGCGGGGACACGGAGTCTTGCCTTCCGGCACGCGGCAACCACGACCTGCGCGAGGCTCTTGATCGGCGTGCCTGTGGGCATGCGGCGCTTGTACATGGGCGTGGCGAGCACGAAGCCGCCGAAGGCGAGCGCGATGCAGGCCGTGGCGATGCCGAAGCCAAGTCCCCAGCTAACGTTCTGCTGGATCCACACGATGAAAAGGCCCGACACGATCATCCCGAAGTCGACGCAGATGTAGAACCAGCTGAAGAAGGACATCTTGCGCTCGCGGTCGGCCGTGTTGTCATCGTCGAACTGGTCCGCGCCGAACGGCAGCAGCGCCGCGCGCACACCGCCGCTTCCGAACGCCACGAGGTAGAGCCCGAGGAAGGCGATGGTCTGCGCGCCAAGAAGTGGCTGCTGGCACGACGAGCCCACCACGGTGCACAGCGCGGTGGTCGGCAGGAACGCCGAGAAGGTGACCAGCATCATACCCTGCACACAGACGATGGATTGCAAAGTTAATTAAGCACATTGGACATATGGATTTCAACATACTATCTTGCAAAATGCATTGATGCTTACAAGGAGATAGAAGACGAGGGAGACGAGGATGGTGTTGTAGTTGCCCCAGAACGTGTCGGCGATGATGGCGCCGAACACCGGGGTGAGGTAGCTCGTCCCGAACCACGTCGTGACATTGGACGCGCTCGCGAGATTGCTGCCGTGCAGGAGAGTCTCCAGGTACACCACCAGGTTCGTGGCAATGCCGTTAAATGCTGTGCTCTCCAAGCACTCGAATCCTAGGACCACTGTTGGCGCTTTGCTCCTCGCTTTCTTGTCTAGTATAAATGGCGCAGTGAGGCTTTCGTCCTGGAACCTCGGGCTGCGAATCTGCGAACGAAGTCAGGATGTGTCTAGTTTACGTTAAAATTGAAAGTTTGGTTAAAATTAAAACAATGTGATAGAAAAGTTGAAAGTTTACGTGTGTAAAAAAGTTTTGATGTGATAGAAAAGTTAGAAGTTTGAAGAAAAAGTTTGCAACGAAATAAGGCCTCAAAAGATTGCACAATTTGAGGATTTGTTTATTTTTTTAAAAAAAATTAAAAAATAAATTATCATTTTAAAATTTTACATATCGAAAAGTGGACTTATAAATCACCTTACAATAGGACAATCTATGTGGCATGGCACCCCGTGGGAGGTATACCGTGACAATTTGTAGGTGGCCCCCTTGAAAGATAAATCACTTTACAGGAAGGCGATTTCTCCTCGGGTGGGAGCCTTGTAAAATTGCCATAACGCACCCGATGCATCACTAAATTTTGCGTCATGACAATTTTATAGATGGCTCCTTCTCAAGAATAAATCGTCCTAGGGGAGGGCGATTTATGCAAAATTGCCACGGCACCCCCTCCCTGGATTGCCATGTCACATATATCGCTCTACGGTAGGGCGGGAGGAGTAAATTTTTGCAAAACTTTAAAACTGTAATTTATTTTTTAATCTTTTAGAAATAATATGAAATAATATAAAAATTAAGAAAAATATCCAATTTGAGACCTTTGTTTCTGAATCTACGGGCTCCCAATGATTTTACATGTAAAACCAAATTAACAGATGTTTTGGGCTGGGTTTGAGCTGGGAGTCTTTTTTTTTTTCAACAGGGCGTACGGCTGCCTAAGGCCTATAAAAATAGCCCATAGGGCGACTATGCTGGGACAAATTGATTGGCCGGACGTTTTTCCCTAGTGAAAGAATCTTTTAATAAAAAAGAACACACATTTGCATCGAGATATTGATAATAGCTTAATATAAAATAAATTACGCTTTTAGAACAAAAATCTGGCAGGTGGATACGGTCTAGTACAATAACTTGAAAAACCTAACAGTTGTGTACAGTTCTTGATACGGTCAATTAATTTCACTATTTTATGATAGTAGAAATTGCATGCTGGCCTCTTGAAATTGAGAATATCATTTTATTGTCACAACACAATTTGCAGGGTAATCAATTTGACCATTAAATCATATTTCTTGTTGTCTGCAGTGATGAATTCAAAAAAAAACACTTGCGAAAATTATTACCATAGGACACCTGAAAAATGGAATCCGTAATAAACCAACAATATAGCATGTATACTATATTAAAGTACTAGCAAAAACAAGAAAACAATGTGTAGCTGCTTTTTTTACTAAAACGAATGCACAAAATGGTCGTATACATCCATTTATTAGAGTTTAGAAGACGAGTTATGTGATCCATTATCCAAAAATTTCTCAGTTCCTTTTTGACGCAAAAATTTCTCAGTTCTTGCAGCAGATCATCACACATCGCACCCCGCCCGCCAAGTTTTTCTATTACTACGGACTACAACTACGCAAGTTAATGACTAATTAACAACAGAGGACGAGTTCAAACGTGATCAAGAGGTGCTTACCTTCATCTCTTCATCCTGGGGAATGGTCCTTTCCTTCGTCGCGATCCTCCGGAAAGTCAAACTCTGCACAAAAGCAATCCAAACAATCAGATTATAAACTCCAAATGAAAGCCCTCAAATTAAGAAGCAAGCTAAACTAAACAACTAATCACGCACTGCTGCACCGATAATATCAATCCCTATATCTCCCTAAGCTTGGGTCGACGGCGAGCTCGCTCATGAAGTTTCACATACCTTATACAGCCGCGGCGATGGCTGGGCCACGATGATTTCGCCGGCGTCCATTGCCGCCGCCGGAGTATCACTGCGAGATTGACCCGCGAACCTTGGAAAGCTGGGGGAAATCCCGTTTTCCCGATAGCTCCTGACTGCGCCTGCGACTTCGGCTGTGAGAGGCAAGCAAGCAAGGTTATACACACGCGCAGCTGGCGGGCGTAGTCAAAGAGCTCCACGCGAGGGAGAACAGGTAAGCGCGCCCGCGCCCCGGCCACCAACAGACCAACTCACCAACCCCGGACAATCGGAACTCGGAAGATGAAGTGTTATTAGAGCGAGGCGAGATCGGTTCAAACGCTGCAGTTGTAGTACTTGTTAAGAGCAAGTTCAATAGTATAGCCAACTGGGCTCCAAATCATTTATAGTCAATCTAATAGCCCATTTATATAATAGTTATCTATAAAAATATACTACATCATTAATATTCGGTCCTATCTCTTATATACTCATAACGTATTGGAGTCCGTGTTGCAGCCGGCTATAAATCTATAGTCCGCTTTCTTCTCTCTTCTCTTTTCTTCTCGATATGTGGTTATAGCTGGTTTATAGCCTGCTATTGTACATGTTCTAATTGATTCGTGGCTATCAAATGGTTATTAACGCGCACATGCGCGACACCGGTCCACTGCCCGAAATCATCACGCGATGAGATTCTCACGAGAGAACGCAAGAACTACTAGATAATTGGATAAAGTATTAGCAAGTGATGGTTATATTTAAGTTAGTTCGCGACGCGAGACGGGAAATTTCGGTGCACCCGCTCCGCGACCTGCAGAAATGCAAGAGGCCGCGAAGGCCTTTTTGTGGCTTTGTTTAATGACGTGGACAGAATAAGACAGTGGATAACTTAATGGGGGTGGGTGGTTCTACTTATATAGGAGCTGACAGTTCTACAGTATGTCGACGCAATTAACTACGTTTTCTTTCACTGTCAACTAGTACTTAATTACGTGTTGATGCATGGCTGCGAGGGCTGTGAAATAAATTTATCATCGCCGTTTGCTCAAGCGGAAGGAGTAAAATTGACGCAATCAAAGTAGTACATCATGATCCTCCCAAGCAGGAGCAGATTATGCTTATACTTATCGGCTAAAATTTAAATTTAGAGTTAATTTTGAGATTTTTTTCATCGAAGTTTATTTTTCAACCTTTATTTTTAAATCGCTAAGAACACGATATAAAAATTTTATTTATAAATTATTTTTTATTTACAAATAAGCCGTTTCGCTTATTCCCCAAATTAACGAAACAATGGGCTGTTCAATACTATAGTGAACTTGCTTATACATTTTGTACTTCAAAATATTCACTGTATCTTGTCAGAATCTAACAGAAATTTAGGAGATAACCCTAAATCTCAAGTAATTAATTAAGTTTTAGCTGTCAAAAGCTTGTCTCCGTGTCCCAAGCTCCTGCTCGTCAGAACTGAAAATCATAAGGTAGCTTCATAAGAAAGAAGTCCCGACGATGCAAATCACTATATGACATGTATATTTATTAGTTTGGCAAAATTTACTATAGTACATTTAAAATTTGTGGTATTTGTTACTGGACATTAAAAACACGTACTCCCTCCGTCCCATAATATAAGGGATTTATAGTTTTTACTTACGCTATTTGACCACTCGTCTTATTAAAAAAATTTAGAATTATTATTTATTTTTTTGACTTACTTTATTATCCAAAGTACTTTAAGCACAACTTTTCGTTTTTTATATTTGCACAAATTTTTTAAATAAGACGAGTGGTCAAATAATGCAAACAAAAACTCAAAATCACTTATATTATGGGACGGAGGGAGTATTTGTTAAAGGACACAATGAAAACACGGATTTCATTACATCCGGTACAAACGCGGAGAGTAACAGCGTGGAAAGTAGTAAATTACTCATGTGTTGATCTGTTTGTAAGGTGATTGGGTCTGATTCAAATCAGACCAGACCATTCTGACTCTCCCAATCCAGTCCATTCTCACTCTCTTAGTATGGGTCCGGTTTGAACTAGATCTGCTCGGGTTAAAAATAAATAAGCCCTATGGACAAACTTATCATTTTAAAAAGTTTCTCTATCTGTACTTGCAACGGATATAATAAAATAATCTGTTCGTGTCTAGTAACTAATTATCATGTTTTTACGGTGTCCTATAGCAAATAATGTGAACTTTGACTATTTTGTTGTAAATTTTACCGTGTATATGACTCATATATTTGAGGGAGCCAAATGGGCCTTTTCCTGGCTGTAGATACACTTCGATGATGCCGGTCCAGATATGGCCCATTTATTCATCACTGCGGCCAAGGCTGGGCTCTGGACTCTCGACAGCGCATTCTGGGTCCTAGCGTTGGCAAGTTTACAAATGGCCCATAAATTTAAGAGTTTTGATTTATGGTCGAGATTTACAAACGGCCCATAGAGATTTGATCACCAACGGCCATAACTGTTGCAGAGTACTACCATGAAATGTGCGGTATCACTCACACGGTCACACCATGTTTCCACATTGCATTTCCTTCTGTTTTTTCTTTCAGGACCACAGCATAAATAAAGTTCATGGATGTCCTGTTGCCCATCCGTATTTCCTTTCCAGTAAAACCGACAAAAAGAAAGAAACAATAAACAACAAGGAACACGATGGCGTCGATCAGCAGCAGCCAGAAGATATTGGTCGCTGCGATACAAAAACCGTTTCGCAGGTGCACCGGACGTGTCCCGTGTATTTCCTGGACGCACCCCGTTCCTAACGCTACCTTGTTTTGCCTATGTACGCGCGGACGTGTGGGCGAGCGATCATGACACGACCGTCTTCACCTTGTAGTTCCGCGCGAACGCGCTGTACACGACGAAGTTGAGCGTGCACAGCGCCGACATGACCCAGAAGAAGTAGTCCAGGTGTCCCTCGTTGAGGTTGTCCGAAATCCACCCGGGCCGGCCGTCCACGGCGGTGAACGCGTTCACGACGGCGTAGATGAAGGAGCTCATGTAGCTTCCCAGCGCCACGGTGAGCAGCGCCAGCGACGTGCAGATGCTCTTCATGGACTCCGGCGCCTCGCTGTAGAAGAACTCCAGCTGCGCGATGTAGCAGAACACCTCACCGCCGGCCAGCATGAAGTACTGCGGCATCTGCCACGCGATGCTCAGGGACTCGCCGCGCGCCGCCGCGTCGAGGCGCACCATCTCCACCAGCGCGGCGATGGCCATGGCGACCGCGATGAGCAGACGGCCGGCGCCCATGCGCCGCAGCTGCGACGGCTCGCCGTTGGCCGGGGAGAAGCTCCTGAGGAGCGGCACGATCACCGAGCCGTAGACGAGCACCCATGCCAGGACGCAGAACACCTCGAAGGACACCATCGACGCGGCGGGGATGGTGAACGACATGATCCGCATGTTCATCGCGGCGCCCTGCTGCACGAACGTGGTGTTCAGCTGCGCGTACGCCGCCGACAGCACGATGCTCGTCGCCCATATCGGCAGCAGCCGCATCAGGATCTTGAGCTCCTCCACCTGCGTCACCGTGCATAGCCTCCACGAGCCCGCGGCCGCCGCCGAGGCGTCGTTCGAGTCCTCTTCCAGGTCGGACTGCACGATCACCGCCGCCTTGTCAAGAAAGCTGAACTCGTCGGTGTGCGTGATCTTGGGCTGATCGATCTTGTCATGGACCTCGTAGAGGAGGGCGGCGTCGGCGGGGACACGGAGGCTGACCTTCCGGCACGCGGCGACCACCACCTGGGCGAGGCTCTTGAGCGGCGTGCCGGTGGGCATGCTGCGCTTGTACATGGGCGTGGCGAGCACGAAGCCGCCGAACGCGATCGCGACGCAAACCGTGGCGATGCCGAAGCCGAGTCCCCAGCTCACGTTCTGCTGGATCCACACGATGAATAGGCCCGACACGATCATCCCGAAGTCGACGCACATGTAGAACCAGCTGAAGAAGGACATCTTCCGCTCCCGGTCCACCGCGTTGTCGTCGTCGAACTGCTCCGCGCCGAACGGCAGCAGCGCCGCGCGCACGCCGCCGCTGCCGAACGCCACGAGGTAGAGCCCCACGAAGGCGATGGTCTGCGCGCCAAACACAGGCTGCTGGCACGACGTCGAGCCCGCCACGGCGCACAGCGCGGTGGTCGGCAGGAACGCCGAGAAGGTGACCAGCACCATGCCCAGGAGGTAGAACACGAGGGAGACGAGGATGGTGTTGTAGTTGCCGAAGAACGTGTCGGCGATGATGGCGCCGAACACCGGCGTGAGGTAGCTCGTGCCGAACCACGTCGTGACATTGGACGCGCTCGCGAGGCTGCTGCCGTGCAGGACGGTCTCCAGGTACACCACCAGGTTCGTGGCAATGCCGTTGAACGCTGTGCTCTCCAAGCACTCGAATCCTAGCACCACCGCCGGCGCTTTGCTCCCGCTCTTCTTGTCCTGGATGAGTGGCACCGTCAGGCTGACGTCGTCCTGGAGTTTCGGGTTCCAGCTCTGCAGATCAAGTTCAAAGTTTGGGGAGAACATGTCAGTTTACATTTTTTTTTATTTCTTGTATATCTGAACAAGCCATCAAAGTTTTTGCGGCGTTGTTGTAGACGTCAGCGATTGTACTTGAAAATCGTAAAGGGATAAAGGAAGCAGCTTTGTACAGATGAATACGAAAGGTATACGGTGGTTGTGGTGCACTTGTGTGTATGTGTTCTGTTGCTTTAGTTTTCTGACCAACTTTTTTTTAAACTTATGCGTGAAAAGTCTGACAAAATTTCTTAGTATTAAACACACACTATTAATTTTTTCTGACTTCAGAATTTTTCACGCTCGTTTTAACCATGGAGACCTGACCAATGAGTGTGTTGCCACCAACTCACCCTCGTGGCAACGTGCCAATACGTCGTACGACTATAGTGTGTTTGGATACGGTTCGTCTTAGCCGTAACATTATTCTCTATCTTGCGTAGAAAAGGGTCAAATAGTGGTGCAACTGCACCACATAGATGTAGACCATGACTGTTTCCTTCGTTCACCTATTCACCTCTGTTCTGTCATTTTGGTGAACCTGATAACAACCCATTCTTCAATCTGAACTCTGAATTTAAAGAAGGTGAAACCAATAACAGCATGCCTGAAAATTACTATGCTATAGTTATGATCCATATGCGTGCATTCTCACTGCCATCGCTTGTTTCCAAGTTGCAAACTGGAGTACTAAGAAAGATCAATTCATGATGAGCGAAACCGGTGAGAGGAGGAGAACGAGATAGTTGTGAAGTTGTGCATATGCTTACCTCTGGCAGCCGCTGC